CACGTGCTGTAACGTTAACTTGAGACTGTTACCTAATACATCATCATATAAGCGGGTCATACAGACACTCGCGTGGTTAATAGAGTTGTATCTTAAGACTTGGTCAGATACAGACTATGGTACGGAGTAAACTAATCTATCGAAAACTGCCTTGGGCGGCTCAGATACGGATCAACGTTCCTATATTTTCTATGTTGCGGATGGCTCTATCATGTATGTATCCATCTGTACACCGCAACTTGGTACGTATATAGGGTATGATAGAGCTGTCTCGTGAGCATGATACACACGGCAACATCGGAAGTAATATGTAAAAAGAGCTATGTTTCACATACCAAGGTTCATCCTGTCACCATCGATGGATTTCGGGCGTGAATAATACCTGTATAGTGGAACTGTTTCAGATTGAGCAGCAGAATTTTCCTTGCCGGTCTCAGAAGCTGAGGTCATATTTCATTCTACGAAGCAATAGATTTCTTCTAGAATCCTTTTGATATAGGAGGGATTCCAACAATATAGCCAATAAAACGTTTTTGGACCCTTTTTAGTGGAAAGGAAGAAAAAGAAAAGAAACGGTCTTGCCGGTCTGCTATGGTCTCGGTCTCCACCCTCGTTGAAGGAAAAAAGGTTTCAGTCCGATTTGAAATAGGGCTGAGCATGGATATGCCAAGTTGCTCAGGCTGACGTCGGACGACGAGGGAGCACATTTTTTAATAGTAGTTACGTATGGGAATTGAGTTAATTATGCGTTAGGCGAGAATCAGACTCTCCTTCTCACGGTTTTTCTTGTCGAGGTTTGTTTACATAACATGATTGATAAGACCGTTCCTGCATGATATTCTCCATGACATGACAGCTACAAGTCAGGCACGATACACGGCCAGCGGTGAACTGTGTCCCCACAGCCAAGACTCAACAAGAGCGTTTCCATGTCTTTGCGAGCAATTTACGAGACGTCAGTCCCAACAAAAGGAAAGGAGTTTTAAAATGCACAACTATTGCGGACTGTTGGACAGAGTAGCGACCACTCTGTAAGGCTCTTATCAGGACAGAAAGTACTCATAGCGCCGAGCATTCGTCCGTAATGCTTTGAGGACTAAAGGCTTGTCTCTGAGCTTGTCTGAGGCTGACCTGACTGCGGGAGTGTCTACCACGTGGCAACGGAAAGTCTTGCCGATAGAGCAGAAGGCTAGTGTTTGACACGAAAACAGAAGCTGATACGGCTGTTTCGTAACTGGGTATGTATTCTGTAACAATACCAAACGTGGCCCGTCGTTACGTACAACACAGTCACCGCACGGCCTATTATTACCCCTAGCCATAAACGGACTAGAGACGGGATGTGGTGTTCCCGTGACCTTTCACAAATTCTTGGCATAACTCAAGGTGGAGGTTAATCCATTTCAGGAAGCTGATAAGCTAGCCCTAACCGATCTTAATTACAGAGCTTAGGGTAAGATTGAAGATGTCTGCAGAAAGAGATCTTCTGTTTGATCCTAAACACCTCGATTCAGTAGCTTGAAGTTTGGATACAAGAATTAAGTTTCGATTAGCTGGCGAGCTTCATATCAAGTGCCGACATAGTGGGACCTCGTGGCAAGAACGTTCTCAACTTCTCAATCGGAAACCCAACACTTTGAGTTTTGGGCTGAAAGGATTAGCTTTTTTTTTTTTTTTAAATTTTTGAGCCTGTCAGTGTCAGATGTTTAGCCTTAATGTAGATTCATCCATCGCTCGAAGTTCTTGGTAAGCATTGCAAGTTGTCGGGAAACTATCCCGTCACGATACACAGGTATTTGTTACTGCGCAGTGTGTATAGACTGGAGAATATGAACGGGTGTCAATGCATCATGAATTTTTCAAGGATTTTGTTATCGTATCACAGATAGATGATCACTTCACCGCCATTCTTCTATATGCCGAGTCATACACATACGTATATATCAACTTTTCGGCGCTGCCGGCAAGTAATCTAGATACGCTTACATATCCAGCTCCTCGACCAGAGGAGATCGTCAACCACATGGTATGTCGAACACATCCTCGCAGCTCTGTGATACATCTCTCAAATAAATTAATCTTATGACATGTCGAACGTTTCACGAGTCAGTTACAACTACATACTCCACACTCCCGCCACGTGGAACAAGGGTTGAATAGATGGTGGACCTGACTCGTCAAACAATTCTGGATTTGGAGAGGTAGTACAAAATTTGGCCGAAGCATAAGTGATAAACTGTTTGACCGCCAATTGGGAGTTGCGATCGCATGAAGCCACACCGAAAGTCTTGGAGAATTCACAGTGCATCAGCAGAAAAACGTGGTTTTGACATTCAGACCCGCAAGGTCCCGTGCGGGTAAGCTGATGGATGAATCAGACGCATGAACTATGTACCTTTGCACTGGTAACCATGATTTCTTTGTACGAGTCAAGATGACTCCCAAGTCATAAATCAACTCATGTCTCGATTCTTCCACCAGGAGATACATACGCGCTTCAACTCGGACAAGTTTGACTCAACTATCCGAGACCGAGGAGCCCAAGCGGTAACTAGTACAATTCCCCCACCTCGCGTAATCCTTTTGATGACTCATGGTACGTATGTAGTGTTTCTTAAGTTGTGACAACGATGATCTTTCACACACTATCAATTGCTGTGTCTGCATGGATGAGGAGGAGACTCGCTCCCGCCTCCGGGCTTCGAATTTGGGTAACTCGCTATTCCGTACGGATAATCAGCAGTCATGCATCTGGTATGAAGCTATCCATACACTTCTTTTTTTGCCTGTCTTTTTTTGAATACTTATCATCTCTTTGTTAGAACGCTCCCCTGAAAAGGTTCTTTTTTGTTTTCTTTGTTCCATCACAATGCCAGATTTAGAATTGTTCCCAGTAAGTTACGGAGTACGTACTATGCCATTTCCACGTGGCTGTGGGCTCCTATTTACCCTTTTGTCGACCTGCATCTCGTAATGTCTTCGCGTGTATTATTACATACCATAGACCAGAATTTATGTTAGGCTGTAGCCTGTAACTTACACACAAACTCCGTACTGATTCAATCTATTCCAATCTCGATTGCTCTCCTCCGCAAGAAATATAGACCAATCACAAAACCAGAAAGCGCAAAATACGGTTTGATTTTACTCAAAGCGGAAAAATATCCTTGACTTATCCATCCAATCATACCTCGACGAATAAATTGATACGAAAGGGATGTTTAACTTTTGCCATGCCGAGAGCACGTGCAGCCCAAGATGGGTCTCTTAGGCCGATTTAGCTGAACTTTGCAATTTATAAATTTTCGAGCCATGGAAGCTTCTTCTCATTTTTGCAAGGAGGTTTAAGGTTTATCAGTATGTAAGGTAAAAAATAAGAATGGAAAGTTGAAACTCAATTCGGTTGTATTTTACCATGGCTCCGAGCATCCGAATAATCTGAGAGCTGGGAGCATCATCTTTTCGATCTGTTGATGCATAACGTAGCTAAGACTTACGTGCATAGAACGTGTCAAGATGGACACGCCTTGCTTCGTATTGATGCGTCGTACAGAGAAACGCTCTGTTTAGAATGGAAATAGCATTTGAGATGCTAGATGGGGGAAAAAGCACGGAGTATATAACAAGACTCGATATAATTCACCAACCACGTTCCCATCATCCCGGAATGTTGATGCCTTGACAGAATCACGAGAATTTTTGATTTGTTGATAGTGATACATCGAATAACATGCCTCGCGGACAGCCACATGCGCAGCCTTGTCGATCAATAATTCGCCCCTACCACTAGGATTGTTGTACCACGGTTAACAGCATCAATTAGAAAAGAGACATGTTGAAAACAGCTAATATTTTCAATATTGTGCAATGGGTCTTGGAGACTACAGATACTCACGTTGCCATGCATAAAAGAGTACGTATGCTTCCTCTTGGCCACAGACGAATATTCTCCTCCGCTCGGTCATGCATCGGATTGTTCGCAGTAGTCGACAAATGGGGGATGAACCGGATAGTTAGCTTGCGCCTAAACTGACAAGCGGTCATGACGAGTCTCTTTTTGTGATGATATAGCCGTCTTAAAGCTGGTTGAGATTGTAATTGTCTTCGTGTGGGAATTGAAGAAATTCCAAAACGGGACGGGCATTCCTCTTTCCTCTCAGTACATATCAACGGGGTAGTTATGGCCGAATTGATACAATACATCCGATAATTATGAATCATCCTCGGTCACAACTTTTCGCAGAGTCGAGCCTCCGTCACATACTCGTGGCATAAGCCGAACATTATTACTTTGATTGCTCGATTCTCACATGCCTGTGCCCCAGTGATCTTCATAGGGCGGCTGCTTTTTGGGTCGGCACACAGGCCTAGCCCTGCCGTTTTGGGGATAGTCTGTCCTACTCTTCAGTCCCACGTTGTTTTTGGATGATAACGCTGTAATCGTAATACTGTAAGTTTCGTTCCTCGTATCTTTTACCATATTCTCCCAAAGCGGAATGTCCTCTGAATAAATGGAAGCTGGAGCCGTAGTTACGGATAAGATTCCCTCCATGAGAAAGTCAAATTGTTCCATTAGATAGCACTTCCCACTTACCTCCTGGAATACTCGTGCAGAATACTCGTAAGGATCTGGTATTCTGTGCTCACTGTGAATGGAGTACAGGGTGCCTACTCTCGTGGCTGGTACTCGCGTGCTAAAGCAAACAATAACCCTGTATGCAGATAGTTATACACTAGCCCGATTCAGTTACTATGCAGCATGGCAGGCCCACTAGCAAGGGAACATACGGAGACTGTAAGTTACTAGGTACAAGATCCTAATACGGTAATTACTTGCAGTTAAATACACGCATGGCATTCTGTATGTAATAGCGGCGCAGACCCGCTGAGGAGTCTTATCCATGCCGATTGTAACTCTTCTTACTGTAAAATTACAGCGATTGCCTCATCGCAATATCTTTTCTTCATTTCCCTCCCTTACTCTTCCCCATCCCACCCCTGTACCTGATTTTCTTCTTGTCTCTGCTTAAAACCTTCCGTCGATCTTCTCGTTTTAAGTCACACCCACAAATATAACTCAAGTCCTCCTGACCTGGGTTCAATGACTGAGATATCTGCTGGTAATTCGCTTCCATCAGATCTGTTCACTCTACCATACACCACTGCGCACCCACCTGACTCCCGCGCAGCAGACGATCACAACCACCCCTCATCCGCCGCTCCCCCTCCCGCCGCTGCAACAACAGCCACCGGCTCCATCTCCAAAGGCAATCGCAGGTCGCTTGCCGGTTTTGCTTTGGAAAAGACGTCAAACGTGCTCGCGAACCTCACCACCTCTTTGGCAACTATCTCGACTCCTGCCCTGCGGACGAGTACTTCCCACGGGAGCCTGTCAAGACACTCGCACAAGTACTCTCAGGTTGGTAGTGCTTCGCTCTCGCCCGATCGAGAGTCAAGCAACGAGGAGATACCAACCCTGCCTCTTGTTAAATCCCCAACATCTGGTCTCAGTCGCCGTGGCACAGTGCGGCTGATACCACAAGAGCCACTCCGTCTGGATAATTTGCAAAACAAGATGCATCAAACGTCGTCAAGGTTACTCCGCATGACGGAGGATGAGCGTCCTTTTACAAAAGTATGTTTGTAGACATCCTAGCTGGTGAGATCGATGTGCTAATTTGTACAGGACTTTAACGATCTGTTTGCTACTCTAATGGTGAGCTTAAAGTTGGATACTCATCGTGTGCGCTTCACTAGATTTGAGCATACTTTTACATCCGATGAAGCAATCAACAATCTGGGGTCGTTGAAATTCTCACAGTCAAATCGCATGCCCGACCCCAAGGACCCATCACGTATTGTCACAACGACAACAACGACTACTTTCTCAATGGCAAAGGAGATGGCTCGATCTGTATGCCAGCGATTCGCGGATGCACGCTTCATTGAGTCGGTGGATGGACGAGGCAATACTTTCTTTCCCATGAAGGGCGGTCTATATCAACTAACTCCCAAGGGAATCAACATTTTGCAACGTTTTTGCCAGCGAAATGGTATTACTGCCAGGCATGTTATGGAAGTCTTGGAATCTCCACGTAATACCATGCAGCTAGTTAACTTGGAACGTGATTCTGAAACCGATAAGCTGTCAACAGATCGTGCAACTATTGAGGTTATTTTCCGCCGCTTTGCCGGTCAAGACGGTCCTAACATCAAGACCTCCACTTCTACCTCAGACTCCGACTCACTCAGTGATTATTCTAATGGTCTCGTTGGTGTCAAGATGGCAAAAGAGAGGAAAATCGCTGATAAGTTCTTCGCCAATACTTTCACCGGAAAAGCTGCTGTAGACTGGCTCATGGATTGTTCAACCACCAATGACCGTCGGGAAACATGCTTGATCGCTGCTTTGTTCATCAAACATGGTCTTATCACCTCCGTTCAAGAAGATCGGCCCTATGCTGCACAAGACCCCACTGCTGTCGATTTCCAGCCCACCAAACATGCTATTTACACTGTAACTGAGCATGGACAACGTGTTTGTGGATGGATCGCCCGTGATAAGACTAATTCCTCACAATATGACGGCCGAGGAGCGCGCGATTCCAACAATGCCCGTCTCAACCACATTTTGCACGATGCCGCTCTACGCCTGTTGTTCCGGGAATTCCTTCGCTATTCCTTGTGCGAGGAAAACTTGACTTTCTACCTGGATGTTTCAGAGTTTACTTCGCACTACCACAGACTGGAGAAATCCGGTGCTTTGAACAAGATCGAAACCGTCCGAGAAACCCTTGCGGCCGCCTACGGTCTCTATAATGCTTTCTTGGCACCTGGATCACCCTGTGAATTGAACATTGAGCATGGCCTTCGAAACAGTCTCGCTAGCCGCATGACGAAGGCCGTTGGAGATGATGAATCCATGCTCAAAAGCCTTCAGGAAGTGGTCGATCTGTTTGAGTTGGCCCAGACTTCCGTCTTCAAGCTGATGTCAAGTGTAAGTCTTCCTCTTAACTCTATCCCTATTCAGTTGCTAACTCTCGATTCAGGACTCTGTCCCCAAATTCGTCCGCGATCCCAAGTACTCGGTTGTCCTTCAAGAACACGAGTTTGACCTCGGAACAAGCGGCCGCTCATATTCACCGACATCTGCACCAGTTCCCGAACGATCCCTGAGCCGATCCGTGCGGACTTGAAACCTTTGATTCTTCCTGCGGAAACATTTCGACTCTCTGATCATTTCACGTCTTCCAGCCACCATTTGTTATTTACAGCGATAATTCGATAGACATGGTTGAACGATTATTCTTAATTCCATCTGGAAAATCTCTGCTTATCATCGGAGTGCTTTCCAAAAGAGTTACGATTTTCTTTTATTTCTATGGGTTACACGATAGACGTGGGGAGGAGAACACTGGTTATATCCTTTTCTTTTCGTGTATTTCTTCTGTTTTTGCGGGGACTCGATCGAGAGTCGGTATACGGAAATACCTGCATATTTTTCTTTATCATCTCTCCCGTGAAGCATTAAATGGGCGTTGTCGTTGCGCATATCGGTCTGCGGGGTTTGCTACCATTTTGATATCAAATTTGCACATTATGCATGTGGTTATTTTTCTTGTTGCATCATACCGAAAGCATTGTTCTTCCTCTTTACATCATTCTCGATACACAAGTGTATAGTGGGAGGCTGGTTCTGATTCATTTCATTGTCTTCATTGTTCACCACAAAGAATTTTCGTTTGTCTCGTCAATCTCTAATACTTCATGTACTCGCATGGTTTGTCATGTATAAGTATATCCCAATGATAATATCATGAGCATGGACATGAGTCATTGATGAAAACGTTCCTAAGATCCTCAAGAATATCTAGAGTAATTATTCTCGTCTTCTCCCTTGATATCTTCGTCGGAAATCATTGCTAGTGGAAGCAAGGTCACGTGACTCACCGCCCGGAAACCTGCCCAATAGATCCCCGAGAGCGCAATAACCTAACCCTCCAACAAGATGAATCCACCACGATTTCACAAGTGAGTTGCTTTCCACGACCCTGCTCGCATCTCACTCAAAGGGCAGAGAGGTGTTTACGCGCCATCAGACAAAAGCGCAAACATGGCGACCGATCCTCTTCTTTCCGACCCTTTGCTGTCCTTGCGACGAGCAATCGCAGCTCAAGCTCTCCCAACCCCGACAACATCCTCAGACGTCTCCAACGCAGCAGACAACCTGACAGACGACCTCGCAAAAGCCAATCACCTGTACTTCACTCACCCAGTCCCGTATACACTTCCTCTCAACACATTAACGCGTTTCGTCTCCACCGCAAATAACGATACCCGAGTCGATTTGCGTAGTATCTTCTTTGCATGGCAGAAAAAGGATGTCGCTATTCCAGAGTACATTGCATCAGCGCAGGAGGTTAATGAGGCGTTGAAACAGAAGAAGGAGAAGGAAGGTGGGCAGGAGGAACAGGTGCTGAATTTGGTTTTTGTTGAGCGCTTGGATTTGATTACTTGGCTTGAAGGGGCTTCGGATGATAGTGAATACATTAGGCCGTTGGAAGGGGCTGCTGCTGCTGCCGCTGCCGCTGCTGATGTGACTGCTCCGGCTGTGGCAGCTGATGCTGTGACTGCAGCAGCGCCTAAGACGACTGTACCAGCGGCAGCAGGACCAGGTGCGAGACCGACTAAAGTGATTGATCCTCAGTTACAAGAGATTTACAATGGTGAGCGGAAGTTGGGTGATCGAAATACTGTCCTGCGTGGTATAAAGCCGACGGTATGTATTTCCCTTGGCTTTTTCAGGTATCAACTAACGAGTCTGTCGATAGGACTTTTCGCATATTCGCAAAACTGCAGAGATCTTCCTTGGTCGCAACCGCGGCTCGCGCGGTCAATATCCACCTGGAAGCAACAAGGGCCCTTCAGGCAAAGGAGGCATCGTTGTTCCAGCTCCATCAGCTGGACTTGCACTTCCTAAAAAGCCCGGCCCTTCATCAGGAAGCTCACGACGTCCCGATCCTATCATCCTCCTCTCTCCCTCCGCCTCATCACCTATCCGCCTCTCTAACATCAAGACATTCCTTCAAGATGGTGTCTTTGTTCCCCCCAACCATCCCACACTAGCCTCTCACACAACCTCAAACATGCAAATCATCACTCGCCAAACCCGTATCGGAATCGCATCAGGCAGCCAAGGCGGCAGCGGTGGTGCTGGCGGCGCCGCCCAAACCAGCAAAAGACCAACCCGCTTCATCCTGGCCGACAGCACAGCAAACTTCAAACCGGACTACTGGCAACGACTCGTCGCCGTCTTCACAACGGGTCAGGCGTGGCAATTCAAAACATACAAATGGTCCAATCCACCTGAACTCTTTAGACATGCTGCGGGTATCTACGTCGGCATGGCAGGAGAACACGTCCCGAATCAGATTAAAGATTGGGGTCGTGGCGTGAGCACTTTCACCCTTGCTCGTTGGGACGATAAGAAGGGTGTTGACGGTGCTGGACGGTGGTTGGATAGGGAGATTGTTGAACATATTTGGGACGTTATTGAGAATAATATGAAGGCTAAAGGGTGGACGAAGTGATTCTCTACCCTTCGCTTTCACTCGCCTATTTTATTTCTCGACCTGTATTTTGATTTATTATTTTTTTTTTCATCTATTTTTTATGCTTTGGAGCGAGGGTATGCTGAAATCATTTGCAATGCATTCAGTGGATTATTTTTTTTACGATGAGACATTTAGACGGGTTGATCCTCTGAACCGTGCGAGATACCGAATTAATTGAAATATCTGATCAACACCGTTTCCTTTTTTCGTTTCTTTCATCAGCAGACAGACCTACGAATATCATTACCGGGTGTCAGATCTGGTCTCATATCAGAGGCGAATGAGGGGGAAGGTGAGATTCCATGAAGTCAGAGAAAACTGAGGAAGAGATGAGTTGAATGAAGAGAAAGACTGATATGAGCGGAGGATATGGTAGGGAAACGCCCGGGTGCAAAAGAAGGCAAACAAGGCAAACGAAGCAATTGGGAATTTCTCATAATAGACTGAGAGAAAGGAAATGGCAATAAGAGAGTGCCGCCCTGTTGGATCTTTCACTTTCTGCTCTCCATTTCGACAAATAATTCTCCAAGCCATGGCTATTGAGATTTGGGTGGCAAAGTTGTATTGTTCAGCGAGAAGTGGAATGGCTGGCAACGATAGAGCGATGCGACACTCAGCTCTGCAAGTGGCCCGTACACCATCAGGCTTTTTCCCAAAGTCTTTTAATGATTCAATTTGATATTCATGCTCTACTATTTTTCAGGACCTCTACCCTCATCGAGAAAGCTGTCAAGACAGCTGTGAGCAAGGCTCTTGCGAAAGTTGATGATTTCATTGACAGAGCTACCACAAGAGTTGATGAAGCTATCGAGAAAGCCTGCAATCAACTACCCAAGAACTCGATACTGTCGTTCAAAACTCTTTCGATGAAGCTTTCACAATTCTCTGAGCGTCTCAATGAGCTTCAATCATCCATTCCAGCGGAATGAACCCAACAAGGAGCTGTGAACGGTGAAAGTGCGGACCCTGCAGTGGAGACTATGATTGATGAGCCTGAAGAGTTCCCCCAAGAGACTGTGAAGATGGAAGAATCAGATGAAGATTCTATGGATATTGGACAGAGTCAATGCAGGATACCGAAGAAGACGACAACGCCCTCGGAGCCTCAGATTTTTCGTGGCGCATTAACTATGTCCATCCATTGCCAAATTCAACCTACTAGCAGCGACCGATGATTCTCTCTATCGTGCCTGCAGTAAACGTGCCGAGCATAAAAGTCGATATTGTCACTGGGTATGTACTACTGGGGCTGGTGATTCGCTCGCCTTCCACAATGTAGCGACTGGCAAGTGCTCGAGTGTCGGTTCAGTACAATCACACAGGGGACTACCTTTTTTGAGAATAACATATATTCTGTCTGTCTTTTCTTAGGCGGACTCCAGGCGTGGAAAAGCAGCAACAGACACTCTCATCGCTGGGTACCCAGGCTCCATCCGTACGAATCCCTGGCCAGGTCCAGATTCCAGATATGGGATCGGAGCGTATAGCACTGACGGCGCATTCAAGTATATAACCGTCGACGACAATCCGCGGCTAATGCCTCTACAACGTATTGATGCTGTTATCGATAAGAGACGCGGAACTGTCAAAGAAAGCTGTCGCTGGGAATGCATTGAAGCAGATGGATGACTCCATTTCGCCATGAGCTCACTCAGGAGTACTTGGCTGTCGACACTAGCGGGGCAAACGAACCTGGGAGCTTCCCTTTGTGCCTATCTGACAGGATCGAAATGCAAACCAGGTTTTGGCTACGATCGCCTCTGAGCTTAATCTTTCCTTTGATGATGCAAGTCCCTGTTGGCGACCAGTTGCTTGCGGTGAGACCTGTGATGGCTGGAGAAGAGATTCACTTGGAATCCAAAAACTTTCTCAGAGTGGTATGCGTCGGCTGTCTACATAGAATAACTCATCAGCCGTCGCGCGAAGATACCAAGTAAAGCGAGAAAAGGAAACCTCTATCATGGACATGAATCAATTCACGCAAGTCCTGTATGTAGAACAGATTAGTCTATAATCGAACCAATGGTAAATCTCCTCGGAGACATCCTTACTCCAATGATCCTTAGTTCCCTCCTATAGTCGAGGTGGATATAAACTTATATTGCTTCCACCTAAGACAGAGGTCACCTCATAACTTTAAGAGTATTGGATTGCCAAAAAGAATCCAGGTATGAAAAGAAAAGTTAAGAGATTGGTATACAATCCGTCTCTACCTACCTCGCCAAGCCTAATCCGACAATGTTTACTCAAGTCAAGCGCAGTAAAGTAAAATCAAATAAGATAAGATTCGTTTCCATCACAGTAAGGAAAACTCTCACAATTAAGAAAGAAAAGAACAAAGTTCAGAAGAGAAGAGAAGTGAAGAAGCAAAATGGGTGAAACAAATTTTGTCTGCCACAATTCAATACGCCTTCGCGCCTCCCTTGCCCTGAATCCCGCCATCACAATAAGAACCCTTTTTTTCGCGAAAAAAAGACTCGTTATCATAATCAGACAAAAACAGAAGAAAACGCCGTGATACCCGTACACCCCTTTCATTAACAATATCAAAGTAATAGCATTTCAATGAAGTGAAGAACAAGCAAAACAGAAAAGCAACAAATCTAGGGTATCATGTCGTCGGCGGGACTTTGCTGTCATCCTGCATTCCAAGGGAAGAAACATAAGGAGGAAAGAGTGGGGGTTTGCTAGGGGCATCCTTCATCGTAATATCTGCATCGGTTGGGGAGGATTCGTTCTTGATCGTCTCCCTTCCAGATACCGGTTGAGGTTGTGTCCAAGCTTCGCCATCTGTCGACAGCGGCGGCGTAGAAGACTGAACGGAAGATGTTGGTTTGCTAGGTGGTGCAGGGCTTGATGCTGTTGTCGCTTGAGCTTGACTCTTCTCGGTAGTCGGTGTTGTCATCGTGCCTCTGCTAGCCAAATAATCGCCTAAGCTCATCTTCTTCTTGACTGGACTAGGGGCTGTCATGCTGCCACCCGGTGTCTGAGCTGGTTGCGCGAAAGGATCTGACGGTGACTGGAGAGAACCCGGCGTGGCCGCACCCGGTGTAGGTGTGGCAGGCACTGCGAAGTGATTGGCAGGTAGTTGAACATGAAGACCGCTGAACCGATTGGTGATAGGCGACATCCCAGGAATGAGGGTATTGTGTGCCGCTGTCGACGGCAAAGGCGGTTTTGCCATAACCTCAGATTTGAGAGAAATTGTGTCGCTTGCAGAATCTTTCATCTCTACATCTTCGCTATGTGAAGAAGGCGGTCGAACACCCGAGCCTTGAGACACAGACGATGGTGAAATAGCAGTATCTGTGCCAGTACTTCCTGCTGTTTCCTGACGCTTAATGGGCCACTGGACTTTTGCACTGTCTTCATGACAGCGTTTCAAAAGTCGCCGACTCAGAGGAGAAAATCCAATTGTCATAGGCCGTGTTTGGAGTGATTCATCGACGTAAGATGGACGTGAAAGAGGTGATCGAGGAACTGTGTGAATAGGATCGGATGCTTTGCGTGAAGTAGGCCGCGATCGACGATGATACGAGGCCAAAGCAGAGTCATCAGAAAGACGGTTGGTAGTCTCCACTTTCAAAGACTTGCCTGACGGGAGATTCGGATGGGCGGATGTTGCACTCCCTCGCTTCTTCTTACGCTGCCCGTGTTGATCGTGCTCGAGTTGCTCGAATTTCTTCTCCACTGCTGCGATCTTACGTCTATCTCGTGCCGACAATTCCGTATCTTGCAGGGCCCATTCAGGTGGCGGATGTGTCGGAGTCAAGTCACGGCTACGAGTATGTCCGCGCACAGAGCCAGAAGTTGACCGATTATCTGCATTGTCATCATCAACAGCTGCCTCACTACCGGCACGACTGGTAGTAGACCGACCAGCGCTAGTAGGTGAGGTAGCGGATTTGGATTTCGCTTTCTTCCGCTTACCATTCACTTGCTTCGAACTAGGATGACGACGGCGATCAACAGCAGCTAGTAGACATGACTGAGGCGCGGAGCAAGCGCAGCCGCCAAAATTGGCTAAAAGATTGCTCATGGAAATCGCTCGAGCTTCCTCTTGATCGCTGTCTCCAAGGAATTGACGGTCGTAATACCACATGGCGGTTACTTCGGAATCCGCGGGAATATCTTGATTTGCGACGAAACAGAAATGATACTCAACCTCATTAGTGATGTACGTCTTCAATGTAACATTAGGTCGACACGAACGACGCACATATCGGAGTATGGATCCTTCTTCGCGTGCATCAATGTAAATGGGAAGCTGAGGGTGGAAGAACACAAATGGTTGAGGGTGCCGGAGCTCAGGCCAACGATTAGCTGGATCAAGGCAATATTCTCGAAGTTCCCCGATTTTGCCCTTGACCTCACCGACAATTTGATCCTTGTGAACAGCGGTTTCGGTTTTGAGGATTTTCCAAGTGGGGTGGACACCATCAATCTCGAGATCCTTGTCAACGTTGGTATCTAACAATAGTTGCGGCCATTCGGAAGAATCCAAAACGTCTGCGTATGTGAAAATTTCTTGTGGTAGACGACCAGTACCAGCCCGTAAAAGCGCCGAAGGATCTTTGACCCAGGACCCCATGTCACCCAGTAAGTGAAGGTTCACCACCAAATTGCTCTTCATGTTAACGTAACCTCTATCATTATCGTACAAGTGTAGGAATTCGTGAGAGTAAAGAGGGATTTGCGGAGTAGAGGATGATTTCGTCGGACTCATTGAGGTGGCCACGGATCCCGAGCGCTTCCGAGAATCTGGCTGCAGCTTGGGAGGTACGTTGACCGAGTTCACCGATGCTGACGGCCTATGAGAAGATTTTGGTTTCTTAATAGTACCCAGTTGGTCCCTGGATGTAGAATCACTGCGATGATGTCCATTGACCAGTTCTTGATCTTTGTGATGTTTTTTCTTGTGGCTCTTTGACCCAGAGCGTTTAGCCTTCCGGTCACCGCTATCATTTTGCTCCCGTAATCGACGCTGTCGCTCAGTCGCCCGTTTTCCGTCCAAGTAGAGTGGTGAAGGTGAACAGTCTGTACAAAAGTGTTCGTCTGGCACCTCCTGGCCATGGTAGTAACATTCTATGTGTTGCCATGTTTCACACTTTTCGCAGAAGACAGTGTTACCATCGTCATCCTCAAAGGCACAGATGCACTTGATGGTGTAAGGTTCTTCGTCTTCCAGAGGGACGGAATCAGAGATGGCGCTATTTGGCGCCGGGGAGTGGATGGGCGCAGTGACCGGATACGAATCTCCGGTCGAATGCGTTGTTGCGAGCAAGGAGGTATCTGTCATAATCCGACAGATGACCCCCTTTACCTCAACAGGTGATGGTAGAAGTTCCTCAGCACCCAGCTTGATGGCTTACTTCCTCAACGTGCATATCAAACGCCGCTGAGGTGCCGTTGTCGGTGGTTTGGTCGAGTCGCGTGAGGCGAATCGTCTAGATGACTGTACACAGATCCTAGAAGAGACGGCAAGAGGACACGTAGAGCTTCGATCCGTTTCTTCGGCACGTACGACAGCAAGGACACGTTCAAGTTTCAATAAATCACGATGAAAGGTAATGATTTCACGTCGAAAAAAATTTCAGTTAGGACGGTCCGGTAAGGTGATCGAGGGGTGCAGCGAGACAAGACGACGATAAAAGTACAGTATTCGAGGATGCGCGTTCGTCGTCAACGAGTTCGAGATTTGCGACCGTAAGCGAGTTGCGAATCGAGTCCAGAAAGGCGACCGAGAATAATGAAAGAGACGACGCGCATCAGGTGGAAGACACGGGAAAATAGGTGGAATCTGCCAAAAATTCGAGGTGTCACAGCTAACAAAGTCGAATCGAAAGTCGAGAAAGCGCGAGGACGAAGAGGTCGAAGGAGGTGGTCAAGAAGAGAAAATACGGTCGGAGAAACGAATAAAAGAATTATTCGAATAAGAAGAAGCAAAGAGGAAGAGAGTCGGATAAGGTGGATGGAAGAGATTGACTGAGGGAAAGAAGTCAAGTGAGGATTGAAGAAGGAAGAGAAGGAGTGGACGAAGGGAAAGAGGAGCCTAAGGACTCCAGTTCTTCTGCTGAGAAGCGAAATGAGCGAAAGAGGAAAGGCGCGGTTTTGCCGGGCGAGGAAACTTGAAAGGGCACAGCAGGAGAAAAAAGGCGCCAGGTTGCCCTTCCTCGTAGGGCCACCATTGCGGGTTAATGAGTGACGAAAATCGACAAATAAAACAGAACACACAATCACATTGTAATATGTACTAAGAAGCAGCGCAAAAAGAAAGAAAAACGAAACATGGGGGAGAGAGACTCGAACACGAGCAGAGGAATGTCCTGACTCCTCACAAAAATTATTCGGTCCTCCGCGTCGCAAAGGAGGGCGGACCGGCCTTCTGAGTCACGGCAGAGCTGAGCGAGACCTTGGCTGTAAGGCAGACAGGATCAGGTTAGACATTATGCCGATTGCTCCGAGTAGCCAATCAGGGGGTGAAAATAAACGGGTCTCAATTGTGTATCAGCTGGTTGAGCCAATGAGCAGCCAGAGATAAAGTCCGTGCCCCACTTGGATCAGCTTTCTGCTGCCTCTTTCCGGTATGGCGCGGCAGCCGAGAGCTGGCTCAGGGTTAGTCAGCGTCGTGTCCAATCAAATGCTGAGTCAGCCGGCACTTTCGCTTGACCAGTGTAGCACTAACCTTTTTCAGACAGACACCACACGTGCCGTTGCTATCAGTCTATCAGATGACGAGAGACTGAGCAGTGACTGACACGGCGTAGACGGGAGAAGGAACGAGAAACGAGACAGAATGAGAGCCGGAGGAGTATCGATAGACCATCGATGAAGTCTGTGTATTCGTACCTGATAGCAAAAGCCGGTAGGACGCGTAGTCAAAGTGGGACATCCAACTTGATTGTCTCGACAAGCAGTGTCAGAACTCGAAGAAAGTAGCAAAATAAACGGTCAGGAACCAGATCAACCATCAGAAAAGAAGAAGAGAAAGAAGAAGAAGTAATAGACATGGTTAGTGGGTGCCAGGCAGCATCTAACCGTGCCAAGTCATGGCTTGTGGCCATGATGAATGACAACAACTGGGACAGCTGGGCAATCTGTGGAGGAGAAAAGTTTGATCGGGTAAGAAAAGAAAAGAAAAGAATCATCGAGTAATAAGTCACTTCTAGTCGTGATGAGGAAGGAAGGATGCCATCTGGTAAGCACGATATTATTCAGTGTGACACCGGTGACAAACCATGACCCCGTCCATAAACGGCCGGGAGACTGCAGAATTGGACTGTCTGAAGATAAGAGTGAATCAAACAGTGCAAGTAATAGAGGACAGAAAGGACTATTTAGGAAAAGAGGAACTAGAAACTTGCTTCCCCTGTAAGAGGCTTGATTTGTGTACCGGCATCTCAATAAATTGTGTGTACGCTGTGGACAGTGCACTCTCCCGTGTGAAATCGATAGTAGTGCAGTTTCGGGGAGGTGTGAAGATGAAAAGGGCAAACAAAAAACCATGCAAGGGATATAAATATACCAGGACTGTAGTGCACAAAGAAAATACTAAAGACAAGATGGTCAAAACAAGAAAAAAGTAAATCACTTGGATAGAAGAAATTGTTACTCGAGAAAAGAAGAAGGAATAGACCTAAGCTAATTCCCCGAGTTTGCCACAATTAGGCTCGCTTCGGCGGGAAGGACAGCGGCCCTCCCGTCACTGAACCCGTGGTCATGTCCCATCCATCCCTTAGAGCGCCGCCAATAGTATGCCTACTAAGTTTCGTATCTCAAGTGTAACAGTCTTGTCTCACTTGATTGGTATATACTCTATGCGGAAGTGTTCACTATTATCTAGATATCTTAAGGGTGGGCCATAGTATACGATCGACGACTAATAATTAAGGATTAAATTCCACTGCCTATTGTTACTGCCACAGGGTGGCTGAGATACATGACTGAATCACCGTACGTATCTTATTCTCAATGTTCAAAAACAAACAAACGGGTATCATAGCCCAAAGACAGGAACATTGCTCCAGCCTCACTATCAATCAACAAATGCCAAACTCCACCATGAATCCATGATAGTATTATACAGTTATGAATAATCATTCTCTGCTAGATATCGGTCAAGTTGGTGGTTCTCTGTCCAACGTCAGTAATCTCAGTATACACCGTCACCAAGGTACGCACTCATCTGTCATATCTGTCTCGGCAAATTCCAGCCATTCTCCTGTAAGCCCCTTTTTCCAGAACCGGACACTCCCATCATCGCCTGAAGATATCAAACAGTCACCTGGAAGAGTCAGTCGAGCCTTTCAGGTTGTTGCATATTGTAGCATACCTGCAAACGACCATTGTACCTGCCAAACGTCCAAATGACGACTATCAATACAAGCTACCTCCCGATACTCATGACGAAACGGTGTATCAACGTTCGCCGGACGAGGAGAAGCCGTTACGGGAGCTCGATTGGCCAGTGCAGAGCCAATCCCAGATTGTGCTGTTGCACGTTGAGAAGGTGACTGTGCCGAAAGATGTCCATTACGTTGATGGTGGTGGTTCCCGTGCGCTCCATTCCCCGAAAGCGATGTATAAACCTCAAAAATCCGAATAAATCCATCCTTGCAACCACTAGCGATGAGATCGTATCCCCGTACCGAGCCATTTGCCCATGAAATATCACGAACAAGACCACCGTGACCCGTCAATTCAATAGCATGATAGAAGCGCCGACTCGAATCAGTCCTATAAATCTTCACCGTATCCATCGCCGCGACGACCAACGACAAGCTTTTCCGATCACCGTCAGGTTTCAAAGAGTGCGTAGCATCGAATGAGTCATGATGGAACTGTACCCGGAAACTGGTCTCTTCTCCACGCCCTGGCGCGGTACACACTCTAAACTGGTCCAGGGCCTGCCACTCTCCGAGCGTATCCGGCATGACGGGCTCCATCACCATCAGATATCCGTCGCGGGTTATGACGGCCAACCATGTGTCTAGGTCCACATTTCGAAAGTCTAGTGAAACAAAGGGCACCCTGTGAGGAGCCGGCAAGCGGTATATCGACTTGAACCGCCGGCCCGAATTAGGTGGTTGCGTGACGTCTTCTTGCCATATTTTAAGACGCATATCCTCGCCTACACTGCCAATGTGCTGTCCAGTAAAAGGTCCATTCCAGGTGGCCTACACAAATCCCGTCAGTTTTCCTTGCAAGTATCTTTTCAGTCTGAAGCATTTTAACAACTCACGTCTCGAATCTCAGCATCATGCGCACGCCAAGTATCAGTCAACTGCCATTGTCCATCCTTTTGATCCCAAACCTTTAATCTATGATCTGAAGATCCTGTAACAATACGATTCCCATAAAAATTGAATTTTGTGACTGTGACCAAGTCGCGATGTCCGGACTCGAAGTCGGTGAAATTTGTGCCCATTCTGGCGCGTCTTTGTCTAAAAATCGAATTGTATATGCTCGTATCAATTCATGACAATCAATCCCGTATTGCTGATAATGGAATTTAATATCAATCTAGCGTGCTGCTCAATATTTCATAAATGTGGACGTGATTCAGACATTTACGCATTCTGCTTCGGGAAGGCGCTAACCGGGACTGCAAGATAATGCGCAATATCTGTCTTCTGATTGGCCATTGTAAGCTTCCGCATCTCCAAAGGCGGTGAGATAATCCTGGCAGAAAGACAATCAGATGAAGCCAGATTGTCATGAATCATTTCACCTCGTTACTTCATATATTTCGATGGATCGATATTGTAAAATGAAAGATTGCTTCAGCAAGTCCTGATTAAGAACAGGGTAGCTTCACAGAACAACAATGGCGCCCTCGACAGCTCTGTCAGCGACAGAGGTTTATACCCTCTGGGTGCTAATCGGCACATCTATCGCTATAGTCGCCAACTCATTTCATGGCGACGGTGAACCGCTCATGGTCTCTTTTGCATTCAGTCTATTTGCCTTTGCTTCGACTTTTAGCCTAATTCGATGGCTAGGTCCGAGTTTTATGAAAGTTGGATTAAAAGGGAGGGATATGGCTAAAGCTAAGAGGCCGGAAATGTATGTATATATGGTCAACTTTCTATTAGAAATATTTACTGATAATGGAAATACAGACCAGAAACAATGGGTGCAGTGTGTGCTGTCGTGTACCTCTTGCTCATGATTGCCTTTATTCCTTTTCCTTTCTATAAGGATATTGTGGCTGCCACTTCTGGAGGCGGAAATCGCGACGTCGTCCTGCATGTAGAACATGTTGAAACGGGGCGCTTCCTTCATCGATTTCCGCATAATAAGGTTTGAATCTTACATCTTCAGTCTTTTTACTCTAAGACTGATCCTTGCAGCTGGCATCCTACCTATCCGGCCTTCTATCACTCCAAGCCATTACCCTCCTCGGCATCGGCGACGACCTTCTCGACATCCGCTGGCGCCACAAAGTCCTAATCCCAGCCCTAGGTGCATTCCCCATGCTAGTCGTCTACTTTGTCGATTTTGGCGTCACTCACGTAGTGGTTCCTGTCCCACTGCAACGCTACTTTGGTCAAATCTTCGATCTCGGGTTTCTCTACTACGTCTACATGGCTGCTGTAGCCATCTTTTGCCCAAATAGTATCAACATGCTTGCGGGCATAAATGGTGTTGAAGTCGCACAGTCACTCGTCATTGCTGTCCTGCTTCTGCTGAATGATTTCTTATACCTCTCCCCGTTTACGCCGTACCCTCATCCAGCCATGGATTCACATTTATTTTCTATATACTTCCTCTTACCTTTCATCGGCGTGTCGTTGGCACTTCTGTGCCATAACTGGTACCCCTCCAAGGTCTTCGTGGGCGATACCTATTGCTATTTCGCAGGCATGGTCTTTGCTGTCGTGGGTATACTAGGCCATTTTAGCAAGACGCTCCTCCTACTCTTCATTCCGCAAATGTTTAACTTCTTATACTCATGTCCACAACTTTTTCATATTATCCCATGTCCCAGACATCGATTACCGAAATTCAATGCCGTGACTGGGTTATTGGAGAATTCGGTGACTGAGTGGACTGTGCCGCCGTCGCCGTTGATTGCTGCCGCTCTACATCTACTTCATCGGCTGCGACTTGTGGGGATCAAGACTAATGAGAATGGAGATATTGTAGAGTCGACGAATTTGACGCTACTCAATCTTTGGATTCTTTGGTTTGGTCCCATGAAGGAAGATCGACTTGCGCTGAGCATTGTGTTGTTGCAGACTGTCTGTGGACTTTTCGCGCTGTTTGCGCGTCATCAGATGGCGTTGCTTGTTTTTCCGGCGGATAATAGGAGTTTGTGGTCTTTTGTATGATCTTACCAGGTATTAGATTGATTGTGTTGTATCATACTTACATTTCTGTATATAATCATGTTAACGTACAGTCATGCTTGACGCAAGTCTGATCCCTTGAAACTAATTACAACAATATTTCTGGTGAGACTACAAGACATTACCCCTTTTTCGATTTCACTTGACCGAGTCTGTGGAGCTAACTATATCCTTAGGCCTCTTACGACCACATTCTATCCCAATGGACGTGTATAGTATGGAAAGACGGGGAGCAAATAGCTTCAGTCTTCTTGCATCTGGCAGCGACGATCTTTTTTGGAGCACCTAAATGATAGGTTGTTTTGTTAGCCTAGTCGACTATGCAGTTGAAAAAAAAAAAAAACATGAAAAAGCCCCCTCAACTCCTCCACACTGCTTTGCAAGTGTGTCCCTCAAACGTCACGTCATTCATCACTGTACAGCACTCAGAGCAACGATTTTGTCATCGGGTCATAGGAGAGGTAACCTGTCTTTGAGGTGTTTGAACCCCCACCACGAGGAAGACGTGCATAGCGGTCATAGGTGATTGTGGATGGACAAGAACAGTGATAGCGATGAAAGAGAGGTGAATGGAATGAATATAAGAGGACGGAGATGAAGAAGAGAGGAAAATGGTAAAGATATTTATGTTCTCCAGGTTTTTAGGAAAGCATCCCAGAAGGAAGGTGTGAGATTGACCATCAACTGCCCAGAGGAACGAGCCAGCTGCCCATTTCGCGCATCCTCACAGGTTTATTATTGATTCTCTTCGTGTTCACAGACCAGTGATAGTATTGTCCTCTTGCTGATCCCGCACCCGGGGGTCGGGTGGAAAAACGCTCTGGATAAGCAAACGAGGCCCCAAGGAGGTCAATCCAGATTACCACTTCCCGGGCAGCACCTTTCTTTTCTTACCTCCTTCCATCATGATTGATGGTTCAAGACTCGGGCTGTTCATTCATTTTTCTTCACATCTCAGTTTAAGAGACTTGCTCTGCCTTCCCTCTGTCAATTCATGGTTTGACGGCTATAGGAGATGACCTAGATGAGACGAGCCAGCTACATGAAGACATGACGATCAACGATGCGTTGATAGGTCTACATCAATGTGGCCCATTGCTGGATGTCCCTGCTATTCACAGTGGTAAGTCTCCTGAAAATAGAACGAGCCCTCCAGCCTACCACTCTGTCAGCAACACTTTTCTTTTGTTCTACATTGGCGGTCACTGGTTCGAGATTACCAATGACTATTTCTTTCTCTTTTCGGTTTGCTTCTACTCTTCTTCGTACTCCTTACTTTCAGAGATACTAAATAAGATTGCTGCTTCGAAATCGGGTTCCACCAGATCGTGAAACACGGTTCTCCACCAACATCAATTGATTCATGAATACGTACTTTATTCCACTTGCCCTGGCTATTCATTCAGAGACCAATGGTACGTGCATATCCCGACTTCACCATCCACTTCTCAAGTGTCTTTGGTCTTTCAGGACAGATGGAGTCGGCCCACAAGTCAGATTCAATTCTACCTTGAAGTTGACCCTTGTTATCTCGCCATAATGCCCACCAAGCTCCAAAACTTTTCCGGAAAGTGAGCCGTGCTGGACTGTCTCCCGTACTTACACGCGGCAAGGCCTGGTCAGGGTCTATCCCAAGTCGCACAATCTCCTGCATCCAAGTATCCACCGATATCTGCTGAAAGGATGTTGGGACGTTAGATACATTCTGTAGCGCTTGTACTATCTCGGTATACGTGACGTGGAACGGGCACACGACAGGAACCGTCCAACGCTGACCACTGGATTTTGTAGAACCCATAGGACCCTCTGCCCATACATCTCGAGTGGCACCAGCGGTATGATGCTGTCTTCTTTCATCGGAGCCCGGAAAAATGCAGCAGTACCCTCATCATTTAAAACAGGTCGCAGCAATCTCGACAACATTTTAGCATAGACGCCCCCATAGATAATTGTCCATGGGAGACGACCCAAGGGCTGAGAAGCCAACCACCCACTAAGCCGCGAGGCTACTATGTTGTGACTATTCCTGTATCGCTCGTCATAACCCTATTTAGCGAACCGATCGATCGTGCCGCTGTATATAAACCACTCCAAGCCCCCCTGCACAGCGATTTTGTATGCCCGGAATGTCCAAAAGTATTCCTCGGGTTCTCCAATATTGAAGCTGTCTAGCGAGAAGAAGCAGATTTGCTGACTCTTCAAGGCAGCGCGCAGGCCTTCTTCGGTAGTGTATGAGCCTTGGATCAGGGTTACGTTATATGTTTCCTTGAGCCGGGTCGCAGTGGGTGTAGTGGAATCTCTGGTAAGAATAGAGACATCATACTGCCGGTTATCACACAGTGCTGAAAGACGTCAGCTAAGAGATATTGGAAGAACATTTCAAGGGATTCTTGCCTTTTACGACCGAACCACCCTGAGCTCCCGTGCCCCCGAATATGATTATTTTCTTCCGTTGGACTTGTTCCATTGCTCCCTTTTTTCAGCATATCAGCTTCACCTGCATGCCTCTTTGCATCTGTCAAGTCAGGTGGAGAAGAAACAAGATATAAATCCTACACCAGTGGATTGACCGAGGCATGGAGATTACTAAACAATATGTCATTGTTCCTCCGGTTTGAATGCCGGAAACCCATCCCCATGAGACAGTATTGTATGCATGCCATTGTCTTAAGCAGAACTAATCGACTGACCCATGTCCATTGAGTTTGTCTGATTAGTGATCTGTAGGAAATAGAGGATATTGTCGTTAGTTCTGCTTAGCAATCCTCGAAGCACACTATAAACACTCCGGCCTAAGTCGCATCTATTACTATATGCGGTATCTGGTATTTCGCAACAGCGTATACTGCGGGGGAAGAACCAGAGCTAGGACAGTTGATGTCCTCATTCTCCAATCCGTGAATACATTCATGCACCAACCGTCCGAGACAATTACAGATAAGTAGAGAGCTAGTGCTTATTATAGTGTAACCTTGTGTGCAATCTGCCTTGAAGCCATTATTTTCATGATCCATAGCCGTATAACCCAAGCAGTGGAGTTTAGATTTAAAGTATATCCACCTGTACAATGACAGGCCCACCGCTCTAATTCTCACACCCTGCGATCAAGGGACTACTTCGCTTGATCAAGTGGACTATTATTTTCCTGAGTAGGTGCAAAAGTGGCCGTCCTTATGGCAGTTCCATTTTGGTAAGTTCGCACTGAATACCGCATTAGGACACTCGGAATTTCAGCTGTCTTAGATCCGAATCTAGGCTGAAAAGTAATCAAATATACTGAAGACGTGATTGTTTAGATTTCCATCTCGATTAAGCTTCCAATATATCTTGTCTCATTCTTAGTAACCCGTGGCTACGTTTTGTTCTGCTCTTCTCATATTTAGCCATGCGCTGCTCGGCCTCCATGTATATATACCTAGCCTCTTCCAGCCCATGTGGATATTTGGACTCAGTTTCCAAGGTTATACTGAAAACTGCAATACATTATTCAGCGTACCATACATGCCTATCTACTTAGGTACTGTCTTGGACCCTTTGTCTCTTTTCAAGCAGTAAGCACAAGTGGTATTATTTTCCCCAGGAATTACTTTGAACATTCCTATTGACACTGCTTTATAGTACAAGCCACAAGGATGAAACCAGGAATGAAAACTTTAGGCGCCATGGCTATCTTGACAGCCGCAACTGCAAACGCAACACAGGTCAGCGTGTACAGCGTCACAGATTGCCAGGCTTGAGGTTGCTTTGTCTACTGCTCTGTCAACTCTCTGTGAATGAATGGGTTCGACTTGTCGAGAGCGGGTGGAGACAATGGTTTGATATTGGGCTGGAGGTGAGAACTAGGAAGGATATTGAATCGTTTTTTCAAGTGATTATCAGCCGAGTTAACTATAGACTGCTGCACGTTCATTGCTACTTAGCATCTGTATCTACCGTGGTAGCTAGGTAGGCAGGTGTAACCACGTGCATAGACAAACCCTAACAGCCCAAGGTAGCCAATCAAGCCCACCCCGTCTCAAGTTCGACTTCAACCGAGCTCATACTGTGTTTTGCCTGGATTGGAGGACCTGCTCTGGTTAACTGGCAAGTGGGTGGTTTAGGCGTAGGGTTAGGGCTATCGAATTAGGAAGATACGCAATTCATCAGAATAAGCTTTGCACTAATCCTTTTTTGGAGATATACGGGTGGAACTAAGCCCTTTTAGGTGAAAGCTTCCGGTCATTTTGACATTACCTGATAGGTTTATATGCTGTCCACTAGCCCTACTTAGTATTAGTGGATGGGTTACTATCTCCACTTGAATCCCCCCGGTGGACCATGGGGGGTCTCCAACAGAAACTCCAAATCTCCGTCACTGCTGCTTGTAATGGAAGACTGGAGAGGCATAACTACTTCTTTGATTAGTTATGACTTTTGTGTGTCATAGTTTTCTTTATAGAACCGTCCGCTCACCATGTCGCTCGAACCATCAAGTTACAATTCCACAGTCATCACACCGGAGGTATGTGAAGCAATTTCTTCCAAGTCCTCGACGTCATTAAGTCTAAGATGATGAATATAGGATACCGACACGCTCTATGACGATTTCGATGAGTTAGACGGGTAAGTCAGGGATGAAGAGGATCAGACGGGGGTTTGCCTAATGGGCGTTTTTGAGTACAGAGATACCGAGAGTTCGACGGCTTCGTTGACATCGAGTATATTTCACTATCAGTAAGACCTGCGTTCCCATTCTGATCTGAGATTTTCACTGACAACCAGTTCCAGATATGAGGTTTGTTTGGGATTTCGAAGAAAAATACGTGGAATTCCAGTTTCTCATGGATATTCTAATATCAGAATGGACGTCGGTACCACGCTTATAGGAAAGGCGAATATGTTTTCGTATGTATTTCTCACCTAGCTGTAGCTTTACTGAATCGAGACTGCTGACAACTATTACAGCCCAATGATGAAAGGGAGCAAGACCGCCTCGATCTAGTGCGTATAGCCACATGCATCATAAACGATGTATAGTAGGAGCTAATTCTCAACAAGCTGCATCACATCTTCCTGATGGTTCTGGAAGGAGAATTATTTTGCGCTCCCATTACGCAAAGTATATCGCAAGTCCTGGATCTTGGCACTGGGACAGGGGCTTGGGCAATGGACGTAGCAGAGTATGTCACCCAAAGAAAGGCACTTCCGAGACATACTAATGCAAAGAAAACAGCCTGTTCCCACAAGCAGTTGTCACTGGTTAGTGAAAAATCTTTCGATGTGGCCGTTGACTATGATTCTCACGTATGTAGGGACGGATCTAAGCCCTATTCAATCTCCTTGGTAGGAGCAAACCATCTTTCTGGAGTCCTTCACACAGCTAAATCGTCTCTTCAAATAGGGTCCCGCAGAACTGTCAATTTCAAATAGACGACTTTGAGCTCGACTGGAACTTTTCGTATCCATTCGACTTTATCCACGCCCGCAACATTGAAGGCTCGGTCAGAGACCATCGGAAACTATTCGGACAAGCCTTTGACAACCTCAAAGATGACGGCTGGTTCGAAGTCGACGACGTAACTGTCGGAATCTTCTGCGATGATGACAGCATCCAACGAGCTCCAAATTGGCTCAGGTGGCGCGATAAATTGATCGAAGCAAGCCATACATTTAACAAGCCGATGGGGGTCTCACAGAATTATAAGCAATGGATGATAGACGCTGGGTTTGTGAATGTCAGGCAAAAGATTTATAAGGTACGTCTAGTGATCTACAATTTTTGTTTCGAAAGTACTTCGATCGGTCTTTTCGTTGATAATATCAATAGGTCCCTTACTCCCCATGGGCCAAAGACCCGAAGATGAAGGAATTAGGAATGTATCAGCAAGCGATGATGTTGGAAGCTCTAGATGCATACTCATATGCATTATTTACCAGAGTCTTGGGATGGACCGCAACTGAAATCCAACTCTTACTCGCCGGAGTGCGAAAAGAAATTCGCGACCGAGAAGTTCATTGCTACTCTCGGTTCTATTTTGTGTATGGCCAGAAGCCATCGTCCCCGGGTACCTAGACTACCGTCTCAGAATGAGAATTGGGAATGCGATGAATGAGGATGTTATGAAATTGCGGCGTTCTGGGACTTTTATTGCTGTATAGGGATCCTTTCCGGCGTTTGGAGTTTTGTTTCAGGCGGTCGCTTGTCCTTAAGGTTCGAGCAGCCCACACGCTAAATTTAAGACTAATTCAAATTCAAACAATCGAATTTATTCATAAATCAAGCTTTTTTCATATTAATGTCCTAGGATGAGACAGACCCTGGCCATCCCGGGTCCTGAAGTAGGGTTGCAAAATGCGGAAAATGGCAACGATTTGATAGCCAGGTGCACAATGACGCGACCAACAATATCTGTCTCTAAGCCTCGCTACTATGCTCACCGACCGAATACTTTTAGTCTTGTACTGTATCCCCAATTGAGTCCATGGTCGTTAGTTTTCAATCTTAAAGTAACGTGCAGAGAGCTAAGTACGTAGCAATGGTGGATCTTCCCCACGAAACGCAGTCAAGCCCATATATTTCGATCGCGACCCAAAAAAGAAAAAAAAAAACTGCTTTAAAATCATGCCTGACATGTGTCTAACAGCTGATGCAGAAAAAGAAAAGCTTAAACAAATCAGAATAAAGTATTCGTTGCTTTTTCTCCAGTAGAAGGCGCCGAACATCTCCATCTAAGTGCACAAATGATAAGATATTTTTTTTAGTGTGGGCCGTTTCTGTCACATGGGCTACGCCATCTTACTCCTCTCTGGTCTGGATGTTACATGTGTCTCCAGTACAGAATGTTGCTTTTGAGTATATATTTTCAAGTCTTTCCCTATCCTTCAACTTGAGAGAATTCTCTAAGGTGCTGTTCAATTGCTTGTGTATATGTTGAGAAGAGCGGAACATAGGGGTAACCGAGCCAGGTCCAAAATTTTTTTTGTCCGCCACTCCTTTAAATTCCATACACCGAAGAGAAAAGGAGCATAACGACACAAAAAGGTCAATAATAGGGAGAGATTAAATAATGCGAGGGGGAACGACCCTGGCCATCATCGGCTGTGGACAAATAGGAACCTCTATTCTAGAAGTCCTTCTGACAACTCTATCACAACCATGTCCCAACCAACAACACAATCCTCTACCGATACTATCGATGAAATTGAAACCATCACGGTTCATCGCCTGCGTAATCAGTCAGGATTCTGTGTCACGACTACGCACCAAATTCGGCCATTTTGCGCGCAGCTCATACCCCAATGTACAAATTTCACAGGGCCGGGTGGTCGAGGTTGTGCAGCAGGCTGATATAATCCTCCTCACTCTACAAGCAAGTCAAGGGGCAGATCTTCTTAGCGATCCCTCGTTGCGAGAACATTTAGCTGGGAAATTGTTGCTGAGTACCTGCGCGGATTTGTCGGTGCAGCAGATTGAGCAACTTATTTATAATGATGCGATTGAAGAAGGGGGCACGGTTTCAGAGAGATGTTTTATTGTCCAGGCTATACCGAACACGGCTGCAGGTGTCCGTCAATCAGCGACTTTGATCAGTGAAACAGTCGCTGGTGCAGATACGACTCTTCCACCAGATTTTCAGAGTTTGACTACCTGGATATTCTCGAGTATTGGCACGGTGACTTATATGCCTGAGTCGCTCATGAACAGTGCCTCGATGATTAGCGGGCTGGCTCCTGCTTTTTATACCGTTGCGCTTGAGGGTATTGCGAAGGAAGCAATAGCCAGAGGGCTCAGTGAGCCCGACGCTTTATTCCTCGCTGCACAGGCCCTAAAGGGAACTGCGGAAATGGTGCTATCAAAGAAAGAGGAGAATAAGGGATTATTTGCCCTTGATGAAGTTAGAGATCAGGCTATTGCTTCGTCGAATGGGAGTGGTGCGAGAGGGACTCTCGTATTGAGACAAGCTACTGTCAAGGATAGCTTTGCTGAAGCAATGAGTCAGGGCATGGAGAAGAGGGATACAGAGGGTTATTTGTATTCGAATTGGTGATTTGATGGTTTAGAATAGAGTTTTGTACGTACTGGACTGAATTAGACTTTACATGATATACTAGATTGTCTACTGAGTGTGACATGGCTGTAATTTGAGTATTCCGAGCATATTTCATGGTTTAGGACAGAATACACCCATAGACTGAAAGCAATGTCATGCTCCTCGGCTGTAACTCAGATTACAATTACAAATCATTCCGGTAATGAAGCAGATTATGGTGTCCACGATTGAATAGAGTCTTGTGATACTCCGTAGAGTCACAAACTATTAGAAACCGTAAATGTCACGCAATCCAAGCATCATAAAGGAATGAACTTGATTTCTCATCAAGTTGCTTGTAAATGGTCGATTCGAATGCAGTCATGGCGTTGGAGGGAGTTCAGATTGCGTGCTGCTAGGGATTATGAGGGGAGTATTAATAATGTCATTCCACTGCATCACATACTACATTGAACCTTAGTATATGTACATGAGTCGAATATAAAATGTTATCAGTCCCTCAAAAATTGAATCGCAATCCACCGCTGGGGCATCATAATCCTAATACTGTAAATTATCATGGCTTCCGCTGCCGTATCCTCCATCTCAAACCAGGCTCAGCCTGATTTCAAAGTCGCAACTTTCCCTGTCTCTCCTGCTGATTTGCACAAGCATCATGTCAACACGACATTGAACTACTACAAGCCCGCTGCAGATGGCTCACCCCCAAAACCCAGCATCAGTGGCAAGCCCGAGACCTATGAACGTGAGACTGAAACATTGGAAGTAACTATCCATGATATATCCGGAAGTGAATTGGACTATACGCTCGACAAAAACGGGTTCCAGCTTTACTACCACGAGAGCAAGCAGAAGCTCTTTGTAGATGAGGACGAGATCAAGAATGAGTATTACCCGGAGACGGAGCAGTTGTTGAAAGATGCGTAAGTACATTTAGCTTATTCTTCAATACCATGCCGATCAGCTCATTATATGTGAAGAACTGGTGCATCCAAGATTTTCATCTTTGATCACACAATCCGTCGTCCCGAAGCGTCTCCTAGCGGGCTCCGTGGTCCCGTTCAACGCGTACATATCGATCAAAGCTACCAAGCATCTAAGAACCGCGTCACATACCATTTACCCGACGAAGCCGAAACCTTACTCAAAGGCCGCTATCAAATAATCAACGTCTGGCGACCCATCAAGACAATCTACAGAGACCCCTTAGCCGTCGCAGATGCCCACTCCGTCCCGGACAGTGACCTCGTCCCCGTAAAACTCATCTATCCTAACCGTGAGGGAGAAACGTATACCGTCAAACCAAACAAAGCGCACAAATGGTATTACCGTTATGGCCAAACGCCTAATATTGTGACGTTGATCAAATGTTTTGATTCGAAGTTGGATGGGCGGGCAAGACGTGTTCCGCATACGGCTTTTGTGAATCCGGAGACTGCGACGCCCGAGTATCCTGCGAGAGAGAGTATTGAGATTAGGGCTCTGGTGTTTCATCCTGATGATACGTATTGATTATTGAGATTGAATATAAGGATGGGCAGTCGGAGGACTAGACTGAAATGAGGTGGAGATTCAGATCACTCGCATAGCTGTCATTTAAAGTTTTAATAATCAAATTCTTTTGCTATGCTACCTATGTATGTCAGTGAGGTCAATTTTCCTCCAGAGTTTCCATTAGCGTGTATAACCTGGATAAATACATCACGATCTAGAATTGCCTATTCTGGAAATCACATGTCATACTCAACCCTATCTTGGCTCCAGCTGAATTGTCAATCCATGATTTGAGAATATATCAACATATTCATCAGATAAGGCTTGTCTAAAAGCACAGGAATAACTAAGTTTTCAGCACAAACGAAACAACGTTGTAACGTGTCGTGTGGTCTATTTAAGTAGCCTACTCAGGTACGAGTTCAACCTTGTCCCACAGCTTCTCTGATCATCCTGTCAGAAGAGTGGTAAGCAAATATTTCCCAGAATTTCTATGCCCATATTCGGAGGGAGCTCACAGTTCTTCACCTGCTGAATACTTCGTGGGATCATTAGGCTTCGGCAAATCCTCGAGTGATCCTTGCACGGTTGCACCACCACTTTCCTCATCTACAACCAGCTCACTCCTCGAAAGTGGAAGGATGAGGGGATATTCTTCCCCTTGAGGCTAATATTCCGAGCCTGTCAAAAATGAGAAGCATGCAAACAAAACAATAAGAAAGTAAATTGCTCGAATAAGAGGTAAATACGTACCACTTTCCTGCTGAGTCCCTGAACCATTCGAAAGTATTGACAGGTTTCGAGCGCCTGGAGCAAAGCTTACAGGTCCTTGGTTAACTTGTTTCTTTGGAATCGTGTCTCTTGGGTCTGCCGAGCAACTCTCTGGATGGAATCGGTTGTCATTGACATCACAGTCTCCAATGAGAACATTTATTCGAGACGAGTTGAAACTTTCATTTCTACAGCATGGATTATGATGGTGTTAATTAATCGATTCATTGCAATGCGTGTATTGGCACGGGTTTAAAGTCAGCTATATGCACCTCCGAGGAGTATGCAAGGACGATGATGTGACTGGCCTTGGAATACATCATCATACATTCATAAGCATCTGGGAATGAACGGTCTGTATTGATATTAATACTCTAAACGATTTTCCTCGCTAATGAAATAATGTCCCTGTTAAGGATCATGGCACTATGAATGTCATGGAAAGATTCCCTAAGTGCCGCTACAGTATCGTCGACCTGACGGTTCTCATTGTATCTTCCCAGCGTTAAGAGAGAATCGCGATGAAAAGTGATGGGATGCTTGGACTTACAAGGCATCAATAGCTTTTCGGTTTTTCGACCTCATATCATCTTGTAGTTCTGTCAAAGCAGGCCTGAATATTTCTGAGAAGGGACATCAGAAGTCTCGCGGCCAGCAATATGAGCTAGGAACAAGTCTTCCACCACTATCGGATTTGTCGTTGCCAGTAACTCTCTTCCTCTTGTCCGAGCCATCAACGCCTTGATATGGTCAAACATCTCCTCCCAAGTGAAAGGAGTTATGCCCTACGGTGCCGCTTCTCTGATATAACCCTTCTGGATATATTTCGAAACCTTGACCTCTTATTTCCATTTCATCAGAAAAATCCTGGCTTAGATTCCGTATGATTGCTCGCGAGCGCCTTCTACAGCCGTTTGGGGAGTTCGGATCTTCAAAAAAAGAATCGTTGTATGTGCCATCCATGGAGGTTCTGACGAGGAACTGAATCTGTTGGCTGATTTGAAGTAGATGCTCTCGTTGCTCGTCCAAAATTGATGGTGGAGCTCCGATTTTGTTCAGTTGGTTCTGGTTTATTTCAATCATCCTTTCGAGCTCGGCTCTCAAAGGATCAATTCTGCCGTGATACCTTTCTTCAGGACCTTGCCAAGTTTTGTTTTCAACTTGTTAATGCCTAGACATAGCTGAAGGTGTTCCTCCCACACACTTTCGGAAAAAAACGTCCCTCACGGCCGTTGCGTGATTGAAGTATCCTTGTTTCTCAACACATGCCATCCCAAGTCAAAGTCGACGGATTGATTTCTGGCAAGAGAAATATAACTCTCTATTTTGCTGGACTCACTGCTGAGGGCATCGGGATGTGTAAGGACACTCAATGTTCGAGTACGATGCCGAGCGATATTGCGAAGCAAGCTCAAAACAGCTTGGTTGGCGAAGTCATCCTTAGCCGAGATGACGGCAAGAATGATACTCCCTGGTTTGATAATGTAGGATTCGACGAGATCATGTACCAATTGCGCATATCTCATAGTCTGCTCATCTGAGTACTCCAGAGGTATCAACCCTCGTAAGTCGACGATGGTCACGAGAGGCTGATCAGGTCCGGTGATTCTGACCCTCAACACATCTTTATAGTAACCATTTATATCCTCTACGGACGTAGATTCGCGCATGACACTCCCGGCTTTCTCAATAAGCGCTGGAAGCCCGTCAAAGTCGTCTAGCCTTTCGCGGAGCTGTCGTAAGGGGGTAAATCTATCGTACTACTAGTGTCATCCGGAACAATTGATACATGAACCTTGTTGTGAGACTCTTTACGGAAGGAAAGCTCGATTGGGAAGTGAGTACAACCGCCACCACTTTTGATCAGGAAAGCGATGCCGGAGATAGCTTGTAGGACAGAACCCTTGCCGGAGGCATACGACAATTCGCGGAATGGGAAGCTGATGCTCGATACCGTAAAAACATAATTTTTTCTATTGTATCAAGCAGTTCGGCTTGATCGTTGCCACAGAGGTGAGTAAGAGCATGTCCTTGGAAACTATTTTCAGCGTGTTTTTAATCCGTTTGAAGAAGGTATTGGTTATGATCAGTACTGATCGGAGGCTTTATGAGAAAAATGAGTAGATTTCTCATCTAATGATGATACGGTGGCCTCTCTATAGATATACATAGGATCCAGCTCATAAGCCACGCAGTTGGTAAAGAAATGTCTACATTCAGGCCATCTTCGAGAGCTCACTTACTTAGGTGGTATATAGGAGTGATGACTGTCAAGTAATATCCTTTTTCCACGTATGGATGCTTTGGTCTTGAAAATAGAAATATTATTTCTTGTGACATGCTAGATCAGTACATGTGAAAATTAAAATTCTTTGATCTTGACTGTAAAGAGAAAACGGATCAATTGCCAGAACTTTTCCTAAATATTTTGAACTTAATCTATTGGTCGATATAGAAGATATAACTTTAGTTTTTCAAAGCCCAATAAGCAATGTGAATGGACCCTTTATTTGGTATCTTTACCTTTCTGTCAAATGCACAAGTGCAGACATATAGTTTTAGTATTTTTTGAGTAGCATGCTCAAAGCCATGACAATGACCTGACCTCCCGCCCTCTCCCCCATGGAACAATCTCAACAGCACCATCCGCAGATCTGATAATATCCGGAATCTTCTCTCCCATTTTCTCCAAACGAATCCTTTTTGTTGAGCTGGCAGGAGGTAATTTATAGAATTTGCGGCCAAATCCTGATAAAAAGCCCTCGATCGCTTCCAAGGTAAGCTCATTCTCGCTAATCCATCCTTGGTCAGCCGCCACCTCAAGAGCTTCGATGACAACTTGAGTTACGTATGGCTGTGTGAAGCATCCGGCGGCAGTTGCTCCTGAACCTTTCTTGGACTGGACTGGGTGAGGTGCGGAATCACTTCCTAGAATGTTTATAAGTAACTAAGCGTCAATAATAGAAGACAATCGTGAGTACGAACCGAAGAAGAATTTTCCGGATCCTTCAACAACAGCCTTGACTAGAGACAAGCGATCTTCTGGCGTCTATATGAAATTATTAGCTTCGTAGTCCAGTATAATAGGAATAATGATGATCGTACCTTTGCAATTGGCTTGCAGAAGTTGAACACATCTCCAACTGCATCATCAATCGTGATATGAAGGTGATGCGCTAAATAGTCGTTAGATGTCTTAATTTCCATCTGAATGATGCCAATTACCTGTGATAGTTCCTGCTACCTGTTTGGTAATAAGTGAATATTCCTTCTTATATATAGTGGACACGTAGATTACTTACATTAGGCCCGCAGGCACGGACAGCATCTAAACCTTGCTTGGTACTTACATGCTCCAAAATGATTCTCAATTTTGGGAAAGCAGCATGTAGTTTAGCAAGTTGAGGAATGAAAAGTGGCTCGGCGTTGAGTACAGTAACGACAGGTTCTGTTTGTTTCCCCACAGCGCTGGGTGGAGTGCTCATCATTTCGCCGTGTAAGTTGAGAACGAGATCGTGTTTTTCCATAGCGGCAAAGACTGGGTATAGCTGTTCTATGTCGAGTACGCCTTCTTGAGAGTTTGTTGTCACCTGTTGAAGATTCAGGAACATGGTCCATCTAAATCCGATCCCTGAAGACTTACACCGGCAGGGTAAAACTTGACCTAACGAACAACTTAGCTAAATGTCTTTAGAAGATGAATGAAGATTTCTGTTTACCCCATAGACAACTCCTGACTTGGCAGCCTTTTCAATTTCCTCTTCCGTTAAACCCGTATGCAAATAAAGTGACATGAGAAATTTGACATTGGGAGCAAGTTTTTGCAGCTTCTCATGATATTCCAATGCTTGCGACACAGTGCCTATCTTTGGCGTAAGATTGGGCATCACAAAGACTGTATCACAGCCCCCCTTCTCTACTAAGGGGGTGCATAGTTCCATCATGCCATCTTGCCGAAGATGAACATGCATATCCGCCTATTAGGCACTTGTCAGCTAACTAGTCCAAAACGTAATCATCTTTGGGGATTAGACAGGAAGGGCATACCGTAGGCGGCAGTTCAATTGATGCCAAGTCGTTCAATTGCATCTTGAATCTTCCTACCTTTTAAACAGGTTAGTACTTTTTGTAATCAAGAGTAGATAAATTCCGGAGATCCAAAAAAAGAAAACGTGGGGATGCTCTTGGCAGAGCAGGTTGCCCCGCTGAGGGTTTAAGAAGTCACGTGTTTGTACCATCAAATTGAGGCGGCGAACTTTTGACTCTTGATGTCACAGTTTGCGATGGAGAGGCGAAACTGACTGTATAGTAGTAGATTGTACTCCGTACTTGATTGAAATTTTAACTTGAGTTAGGGATATGAATTGCAAACAGTCAGCTCCCGCTATGCACAGGGTAGTGCTTCTTGATTTCTACTTGCTAGTCTACTTGCCAGTATAGGGGGATAGCTTCAGATTCGACGCATAGGATCTCTCTGGATCCGACGTAACTTGATATGTTGATACGTAGTTAGATATCTATACTCCGTAGAGAGCTGAATCATCGTTAATCATCGTCTTCCATTTGGTCCATTTGCCGTCAAGTCACATGATCTTTCTCGGTCTTCGACTGCCAGCTCCGATATCGGGTTCCACATTTTGATAAACTTGCAGAGATTCTCAGAGAGACTGGCCAATCGCAGCTGCCACCTTTCTGCTTACGAGCCGACATCGGCGCAGAGCCCCTCTGTCAGCGCGGTTAGAAAAGGCAATGTCTTCGCTGCTGCAAGCTGTCGTGTCCATCTGCAACTCCTTATAATCAGGTTTTTCTTTGCTCTATCGTATCACTATCTGGCTTACAGAGGCTTCAGATATTCAATTTTGTCAAATTTCATTGTTTTTCAATTGTTTTGTTCTGTTAAGATACCATTTCAGCAGCAATGCCAGGCGCAGACAGAAGACCAAGGACCTTGTATGACAAGGTCTTCGAAGACCACATCGTAAACGAGCAAGATGATGGCACAATTCTGCTATATATTGGTATGTCTGGTTTATATCTCTATTTAATATTAGTGCTATTGTGCTAATCTGCTTCGAATGATAGACCGCCATTTGGTTCACGAAGTCACATCTCCAGTACGACCATCCCTCCCTAAGATCCCGAGCCGCCTACTAACAGTCCCACTAGCAAGCCTTCGAGGGATTAACAAACGCTGGACGCAAAGTCCGTCGACCAGATTGCACTCTGTCTACTGTTGACCACGTACGCTCCTCCCTCGTTGTACCTGCGATTGCCCATCAATACTGATCTATAATAGAACATTCCCACGACCTCGAGGAAAACGTTCAAGAATGCCGAGACCTTCGTTAAAGAGACAGATTCACGCCTTCAAGTCATGACCTTGGAAGAGAATGTAAAGAAATTCGGTTTGACATACTTTGGTATGGATGACGACCGCCAGGGTATCGTGCATATCATTGGACCCGAACAAGGATTTACCCTTCCCGGCACAACCGTCGTCTGCGGTGACAGTCACACTTCAACTCACGGCGCCTTCGGTGCTTTGGCATTCGGTATCGGTACCAGCGAGGTTGAGCATGTGCTCGCTACACAAACACTTTTGACCAAACGTAGCAAAAACATGCGCATCCAGGTCGATGGAGAGCTTTATCCTGGAGTCAGCAGCAAGGACGTTGTCCTTCACATCATTGGAGTCATCGGTACCGCCGGTGGTACTGGATGTGTCATTGAATTCTGTGGATCAGTCATTCGTGGCTTGAGCATGGAGGCTCGTATGTCCATCTGCAACATGTCCATCGAGGCTGGTGCTCGTGCCGGTATGGTGGCCCCTGATGAGATCACTTTCGAATATCTCAAAGGTCGCCCTCTAGCACCCAAATACGGATCCGCTGAATGGAAAAAGGCCGTCAACTACTGGACTAGCCTCCGGTCCGACGAGGGTGCCAAGTACGACTCGGAAGTCTTCATTGACGCCAAGGACATCATTCCCACAGTATCTTGGGGAACTTCACCACAAGACGTTTTACCAATCACTGCATCCGTCCCTTCTCCAGACGATTTCAAGGATGAAGTACGCAAGCTCAGCTGCAAGCGTGCGCTTGAGTATATGGGTCTTACTCCTGGAACACCTCTGAAGGAAGTCCCAGTTGACAAGGTCTTCATTGGCTCGTGCACTAATGCTCGTATTGAGGATTTGAGAGCTGCTGCTAAAGTTGTCGAGGGACGCAAGGTTGCGTCAAACATCAAGAGTGCCATGATTGTGCCCGGTTCTGGACTTGTTAAGAAGCAAGCTGAGGCTGAGGGTCTTGACAAGGTTTTCATTGATGCCGGTTTTGACTGGCGTGAAGCCGGTTGCTCAATGTGCTTGGGCATGAACCCAGACATTCTATCTCCACGTGAACGATGTGCCAGCACATCAAATCGTAACTTTGAGGGACGACAGGGTGCTCATGGCCGAACTCACTTGATGTCACCTACAATGGCTGCTGCTGCTGCGATTGTTGGCAAACTTGCCGATGTGCGAGACTTGGTCCAGCCCAGTATTTCCAGCCAAAAGTCCGCTGCTCCAGTCACCATCCAGCCCGAAATTGAGGACATGGATACCGAGAGCGACCTCGAGCGCATTCTTGACATTCCTGAAGACAATGAGCCTCACGCAAACACTTCAGGTACTGGCTCTAGCGCTGGTCTGCCTAAATTCACAGTCTTGAAGGGTATCGCTGCCCCCATGGACCGTGCAAATATCGACACCGATGCTATTATTCCCAAGCAGTTCTTGAAGACGATCAAGCGAACAGGTCTCGGAAGCGCACTTTTCTATGAATGGCGCTTCAACACCGAGACTGGCGATGAGTTGCCAGAGTTCGTACTCAACAAGGAACCTTATAGAAATTCCAAGATCCTTGTTGTGACAGGTCCAAACTTCGGTTGCGGCAGCTCTCGTGAACACGCACCCTGGGCTCTGTTGGATTTCGGAATCAAATGCATTATCGCCCCTTCATTCGCGGATATCTTCTTCAACAATACATTCAAAAACGGCATGTTGCCCATCCCTATCACCGACGAAGCTGCTCTACAGAAGATTGCCGCTGAGGCTCGTGCCGGCAAGGAAGTCGAAGTTGACCTTCCTAATCAGGTCATTCGCGATGCCAATGGCAATGAACTAGCTCACTTCGACGTTGATGCTTTCCGCAAGCACTGCTTGATCAACGGTCTTGATGACATTGGTCTTACTCTTCAGATGGAAGATAAGATTCGCGACTTCGAAAGGAAACGAACCATCGACACTCCCTGGTTGGACGGAACTGGCTACCTCAAGCGTGATCGTCGCGGCCCTAGAAAAGTGGAAGCTGCTCCGGTTCCCAAGACGAATCGTGGTGATGTCAAGACGGAACCACTCGAGTGGTAAAAAATTTACGATATTTTTGTTCTCGCACCGTATTACTATGGTTTGTTGATTCTCAAATTTGGGTTGCGGGGTTGTTGTATACATGAAAACCACAAACTGGTTCAGCACTTTTATAATTATGTCTTATGATTATCGGCTAAATTACGATCTAACCTTATGTGCCTGTTGCACGTAGAATGCTGTCTTATGATAATTAACATAATATTGACGAGTCTTCCGTTGACACGTTGTTGAGTTCGTTTAATTCTTAACGACGAAGTAGTAAACTATGAATCATAGTAACTGCCTCCCTTGGAGGCTTTGAATAACCAGATAGATTAAAACATGTAATAAAATTTGGTTAGGGCCGAACGAAGTAGGTAATCATAAATTGGTACACATCTGAGTCACTCAGAAAATCTATATATCCTGCTCATAAATATTGGTACATGAAAGCGCAGTAAAAACGCGAAACGAGGAAAAGCCTTGCATATGTAAGTAAGTAGCTTGTCTATATCAATTATAAAAGAGTAAATGGAAATCGTAAAACAAGTAAAAAGGCAAATGCGATGATCGGGCCAAAACAGAGTGTACAAAATTAGGGCTTGTGAAGCTGCTCTTTACGGAAGAACATGAAGAACCCGGCACTAGAACAGTCAAATCATTAGCACAACGTCTTCTTCGTATGACAGAAAGGGACTGTTCGAGAGACTTACCAAATCAGAAGCTGGAAAAATAGTCCAATCCAGAACCATGCTACCCATATACTACCAACCCCTGTCCCAATATCCGGCGAGATATCCCCCGGACCGATTTTGTTTGGCGCCGCTGCGCGAGCTACAATCGTAGCAATGGAACCCAATACCTGAGCCCCAAGAAGAACGAAGCATATGTGCAGACGGGTAAGAGTCTGCAATAGGATCATTCCAAATCCAACACCTTGCAGTGAATCAAGCACACCTAACCACAACCACAAACTGCGAGAGATTAATGCACCAGAGACAAAGCTGCCGGCCCAGGGAACGTACTGCCCTAGGTTCGATGTCCCCCACCATACTTGAGCCCATCGAGGTGCTCCGAGACCGATGGCGAAGACGGGTAGAATCCAGCTGTGAGATTTGGATAGGAAGAACATTATTCCTAACATGATCCCCCAAACGATAACAAAGAAAAAGACGACCAGAAGGACAATCTGCCAGTTCGACGCGTGGTTGGAGCTCCAGAGAAAACTCCAATTTCGTCCATAGGGAGCTGAGAGAAAGAAGTTTTGTATCAAAACTGTGACGAAGAACCACATGATGATCTTGCGGCGGAAAATCGATTTGTAGAATGATGCTACTTTACCAGGTGCTTGACGGTAGTAATCTGGTAAACCGAATGCCAGCAAGATACCTATTGCCCAGAGCATAATGGCGATGGGCACAGTGATGGCTGTGATCTTCCAGCTATTGATGATGGGTTGAACGTTGGTGATGCCAGCTTGCGTCTGTTTCGATAACGAAGAGCCCCAGTACCAAAGAGCCACAACGTATAACTGCTGAGTACCTTGTATAACGCAGGCCCGGAAAACCCAGTCCTTCACAGGAGCAGCACTCTCATCGCCGAAGTTGAGCGAGAAGAATATTGAGCCACTTGACGATGCAGTAGCGTACATACCACTTGCAAAATTTTGAATCCAGCCACGGTTGACAGAGTTGTGTTCAAAATGTGCAAGACCGATCAGAAGGAAAGCAAGGCCATAGAAGAACCAGGGTGTTGATAGTGCAACCACAGACTTAAAGGTTCGGAATACGAACCACCAAGCAATGGATGTGATTAGGTAAGTTGTAGCAATTGCGTACAGCTTCTCGGGAGTTTGACCAACTTGACCCGTCAGGAGCGTAACCTGGTAGGAGTTCGCAGCGATGATCTGACCAAGACTCAAGAAAAGCGAATATATTGGCCAGTCGCCAATACGTAGTTGCATCCACTTTTTAAGGCCTGTCGGGGGTTTATAGTCCTCTCCCAACAAGAACTCATCGCCACCCTTTTGGATATCACTGTTGCTGTCGCCATTGGATACTGAATCCGTCGGGGAAGTGAGTGCCCCTTTACCCTTGATCGATGGTACCGGTGACCAATCTCGACCAAGGCGAGCCGCTCGGAATCTGTCGTACCATTTCTTCTCACTCTTGACAAGAAATTCCTCGATGCAAAGTTGTGCTTCAGAGTTGGATCCATTGAGGTCTTCCAATTTCTTTTCAAAGATGCGATAAAATTCACCGGTGGCATCCGTGAAGAATGGATCTACCTTTTGAAGTTTGAAGTTCTTCTTGTCACCGACCACAGTATCAAGGGACAGTACAGACGGGTTGCTGAGTCGATTTGGAGCGTCGGCAAATGGCCTGTTGGGAGGCGCGAGAGGGTCATCTCCCTCCGAAAAGCCAGGAGATGCGGGAAGATAAGGATAGTAGTGGTTTCCCGGGTGACTAGCATGGTAAATAGGAGGAGGAGAGGGGAGAACGTGACCCTCATCCATTCGCCGATTCATATCAGCATGTTCCGGTGCCATAGTGAATTCCTCTTCCGCAAAGTAAGAGTGCATGTTCTCGTCTTCCGTCTCATAATCGCCCTCACGCTCACTGTCAGTCACTTCTTCCGATGCAGCGACGTGACTCTTGCGACGAAGTCGGTTTCGTCTCTCAATAACAGCAGTATGGCCAGGACCAGCTCGAACACCCAGAGATAACTGGCGGAATAAGTTTGAAGTGCGTCGATCATCTCCATCGGGGCTTGGATCTCTGCTGTAAACGATTGTATTCCTTTGTTGCGGACCAAGGGTGCTTTGACGTAAGCTTGAATATCCCATACTTCCTGATTCCATGAGTGAGGGAGTCTGGGTGCCAGGGGGATAGCCCGATGCCGAGACTTGTAACGGGGGACTGAGAGAGTCGCTTGGTATGCGGTATCCTGTCGGTGTGGAAATCTGTCCATTTGACTTGATAGTCTCTCTTGTGTGGATTCGAATAGAGGTACTTTGAAGGATTTCCAAATCCTCGATCCACTGGGCAACTGGGAATCGCTGTTTAGCTGATCTAGCACGCATTTCCGCACGAACCTTGGTCTTTGAATTCAAAGCACCATCAATTGCAAGTTTGAATTGATGGAGTAAGTGAGAAGTCGTTGTAGATTCAACCGTATACCACCAACCGGGCATCTGGCCCAGCCCTCCAACACGTGCTCCAATACCTAGCGCTCCTTTTCGGCCGAACTCAACAGCGACCAAGCCGAAAGGCTCGTCTCTTGAAGGTATCAATGCAAACTCAGCACCAGAGAAGATGTATGGCGGGAGTGCCGTGAACTGGGGTCTGGAGAACACGCGTCCAGGATAGAGCTTCATCATGCGATCCAGCTTCAAGGCCGCAAACTTGCCATATAGATCAATGACCGGACCAATACAGATCAATTGCACATTGGGACGTGCCTCAAGCACAGATGGCATAACATCAGCAATAAGGTCAATACCCTTCTGCATAGACCAACGGCCAACAAACACCAATAGATCAGCTTCGGGGTTTTGGTCGAGACCCGCCCATTCCTGTGCTTGTCGCTTGAGTTCGACTCTTCCAGCTTCGAATTCTTTATCAACAGTGATATCGCTTTCTTTTGGAACAGACTTATCCCAGTCGGCAGTATCAGACGGGTCAGGATTAGGGAGGTTTCCGACCTTTTTGAGACCCCAGAAGATAGGATAGCGAGCATAAGATCTCTTGCCATACTTTTTCGAGACACCTACGGCGCCAAACCCTTGTTGATGGACTCGCAAGTAACTAGCACCTGCGTGCAACAGATTGAAGACTTCGCCGAACTGAACATAGCGGGTAGCGATGTTGACATCAAGGTTGAAGACCGAACAGACTTCATCTTTCTCATTCTGTGTTCGCATGGGCCATAGTCCCTGAAATTCAGCATTGTGGAGTGATAAACATGCCGGTATCGTCTGTGGAAGAAGATACAAAGGAGCCAGTGATCCGTGATAATCATTGATATGGTAGAGATCAATTGGGAAGCGTTTCATGGCTTCGGCAATACACTGGTTCCAGGCCGAATAGTAAATCGCGCTGTCTAGGTCATCCATGCGTGCCGGATACGGTTCGGTTTTGGTCTGTTGCCGGAACACTGGAGCATCAAGAAGGACATAGGTTATATTTCGGAGAACATGGTATTGAACCTTAACCTCGTAAGAGTTCCCAAGGACAGTCACAAACATTGGCTCCGCGGGCTGGTCTTCGGGGTACTCAACGTCTCCAACACATGGCACAACCCAAATAAGGTCTTGGTGACTAAGGTTCTTTCCCATTAACTGTGCCATCACACCTAGTCCACCGATTTTGATCTTGATAGCCCAGTCTTCAATATCATACTCCATGGTTGCGATCATGACCATCCGGCGGCGATCTCCTTGAGTCGCGCCAGCGAAGGCCGAAGTGGTTTGAAGGAACCCAGATCGATTGGCTAGACGAAAAAGAGGATTTCTAATTTTGATCCCGCTCAATCTTGCCTTTTTCAATTGTCTTCTCACGGCCAAGGGAAGGATTCCAGTCTTCTCAGTAACACCGACTTGGTTGAACTTGACTCGGTAGAAGGATTTCATGAACAACCAAATACCAAGAGATGCAGAGAAAATTGGGACAATCAAGAAGAGAGAGAAAAGTATGATCTGGATCTTTGTCGAGCCAACTGGTAGTAATTCAAATCGTTGGGTGCCATCGTGAATCCTGATTTCCCAACCAAGGTAAGGCGATGGTGGTGGGTGGGTGATGTTGATGGCCACAGCGGACAGCGCAGAAGGCGGTAGACGATCGAGAACAGAATCTCCATCGGCATCGCCAAACACAAAACCTTGATCAGGCTGACCGTCCGGGTTGATGCTCCATACATTGACTTGGCCTTGAGCGGGCCACTCTGTCAAGAACTTGACTTTCCATAGACCATCACTTGGATCCTGAATCATTTCGTTCTTCAACCCTGCATCGAAGCCGTATTGGTTGTAGGGACCGTTCCAGAATAAGTGTGGGAATCTGCGTGGAAATGGAGATTCCCAATCGCTATCACCTTCTTGAACATAGTCACTGCTACCGGATAGTCTGCTGAAGTACTCAACCCTGACGTGTTTTCCTTTCCATTCTTGTAGAGAAGTACCAGACCAAGGGAGCTCGTCTATAGTATCATTCCCGCCTCCGTAAGGCAGCCAATTTGAAAAGGATGACCCCCAGTTTGTTGAGTATCGCCACATGTCAGCTCCAGCGGCATGATGCTGCACGTACAGAGTCCCGTTGTCGTCCTTATGTAGTAGACTGGTGGAATAGTTGGCAGAATTGAAAATCATTGGGTTATCATGCTGGCCAACTCGAAGTAGGAAATGATCGATGGCATTGGTTGTAGTGCCATCAACACTACTTGCATTGGCGACGGTGATGCGATGTATTCCGTTGTAGACATTGTTAAGAGTCGCTTTCCATACCCAGGCATTTGCGATCTCACCAATGAACTTAGTTGTACCACCACTGATATTGCTGCAAGAGACGCTGGAGGAATCGATTGTCGCGGTCTGCTTAAATTCAGTAGTGGAGTTTAGTAGAATTGACTTTGTAACAGAGTTACAGTCCATCTGCTCTGAGAAATAGATCTGAATGGGTATCGATTCTGGCTGATCAGGGAGTACACTGGACAGTATACGAGCATCATGTCCAGGCTGAAACTCTGTGATCATAGGGTACGGTCCAACCCATTTGCTCTTGGGAACATATGCTCTGAAATCCCATGGCACCATCGTCAGATTATCTAGGCACCCATTGAACTCTGTTGAGCCTTCTAGTCCAAGTTTGACTGGACTCGCTTTCAGCGTCTGTTCGTCATATGGGTAGAACAAGTTCTTGACAGTTGTACCAGCATCAAAGGGGGCAATTAGGGACAAGTTTGTAATTTCACTCTTGCAGTCGAACTTGTAATTGATCGTGGTGTTGTCGTTTTGATAAAGTAGCCAAACTGACTGATTGTTACCGAGATCCTGAATGCCTTCAAATCGACCACGTAAAACAGACCACATCCCTGTCTCGGTTGCTGTTCCGTTAGAACCAGGCAGGTAAACATTATGGGTTTGTTTTGATAGCGACTGGAGAAGGTATCCGTCATTTAGAACGGGGAATCTCTGTCGCATCTGGAACATGTGCTTCAGAATGTTGCGTAAGGGGTGTGCAGGATCTCTGTGATCGTATGTCACCGAAATGTCCTCACAGCCATTCAGTGCGGATTCCAGTGGAAATTGATAGTACTGAGTGACATTCACTCTGTAACATCCGTGAGCCCACCATGCAGTCGCTGGAGACATGGCCTGACGACCATAGACATAATTGTCTGCCGTAGCATCGAGTATGTAAAAGCCTTGCTCCTCTCCCCATAAGACAAGAGGTGCACCGGGCATATGAAGTGTAGTTATAAACATGCCTAGCAACATTTTCTCCGTCCCGTTCTGGATAGCAGGCCATCGAAACACATCTTGATTAGTCGTACCATACATATGGCGTGGGTCGAACTTGCCTGTATTGGCATTGACCATATCATTCGATAGAAGCATGAGATTCCACATGGTCACCCAGTCATTGGGTAAATCGTAGCCAGCAGCAAGGTTTCCATCGAGACCCAGAAAGCGTGTTAGTGTTCGATAAACCGTATAGTGGAAAGCGGCTCCGTCGATAGCTTGTTGTCCATTCTCACGAATGAAGTATTTGTCTGAAGATTCATTTGTCATGAGAACGGCATCCTGGACATTATCAGGCCACATATCCGGCTGTCGTCCCCTTCCGAGGTAAATGGAACCAAAGCTGTTCCCACCGGTAATCTCACCGGACAGAAAGAAATTTTCTTTACCGACAGCTCGCGCACACTGGCGCCAACCTTCGCTCATTTCACCTAGAGCATCGACTGTTGCCTGCGTTGCCTTGTCATAGCGGAACCCATCTACATCTAGTGATGCTATAATGATACAAGCATGTCGAATAAGTCTCTCTCGAACTGATGGCATCCACTCTCGCAGACGGTCTTGCACGGAAGCGAACTTTGCCAGTTCACGCTGATAGTCAGGGAAGACGCCGAAAGCCTCGATGTCGCCATATTGATCGAAATCACTGTTATAGCAGCCTTTCAACTCGTCGTATACGTAACTTTCCACCGGATAACCAGTTTCATTGTAGAATCGCGGATATTCACAGGTGGTATTGTAATTATTTCCGAAATTGAAGTCCACGTATTGACGAGAGCTCTTATATTTGACCTTGTGTTCCTGGAATACGAACGGCGCAGTTGTGTTTAGGTAGCCTTCAAATCCGAGTAGATCGCCCATCCTATAATACAATTAGTGCTTATTCGAGTTGTCCGGCATCGAAAGACTATCTGGACTTACGTTGCAAGTGTATTGTCAAAGATGACATACATGCCCCTTTTGTGAATCTCGGTGATGGCTGTCCTCCAAGTAGCAATATCACCATAATGTTGGTCCAACAGTGTTGTATCAAGAGCTGAGTATCCGTCAAAACCCCATGGCTGGTTCATGAGAGCTGTTCCAGCGAGGTATATAGCCTAGTTCGATAGCGGAGCCTGAATCAGTAATTGTCTTCGGCCAGGGAATAGCTGTTGATAGCACCTACCTTTATTCCCATCCCCTGTAGATAGTCCAAAGTATCAACTAGTCCAATCACATCACCTCCATGGCGCATTTGCGTTGAGTCTAGGTTATGTTCGTAGTACGTGCCGTTGATGTTGTCATTCGTCGGGTCTCCATTGACAAATCGATCAAGAAACAGCGAGTATATAGGGACCCGCCAATTATCAGGAGAAGGAAAATATTCATGATTAGGCCAAGTGCCCCAGTAATCGGCGGGTGTTCTTGCAGTCCGGTTCTCATTTAGGTTGTAATGTGTGAGATCTTGGTCGTATGGCCATGCTATTGTTGTTCTGGCCGAGAGAGCGAGCAGTAAACCCGCGGTTGCCCACTTCATGGCGAGTGGTTATGGGAAAGGAGTGACAACGTTTTATAGATTATGCATGTGTAGGGCTCTGTTCAAAGAATGGGGTATCACAAATATTCTGCATGAAAAGAAAGCAAGTTAGTGACAATGTCAGATAGAGGCAGACTGGCAGTTGCCTCGTATAACCTGGATGCTTACAGATATAAATATAGACTTTATGCCCAGCACAAAAGCACTTAGTAGTCAAATATAGTCCCTGCGTATTTGCAAATGAAGATATTAAAGGTTATTGACAGAAATGATGGTGAGAAGGCGAGATCTGTGCGTATTATCAGGCCGGAGACTGGCAGATCTACACGAGGAGGGGGATACACACAAGATGACAGGGAGAACTTATCCAGGGAATAACGATTTGAATTGGGGAGAGGAGTATCATGAACCATGAGCTCTAGGTACAGGGATTTCTCCACAGGTCAGCGTGCCGCTGCGAGGAAAAGATCCGAGAATGTCTGTACGAGGCTGGAAGGATGTTGTCATAGAACCCTTCAATGATTTGGAGGAAGGCAAAAATCACTGATTCAGTATATTGTAAGTTGTATCCCTATCAAAAAGAAAAGGATTGGAATGTCTCCCTATCTCAGCAGTACTAGAAATCACTGATACTTGTCTCGTTTTCCCACTCTGATTCTTATTTTTTTACCCCTGGAACAGGGCCCAGGCGCGTCCTTCGGGAGATCATGCTTAGATACTGTTAGGAAATACGATTATGGCAGCCTTTAGAGAGCGTGGTTCTGATTGGAAAGCTGTGTGTTACCATGCAAAGGGATGCAGCTTAGGGCTAGGTACCTATCTAGGTACCTTAGTTCAGCAGATGGATACGGCTAGTGAATGATCTTCCAGGGGACAAGTCTTTGTCCTAGGAGTTGGTTTAGTGCAATTACGATTAAGGACAACAATAACTACGACATCCTCATTTTCCTTGGCGTTCCAAAACAGGGGGTATCTAAGACTTGAAACTCCGAAGCGAGGTGATTCTTGTAGATACTTATCGTCAAAATTAGAAGAAGGCTGAAAGATAATACGAGCACTATAGTCCGAGTATAACTTGAGCCTCATGTTTTATGGTGTATGTTATTCTATATGAAAGCAAAAAGCGGCCGAGTCGTAGAATACGACAGTTCATATTCTGTGAAGCGATGCAGATAAGGTCTCTGCATCCATTTGCGCCGTAATAGAGTTCTAGACTCTGATTTCATACATGGAATGAAGAACAGATACGCGAGCAGAACGATTCTCTTGAACGGCCATATTTCAAATCAGCCTTCTTTCCATACTATTTTCGGATTTCCGAGTTGTATGGACCGAGATCATCATAACTCAGACTACTATTGCCAGAGTTCATTCTAGATATTCCATGCGAAGCAATGAGTTATAACCCTGATAACACTATGAAAGAGTATTGGACAGCGTGGAGTCTGTGTGATTTTACGCGGAGCAAGCATCATAAGATTTCGGCATGCCGTACTTCAATGTGGGTTTGACAGAGTTGTAAAATCTGAGACACCATCAATAAGATGAGATCTCCTTGCATACGATAAGCGAGTCTGAGTTAAGGTCTCGTTTCGATTCTCGGTACGACCGGGAAATAATGCCCAAATCTCATCTAGCCGTCGTCGATTGATGAAATGTCGTACAGAGATCCTGGTACACTATGATATCATCTGTGTGATATAACACATCCTAAACGCACCAGATAATTTCTTTCAGTCCATTTACTCGGTATCCCGTATTACGATCAGAGTAAACAGCTGATCAGAGGTATGCATCACATTCAACATCGGATAGAGAGGATGTCGGGATAAGGACAAGAGACCCTCTCAATCAGCTAAACCCAGATTTCTCTAACCTAAATAGTTATAGCTTCAAATATACGGGTGTTTGACTGGCTACTTACCAGTAGTGAGACCCACTGGCCCGCCCGTAGCGAACCTAATTCTCCACAGTGACGATCAAGGGTTTCTGGTCCTCGCTTATTATTGGACCCGGAATTGCATATATCGGACCCTCCTCTATCAGATTCGCCTTGCATCAAGCAAGTAGCTTTTCCTCTCATCACTGACTCGAGCAAGGTCTGATTAAGGGTGAACCAAATCTTTTTTCGCTAGGTTTACATGTGACCTTCGTACCGGTCCCTCATCCTGGGATTGATCATCAGGCACAGCGTGTCATCCCTGCCGAGGTGAAAACTGTTACTTTAATTAACACGGAAGCCGTATCTAGGTAGAAGTGTACTGAAAGCTATGCATGCGGGAAGAGTACACCTAGGTAGGTATATAATACCGTGTGAGATTTGATTTCCCCATGCTTTCAAACGATGAATAACCCCAATAGTCCGTTATCTCGCGCTATTGGAAGGTTAAGGATACCTAGGTAAAATTGACATTGTTATCTATTTACATTACTACCTGGTAACTGTTAAAGCGAGGTCACAGCTAAAACCTGGAAACTAGTCGAGTTTGGAACTGTTCTACGGATATGCATTTATATAGAACATACCAAGCTGGTTAAACCCCGGATACATCCACATATTAATAACTGCGCAGGTGGGCAAGTTCCGAATCTAGAATTGAGAAACTTTATGTTTTTATTGTACAAGCTATTTACAAGAAATATTAACCAGGAATAAAGCTATCGTCTGCGCTTACATAGATACGCTTCAAACCGGTATATGAATATGCCAAATCTATTTCACCCAGAAGTCGCAGGCACCAAATTCTCTTACTACGGTAGGCTTCTATTGGGCCTTGTACTTATTGCGATATTCTTCCAACCTGCGCACCTCCTCCTCACCAATTTTGTCTCCAAGTTTATCAATCAAGTCCTGGAGAACCAGCACAGCGCGAATCGGGATATCTCCTCCAAGATCTCTCTCGGCAGCCCCAATCGCACTCTTTTGTTCTGTATCACTGACTCTTTCCTGACGGTCAAACAGCAATACAACACCGGCGACAATTCCGCCTTCTTTCTGAATAATTCCAACAGCTTCTCGGAGCGCGGTACCAGCAGTAATGACGTCGTCAACGATTAAGACACGCTTGCCCTTGAGTGGCGCACCGACAATATTACCTCCCTCACCGTGGTCTTTGGCTTCTTTGCGATTGAACGAGTAGCTGATGTTGTCCCAAGTCTTTGTGCCAGCGAGCGCGTCCCGGGTAGCGAGTTCGTTAACGACACCGACGCATTCTGGAATACCCTTATAAGCGGGCCTATGTCAAGTTAGTTCTCGTCGCACCTACAATCACTCAGAAATTGGACTGCAACCGTACCCAAAAACAATGTCAAACTTTGGAGTGATGCTGCCGTCAGCAGCTATGTTCACAAAAGGTGGGGAAGAGGTGACATTTGCGAACGCGGCTGAAACCTGGCGTAGCAGAGGTGCAGTATAAAGACGACTCGAAGTCAAAAAGTACGGTGACTGGCGACCGGATTTCAATGTGAACGTCCCAAATGCGAGCGCATTGTTGGCTATGAGCAAAGAAAGAAGATTGGCCTTGTAGTCCTGATCGGCGGATTGAGGGGTAGTCATGCTGAAGGGGTTTTATGACAGCGAATCGGTTGCGGCGGTAAAGATCGAAAGCTGAGCAATAATAGGTACAGGCACAGATATAGTCAGGCTGTCGTCCTATGTGCTGACTAGTCTGCTGCGAGTATCACAAACAGAATGAGCTCCTTGTTGGATAAAAATTGCATGGAGGGGCATAGCTTACCCGCTCTTATCGTGACGAGCCAATCAGCTAATGATGATTATGTGAACTCTGATTGGTTGTTAAGCACCCCTCTCGTCGCTGACCGAGTATAGAAGATCGAAATCATCTTCATTTTTCCCCATTTTGAAGTTCAATTGAGGAAAATTATGATTATCCTTAAATCATCAGGTCTCCTGAGTAAAATAAATTGGTATTCTCCCGACTTTTTTACTGACACATAGCCAAAACCGAACTTTCTACCTTACGAAACATTCTCTGCCATTGGCGGGGACTTCCGAATCCGAATTAGCGTCATTTCTCCGGACTCCGATAGCGGGATTGGCGGTCGTTTTTTATGATGAGCATGGGTCGGTGACCAAGCTGCTTCATTTCTACACTTCCTCTCCTCAGTAATTTCGGTGTTTTGTTTTGTTCTCATTCCTCTTGTCCCGAGGGTCCTCGAGTTTCCTTTCTCTTAATTTGTTTTTGTCTTTCATTTTGCAAAATTGTTCTTCTACTGTATACACCTCATACTTGTACTATTGGTGCTTAAGGTTGTGCTTATCCGGGTTTCCTTCTCGAACTTCATCAGACTAGAATTTTGCCATTGAACCACGAGCTTCGTGTATTGCGATCTACATCGTATCGAGGAAAGAACACAGAACGATCCCATATTGAAACTTATAGCAACGGCGCCCAGTCACGATGCATATCGGGCAGAAGCTCCAAGAACAGGAGACCTCGGGCCGACCTGGAATTTCATTCGAATATTTCCCACCAAAGACCGCACAGGGTGTCCAGAACTTATACGACCGTATGGACCGCATGCATGATTTGGGCCCGGCTTTCATCGACGTTACTTGGGGTGCAGGCGGTAGCCGATCTGAATTAACATGTGAAATGGTTCGAATTGCGCAGACTGTCTTCGGACTGGAAACCTGCATGCACTTGACTTGCACTGATATGCCTCGAGAACGAGTCGATGCCGCCCTCGAATCTGCTTATAATGCCGGCTGCACAAACATCCTGGCCCTACGTGGAGACCCGCCTCGTGAACAGGAAAAGTGGGAGGCTGCGGAGGGGGGCTTTCGATATGCAAAGGACTTGGTTAAATACATTCGTGAGAAATATGGCAACCACTTCGACATTGGCGTTGGTGGGTATCCAGAGGGCGCTGACGACAATCCCGACGTCGACCAACTGATTGACCACCTTAAGGAGAAGGTGGATGCTGGAAGTTCATTTATCGTTACCCAGATGTTTTATGACGTGGACAACTTCTTAGATTGGGTGTCCAAGTGCCGTGCTAAGGGTATCAAAGCAGCCATTATTCCTGGAATCATGCCTATTTCGACATATGATGCTTTTATGCGTCGCTCCAATTGGACGAAGATCCGTATTCCTCCGGACTGGCTCGACAAGCTTGAGCCCGTCAAAGCAGATGATGCCAAAGTACGAGAAATCGGCACCAAGTTGGTGGCTGAAATGTGCCGTAAATTATTGGCATCTGGCCAAATCCATCACCTTCACTTGTAAGTTTATCTGTCTCCATTCTAGATTCACAATGAGCTTATATTGGTATCTCTAGCTACACTATGAACCTTGCACAAGCAACTCGTCTGATTTTGGAAGAGCTGAGACTTTTACCATCAGAGGAAGCTCCCCTTCACAAGCCTTTGCCGTGGCGACGATCCCTCGGTTTGCGACGACGCAGCGAAGACGTTCGTCCAATCTTCTGGCGAAACAGAAATGCCTCATACATTGCTCGCACAGCCGACTGGGACGAGTATCCCAACGGTCGTTGGACTGACGCTCGTTCTCCCGCTTTTGGCGAGCTGAATGCTTACGGTGTGAGATTGAAAGGCACCAATGAACAGAACATCAAGCTCTGGGGTGCACCCAAATCCATCAAGGACCTTTCGGATATCTTTGTCCGCTACTTGAACGGGAAAGTCGAAAGACTGCCATGGAGTGATTCAGCCGTGACTCCAGAGACCAGTGACATTCAAAACGAACTCCTTGACTTGAACAAGCGGGGCTTCCTTACCATCAACTCACAACCCGCCGTGAACGGAGTCAAATCCACCGATCCAGTTCACGGCTGGGGTCCTCGTAACGGATACGTCTACCAAAAAGCATATCTTGAACTGCTAGTTCCACCAGAGCATGTTGATGAGCTTCTACGACGGATTGAGAAGAACCCAGATCTCACTTACTACTGTGTCAACAAGACTGGTGAACTGAAAGCACGGAGCGACGAGGGACCAAATGCAGTTACATGGGGTATCTTTGCCTCCAAGGAGATCATTCAGCCCACCATCGTTGAAAGTGTAAGCTTCATGGCCTGGAAGGATGAGGCCTATCAATTGGGAGAAGACTGGGCAAAGTGTCATCCTGCAGACAGTCCTAGCCGGAAACTTATTCAACGCGTCATGGATGAGTGGTATATTCTCAATATCGGTATGTCGAATATACACCAACTGCTATCAATATGACCTAGCTAACCACTACCTTAACAGTAAACAACGATTTCCATAAAAATGACGACATCTTCCGCCTCTTCGACGGCCTCGTCATCAAAGACTTTGAAACCGAAGTTCCTGGCAGTGCTCCAGAAGTAGTCACCAACGGCACCACAAATTAATCTCAACTCTACAGTCTACAAATTAGACAGCACCACAATCACGCACCAAAACCACATTATTCAACATTACCGCCACTTTTTTTTTTCTAAGAAAAAAATAAAACAAGGAGCTGGAGAGGAAAAAGGACACTCTCAACGGCGTTTAATTTCCTTCTATTATCCACCTTTCTTTTTCTCCATTTCCTATTCTGGTCCAGGATTTTCAACAGAGGACCAACCTAAAAACAAAGATTAATGACTATTTGACGAACCGAGACAAGAGAAAAAACGACGTGATGAAATTCAACATTTAATACCATTCAACATGCATCATATATATATATAGACATTTATTCGTTTACCGCAATCGTTCGGGGAAGTAGGGGCCAGAGACGGTGAACGGGGTAGTAGTGAAGTAGTACTGTGAAACTTGGGAGAGAATAAGATACCAATCTAATCGGAAATTTATTTTCTTCGTTACTATTCTCTTTTTATGTTGACTTGGGTGCTTTCGATGGAGACGAGACTTAAGCTTACTAGACTTTACCCCGTATTGTATCAGAAAAGATACATGTAATCGTCACGCTCCGAGTACTACTTCGAATCAGACAAAGAGACGAACAGTGATTCCTTTTGTACCTAGAACAGGATCAAAGGTGAGTTACAACGAGAGTCAGGTCAAATTGTGTATGACGGTACTGTCCTGGGCAGAGTTCAGGATACATTCATTATTAACAATGAGGAGACCACCAGTATCAAACCAGTTAAATACATCAATGGACGGATAACACCAAAAGAAGAAGCAAAAGAACGCCAGAGAACTCGAAGAATATCCAATCATTACTCCCAAGACAACTCCATCCCCGACCAACCCATGCTTGAACCAAACTGCCCTGAGAATATATGATACAACCAATTTTAAAGAAAGACATATCTTCACTCCATAACAGCACGCACCAAATTCCCAAAAACCCATCCAATAGGCCTACAAAACCATATAATCCAGTTAGTGACAATCACAACATACGCCGCCGTCCTGACCACGACGACAAACACAAAACACAAAACCGCAAGATTGACAAGAGCTTGCCCTACATCTCCTGCAATTTGGCCGAAATCATCCACACACGACTGTGGTAGGTATCCGTTTCGTTTGTATTCTAGCCATACTTCTGCTAGGCGTTTGCATACTTTGAAGCAATGGGTTGCCATGTGGAAGAGATTTTCGCAGTAGAGGAGAATTTGAGAGTAGATTTTGTGGTCACGAAGGAAGTCGCGGAATTTGTTGAAGGAGAGGTAGAATACGGCGAAGCTCAAAACGTTGCTTATATCGTAATGATTGCGGGAAGTAGTGATAGGAATTTGTGGTTCGTCGAGTCCGCTGGCACCAATATCCTCACGCCTACTCTTCTTTTCGGGAACTGATTGACGATGTACACCCAATTTCCGAGCCGGCTCTCGTGTTATCTTTGCATTGGTTGACGAGATATTACTAGATTCGTTTTTCGCACTAGAAGAAGTTGGAACAGATGTTTTGGATTTGACCTTCGCTTCTTTATGACGGGCTTCCGCTTGTTGCTCGGCTAGTCTAGCCGCTCGTAGTGCTGCTTGTTTCTCGGCCTGCCTTTTTGCTTCCTTTTCTGCCTGCTTTGCTGCTTCTTCCTCTGCCTCTCTCTCTTTCTCTGCCTGTTTCTCCGCCTCTTCTCTCGCTTTGGCTGCTTTATAAGCTCTTCGAGCCTCATTGATTTTCTCGGTATTGAGCTTCTGCTGCTTCAATCCATCCATCTTCTTCGTAGTGCTCTGAGACTTGGCTTTGTCGTACGCAGCGCGTGCTTCGGCCAGTCTCTCCGCATGCTGTCGGGCGGCTGCTAGTCTCTCGGATGCAGTTTTGGCAGCAGCAGCGCCCTGTCTTGCCTTTTCCGCCTTTATTCGGATTTCCATCCGAATAGTATGAGTGTCTCTTTTCTCCCTATTTCGGGGCTTTGTATCGATTGTAGCAGTTTCCGCTTTGGGTTTTGCCGGAGGTGGAGAAGGTGAGGAACTCAGGGGTGGACTCGGTAGCTGCTGAGATACTTGCTGCCCGTCCAATTCAGCGACATGTGGTGTCTTGGGGGTTTCTGGGTCGCCAGCTAATCTTCCGTTCCGTACCCGCGTATTAAAATTACCGTTCGTATTCAGCCTCGTAAAATAATTGTTTTGAGATGGAGAGATGGCGCTATCTCCTGACCCGTTCCCTAGAAAATCCGGCGAGGCCGAACTCCTTGATGGCGCTGGGCTATGGTTCGTCCCTTGACTAGACCCAGGTGAAGAGCTTTCGAAGAACAAATCGTTCTCTGAAGTTGCTCGAGAATAATCATTGTTGTACCTGCGCGGCCTTGATGATGCTTTAGGTGCTGCACGAGTCCGGGATCGTTGCGATCCTGCTTTGGCGGGCCCAGCAGCAGCGGTGGAAGTGGACACAACAGCAATATCATCTTTTTTTGTCTTATGTTGACCATTAGTTGGTGAGCCACCGCTCGAAGGTTTTGGTATTTTAGTAGGCTGTGCTGGCGTCAATGCTGATGGAATGACTAACGTTGTCGCACGCTGAGGCTTGCCAAGAATCTTTTGAGTTGCTTTGTGAAGTGTTTGACCAGAAACTTGGGGCAACTTTGATGTCTGTATTGTGCCTGACAAACCTGATGATTCCCCTCTGTCACTTCCTCTGTCTGGCTTGATAACTGGTGATATTTGGGAATCAGTCTCATCGTCCGAGTTTGGGAACAACAAAATTTCATCCGGATTTTTGGCACCGGCCTCATCCACCCCAACGCATCCCAAGAAACACTCCTCTCTCAACTTCTTGAACAGTTCTTTCTGTTTGAGCTTAGGGTTATCGGTAACTGGGCTGACCCGCGATCGTCCGACTTCGTCAGAGCTGAAGTATTGACGTGGTCCATCCAGGGGAGGCGAAATAGGCTGGCTGCTGTCTGTAGAGAAAGAATGAGAGGTAGTGCCCTTTTGCAAGACAGGAACTGAGCTGATTTTCTTTGGATGCTGCGTGATTTTGGGCTCCGGAGAGCCAGACGATGACTTAGACGCATCCATCTCGTGTCTCGAAGAGGTGGTTGCATGAAGTTTCTTTATTCCCTCCTGATACAGTCTGATTTGTTCCGCAGTCATTGATGGTGGATTTGGATCATTGGCAGACGGCATATACACCACAAATCTATCTTCCCAGTCATCGGACGAAGAGAGATCCGTTGACCCCGAACCGGCAGATGACACAGTCTTGGCTAATTTGTAGCTCAACGGTGAACCATGTAGCGACGGCGTCTGAGCAATATCAACACTAACCCACTGATCGCCATTCACTTTCCATTTCTGACTGACTCGAGGACGGGGAACGTGATCTTCGTTAGAGCTATCAGTGCGGTTGCTCGGGCTAACCACACCAGTTCTTGGATTAGCGCCTCTCGTCGTGAGTTTATCCTCCTGTTTGACTTGATAATATCGCTGCTCTTTATGTTTCGGCGGCGTAGCCCATCTAGGCCTGCTGCGACTGTCCGCTCCGCCAGGTCTCCCAGAGATCACCTGAGCGGCAGCAGCGGCAATCTTGCGCTCCAGACGCTGTCTTATCTCTTTCCAATCTCGATCAGACGACTTCTTAGGCTCAATTCGATTGTGCTGTGAAGGCTCCATGGCGATATCTGAGCTAGTGGTTCCTTCTACATGGCTCCCATTACAGTGACTGCAAAGTGCGCCTGACATCAATATCTGCGAAGTATCGCTTCCATTGACCGTATCAAGCGAGCAACTTGGATCTGTAGATAGCATATGAAGATATATCGAGTCCTGGGAGTATGAGTATAAGGAGTATGTCTCTGCAAGAAGCTCCAGCTTTCGGATATGATCTGCTTGGCGGGATCGAGCAAAGAGTTGTTTAATGTTATGCCATGTCGAGGAGAATAAATTTTTAGCTGTAACGTGTAGCTGAGAATATCGATGTGTTCGGTGATCGCTACATGATGGGCATGACGAACGAGTATCTGGATTGACAGTCACAGGGACCGGCGTCCAGCGAATAGGGAAAAATGAGGAGGCAGACATTCGTCGCGAATCAGAGTGCGCTGCCATTGGAAATTCCACGCGGTCTTCGTTAATAATATGATGTCGCTAGTACTATGTCCAACGGGTTGTGGTTGGTCGGATAGTCGTAAGGAATGTGGTGTGTCTTGCGGAAGAGAACGTGTGGAATGCCAACCTCCCACAAGACATTTAACCTCAAACACGTGAGAAATCGGCATCACTTCAAAGTCCCTCCTGTACATTCAAGCATAGGGTGCAAATTGCGAAAGTGCAGTAATGGGGGATACCAGTGGCCATCTCTTGCCTCGCACAAGAATGAGAGAGCAAGGCACCTACCCCCGAACTCACTCTGTACATGATCGATACGTGGTGAAGAAGGAGCGATCTGCCATGGCTGGCGTGTTTTCCATGCGTATGTGACGAATTCCTCACTACGCGTCGCTGTAAGCAGTGAACGAGAAGCATATCGATCGGTACGATCGATCTATGATGTGTGGATGCCGGCATTTCAGATTAGGGCTAGAGTCCGTGCTGACACGTATCAGAATGTCAAAGTGTGATATTACCACAATGTTGACGACTAGTTTTGCTATCTCGTTTGAAATTCTGTATGAATTAAGAAATATCGTAAGCAAATTTATTGTTCATATACATGGATGCAATAGGGTCATGGGGTCCTTCATGAAAAACAATGGAATATGGAAGCGCACAATCTGAGTGTTAGCCCTAGTTACTCGTGGATGCAACTAGAAACGCCCACTCTCTCGCCGGTGAGCATCATTCAGATGCCCCCAACGAGGCTGCGCAACAGATGATGTGCTGAAACCTCCCGGTGTGCTGGTCCGCTTCAAGGGACTTGATGCTTTCTTTGCAGGCGTTAAAGCGGAAAGCCTATCATTAAGACTAGGTGTAGACCCCTGTCTATCTGCAGTAAAATTAGTAGACATTGACTTTCGTAGAGGAGAATTTGCATGAGAGTAGACTCCGAGACTACCACCGTCACCAGAACCAAGGGACGCCGTTAGCGGTCTAAATTGCGGCTGGCGGACGTTCGATAATTGATGTTGAACTATCGGCGAGCTGTCTCGTAGATGAATGGGTGTCTGTAACTGGGCACCAGCCTGTGAATTGGCCGGCATGAACGACTGCCGCCGAGAAGGCGACACCTTGCTTCCTGTTGACTCGGGGTCAACGTAGGCAACGTAGTTTGGATTTGGACTCGTTTTAAAGCCCCGATTAATAATGTGCGTGGGTGTCCAGAGTTCGACTTGGTTGTATTTCTCGTCCGACGCGGCATGTTTGATGTGCTCCTCAGAGAACTGGACGCCTACGTCTCGCATAAGCGGCTGCGTTCGAGGATGAACAAATTTAGTGTCATATTCATGCATGACTTCCTTGTGTACCACCGCTAAATCCTTAGATTGTTGGGAGAATGAAGATGAAAGAAATGACATCTGTACGGAAAGGAGGATAGCAAGGACAATGGTAGTGAAAATTGTTACGCTTGGTCGAGGATCGGAGGGGAGTGTCGGCAAAAAAAGCCAGTAGACAAGTACGTGACCTGGACTGAACGAACAGAATAGACGTAGTGATAAGGGAAACGGATCCCAAACAGCGATTTCCCAGACATCTCGCTTTGGATCTGGATGTCGGCGTGACTCCGCCGTCTCACCGGAGAGTATATTTCGAATGTAACCAATCGGAGAAGTGGACACGGGAGTTGACGACACTTTTACACGTTGCGCCGACGGTGTTGCTGGTATTTTATCGATCGAGGCTTCGAAAAGACGGTATCGACGTTTCCGCCAGAATGTGTAGACAGTGTTCGTTAATGAGAACAATGTGAGGAGATGGACAATAAAAGTAGCCTGTGTTAAAGCGAAGTATTAGCAAAAGTTCCATTCGCAGCATCGCATCAAGAGACCATAACTTACAGCCCAGCTTATCAACGACAAACTGCTGCGATCATCTCCAAAAATGTCATAATCAGCCCTGCTCGGCCCTGTCGCGCTATTTGCTCGAGCAATCAAGAACACAAAATTAAGCCCGAATCCCAAAGGTTGTGCCCAGTCCTTCTCTAGCTGAGCCCAGTCGCTAGAGTCAATCTCCTCTGAAATCCATAGCAGAAAGTCCCAAGGGTTGAAGAAATTGGCAATACGCTCGGAAAGCGGTTGACGGCGCACGAGTCGAGGCATAATGAATGCAAGAAAAGGGTGCTCGATGCTATATGGTTACTTGCATGGGTGGATGAGAAATTGCAAGAGCTTGTTTGCTCTTGACTTGCGACGGGTTTGACACTCTGTTTGGAGATGATGGAGAAAGACTTGGACGTGAAGAAAACAAGAGGCGAATCTTTACTAACAGTCTACCTAGAGCGGTTTAGCGCGCCTTATTTCGCGGGGACCTTGCTTCCGTAGTTCGAGCTTCCGACTTGTGAGATTGATAGATGCTTTTAAAGGAACATCAACATTACAAGTGTGTGAGGTTTTATTCTCTGAGATCATAAACGGAAATAGCCGATTGGATATACCAAAGCGCTTTACCGAATAATTCGCAAGATCTGCCGACCATGGCTGCTGCAGCTGCCTTCAAGGTATCTACGTTCATTCTCCCCGCAACAGTCTGACAATGAACTGGAACTGATCGTAACAGGACCGACAATTTCTAGCGGTGATTGGAGACGAAGAGTAAGTTATATGTACTTTCTCTTGTTTTCTCCGATTCACTAACCACATTCCTTGCGAATCTACACAGTTCCGTCACCGGTCTTCTGCTTGCGGGCATCGGCGTAAGAGCTCCTCAACATATATGCACCCCAACCAGGACGTCTCAAAAGACTAATACCCTCTGATAATAGCATGTCACTGAACCCCCCGACTCGCAACGGAACTTCCTCGTCGTTGACTCCAAGACCGAAACGTCAACAATCGAAAAAGCATTCCAAAACTTCACGCAGGAAAGGAAAGATATTGGTGTTTTATTGATTAATCAACATGTACAACTCCCACGCTGGTCACTTGAAGCAATAAGCTAACGAGGATCACGAGAAGATTGCCGAACGTATCAGGCCATCCGTCGATTCATTCACAGAAGCATTTCCGGCAGTCCTCGAGATCCCCAGTAAGGATCATCCGTATGACCCCGAGAAAGATAGTGTGTTGCGACGCGTGAGGAGGTTATTTGGCGAGTAAATAAATCACTGGATTGTATTGTCGTGCTGTTTTCCTTTCTTCTTTTGCGATTGTGGTTAGTACATGCTGCTGTGATTCCGTCGGCGTTGTGCGTCTGTCATTTCTTCTGTTTTCCCTCCATCTGATATATAGATTTGGTCGAAGTATATATGTGAATATGGACCGTGCGATTCAATGGATACCTCGTCAACAAATCGAGTCCAGGCCATATGTCTATCGGATTTAAGGTAAACCACACCTAGGTACGGCTCATAGACAGTAATGCCATCCGAATATGGGTCAATTGAATACGATAAGTTGCCTGCTTTCACTGTGCTCGGGAGACAGAAAAGTTTAGACCAAGTATAGCTAGGTAAATGACTACCGAATGTTCCAGCCGATGAGATAGATACTACTACTACATTTGACCTATTCTTTAACAGGATACCTCTGCTTAGTCAGATGTTTGTAAAGACTGAAAGTCTTTATAATTAGGGGAGTGAGTATCTCACACGATGCAGCTATTTACATTAAGAAAAGACACAGTGAGCAAATTGATATTTATCTCACCGTAGAAAACAGAACTGAATCTCAAATATGCATGATGGTTGTACTCGGTAACAATATTAAAAACTGAAGAGGGAAAACCAGCCAAGAATCTAGGCGGCACAACGACGACGACACTAATCAATAGCAAGGCATGGAATGGGGAAGAGAGCATAAACAGAACGCTGCGGATAGACAGTCATAGAGGTCAATTTAGCGGGAGCTTGTGTTGCATAACAAGGAAGGCACGAGCGTATAATCAATCAAGGAGAGAATTCACATCAACATAGACACATAATTACAGCATTACTGGAAGATGATATCGTGAGCTTGAAGGCAGGTGATGCGGGTCTTGTTTGGTGTATAAACATCAGCAAGAACAGCGTATTTGCCCTATTGTCCCAAATCAGTAAGGACACAGTAATGTTTTTGTGAAGGCTTCGTTTCGACTTACAGGTGGAACTTCCTTGGGAATCTCAACTTCCTTGACAAACTTCTTGTGTCCCTCAAGAGGGCATTTGAGGTCCGTATTTTGCTCAATTTCTTCACACAGATCAGCCTCCACGTTCACCAATCGGATAAGACCGTATTTGACTTGGAGGTGAATCTTGGATCCTTTGTCAACGGGCTCGAGGAATATGCCTTCTGCTTCGATTTTGAGGATCTCGCCACTATGTGAGCACAACCAGGTCAGTATACGTAATATCCATGGGCTCGTTCTCAAGACAATTAGGAATACATACGGAAGTGGTGGGTTAGGAGTCAAGTTCACGGAGACAATCTGGAGAATATCATTCTTCGGGTCTGCGCAGTACTCAAGTGGGTTCTCGCCGGCGACAGGAAAGGTATCCTCCAAGCTCTTGATAGGAGACTGTCCAAAGAGTGGCAGAGAAGCAGCCCAAATTTGGAGAGGAGCCAGGGAAAGGAGGAGGGCGGAGAAGAGCTTCATGGCTGCAAAGCTCTTAGAGGTTCCGTTGAGATAAGGCGACGATGCCGACGCCTGGTTCAGGTCTCTTGTCTTGCGATGTTGGTGGAGTGTGGAATGGGAAGTATCGCTGATGGATGGGATATGTTTAAAAAGACGATGACCTATGGCCGAGATGGGTGTTATCAGGTTGCGTAGTTGTGGAGGAGATAAGAGAGGCTGGGAAGCGGGTTTTGAAGCCATCCCCAATGACGAAACACTCTGTCCAATTGTAACACCAGCACGTGATGGGTCACCCGCCTGCAGATTCACCGCCTCGGTTGCATGGGTGTTGATTGGTCAACAATACACAAGTTCTCACAACAATCATGCTCATGATCTTAGACATCATGTTAGAAACACAAATATCTCATTTCTCTATGCGAAGCTCATTTATCGTTAAAGAGATCAAATATCGGTATCATTCCCCAGGCTCATACAGTGAACTATCCAGCGATCCACGGATAAGAGGCCGTTGGAGACGGGCTGGCCCCACTGTTTAACGATCAACTCCCCCATTCTCACGGTGACCTGACGATTGGGGGTCTTCAGCAACTCTTGAATAAGATTGCAGGACCCAGCGTCAGCGGCTCTGAAGGCATAAAGTGTACTTTTCAAATTTTGTAGTATCAGCTGGTGCTTGTCTAATATCTAAGAGGTCGCGCAGTGTGCTACCCACTCGGTTGCAGATTGAAGGATAGGTATGCCGAGGAGATATTCTTCTCCCACTCAAGTCAAGTAAACTTGCCTGTGCACATTGTCTCTAGGTGCGTAACTGTATTGTTTCTTTATTTCCCTGAAGCAGACAATTGTGCATGCTACATGCTAGCTAATGAGAACACTACTCGGGACGGAGCAATGGTCAAAAAATGCACATGTGTTCTTCCGGACCTGCAGCGCCTACGGGCTTATGGCCCCCGGTCTCATTTGCTGGCACCCTGGGTGTTATGCATATGCAGTCTAATTAGTGGTCTCTAGCGCCGTGCTGCAGTTGCAAGGGAAGAAAACGAAATTGCACAAAGATCAAGGTTGGTTAGTCATAGAACAAGGATGCATGGTGTCGTATTTGGAAGATACCCATCGACGCGATCCTTTACTACGATGCTAGCCGATATATAAATACGTATTCGGTCAAGAACCGCTATACCAGACCTGCAATACGTGGAAAGACTCTCTGAATAGTGACGTGGCGGTGGTAGTTTGCCCCGATATATTATCAGATGCAATATCTAACACTCACCGGGATTCCGCACAATTCTCAAGATGGTAGTCCTTGACGGTCAGGCTGCTTCTGGCTGTGGAGTCCTGTAGGTTGTGTCATGGTATGTAATGTCGATCGATCATGGAGGATAAGGTGGTTCACAGATTTTCCGATTCTTCAGGTAGATACCGGGTCTCACTAGCTAGTTTCAGTGGTACCTAGTCCCAAGTAAAGGCTAATAATTGTTGAAGGTCTAGAACTCAAAAGAGTCGGTAAGTGACCTTGAAAATACTCGTGGGGCGCCGTTCGTCAATGGAAGAGTACATGATGACTTCCTTATACTGAGATTATCTGAGTTGAGAACTGAGGATTTGCCGTCTCGATTGACGTAGCAGCCATGTTTGCGATATGAGATGAAGAAACAGGCATCATGTAGCCTGCGGCTGCAGTGGATGTGCAGTTCACGAATCGATTGTAGCACATCCCTGTATTGATATGTACGTAGTACGCGGGGCTGGACGGCGTCTATGCATCAGTAAAGTCACTTGCCATCCAGCCAAGCGCTCAATTGGGCCGAATCGTGTCGCTACAGTATAAACATGAACAAGTGGCGAATCGTATAAATGTCGACACGGTCCGTAGTCGAGACAATTGTGATGAGTTGTCTATGTCAACATATAAATCCATAGCCTAAGTCAATGACATGACATTCCCAGGGCATAGTTACTTTCTTTTCCAGGGAAGCAGTTCCGTCGAAGTTTTGTCACGTGGCAGACTCGAATCTGCTAAGAGATCAAGAGCATACTGAATTAGGCACGCTGCATAATGGCTAATAAACCAAGCGGGGCCTCATAAAGATTCCTGCATGATCATTTGTAACCTGCGCACATAGTGAGAAGGACATTTCTTTTCGAGGGCCAAGTCACAAAAGTTGGCTGAACTGACAGCACATGTACATCTTTTCAATAAGGAAGACAGCCTGAAAGTCTTATGTGCGGTAGTACTATTACTTGTCGACGGAAGTACGGATTGGCCCATGTGACCCCGGAAGGGGAATCTGTTACCGATGTAGATAAATCTAAGGAACAGCAAAATTGCTGGTGGCACTAGAAACTCCTTGAAGAAAAGTGGATTAGTATCACGTTTTAGCAACGAGACCCAATTTTCGGTCCAAATGCTCGATCATCAAGTGGTTGCTTGAGTCCGGAATCCATAGCGGCATTCCACAATGGAGCATTCATTAATCTTGCCAAGTTCGTTATTCTGAAGTGGGCCGCACTGACAGCCCGAGGTTTTTAGGGCAAAGTGACTAAAGTAGGCCCGTCGACTAAGGTCCCACTAGCTCACTCCCACTTCAGCTACATACGTAGCGTAATAGCCCATCCTGTAGCGCACAAATCCGCTTCGATTAAGTGTAAGACCGTTGTTTCAACGTAAAATAGAAATTATCGTACCCAAAGCACATGAACACTCGCTTTCCGATGGCTGCAATGTTTTGGTATATCAGTTTATAGTAATCGAGTACTATAAGATTGCGGACCCAACGAAAAAGGACCTAACCGAACCTTCTTAGGATCTAGACGACGGCAAAGGACGGCAGCTTATCAATTGTGAACCATGGCGCTGGGCCGGGGAACCTTTACCCCAAATCGTCCCTTATTGTCTCCTGAAATTGCGTTCTATCTTGCTTCTCTCAACTGCCGTCCCGACAGTCTGGATAGCACCATGGAACTTATCCGCTCCCGCCTATCGCGTGCATAACATTCCTTACATGCGTCCGATCACGTATTTCTTCGGGTAGGCGGGAACTATAGAATGGTGCACCAGTCTGGTGGTAATTCATTCACTGTTCTCGTCGGCAGTTGGCGTCTGGAAGAAATGAAGATCAAACCCACGAGCCCTAATAGACCCTAGATGGACAGAATTACTATGCCCTCATAGCCGACCGCTCAAACTAACCATTAACCACAAGTCCACGGCGCACGTCTAATGAAATGGGCCGTCACACAAGAATAGAGCACGGCTGATTTGAAGACATGAAATCCAAATTATATCAGCCTTCATGCTAAAGTATGTCCTTTCGTGATCTTCATTATCCTTCATCTCTCAATGTTGGATTCCCTGTGAGAGTAGATTTCGATATTCAAAGTCTCACTAGACATCCCAATTCCATGTAATACCCTGTCCCTCATCGGCCTTGCGAAGCTCGACTTGACCGTAGGTACTTAAAGGGCGGTGAGTATCGACTGACAAATTTTAACATACTGGCGTATGGAGACCTGCATATGATGAGGTACTGATTTTAGCCAAGCTAACCCTGTTAAATTTCCGACGCCTCCTGGTAAGACAACTTAATGGGAGGCGCTATTATTCAGTGCCTTAAGGCTCATAGCATGCCTGCGGCCATCTCTCAATGGAAATTGCGGCTTAGACCCGAAAATTTTGTCGATTGGCAACGGGCTACGCTTACCCTTCCCACAGTTTCCCGGCGCGCTCGTTGTTTCAGGGCTATGTCATTGGTCCATGGCGATCAAACGTTGTCCTTAGAGAAAATTTACTTCAAGATGTCGGCGTCATCGAGTAGGATGGGCGGATATCAAGTCCTAAAAGCAGAAGTCTACTGACTCGAGATAGACGGTGGGTATCTCACAGTAGATGCATGTTGCGTTCGCCGGCCCGGATCTGGTGAGCAAAATTCAACAGCTCTTTGTTTGAGAGGTGACTGTTTTGGTTTTTTTCCAACCCCTCGTCAAGATGTCTAGGAATCCTTTGTCGCTTCGGTGGTGTGTACATGGGTCCACAGAGTGGATGCGATTTTCCCTCACTACATTGGAAGGCATTCTTGCTAGTGGGAGGGATACTGGTGTCGCTACCAGCCTATCACCACTCATTGTTCTTTAGTTGGCTGAATCTTGTTTTGAAGATTCAGATATCTCGTCTTGTTGGTCAAGATTACGGTCATGCCGGCCGCATTCCGCTTCGCACCAAGGGTCAATATCTTTCATTCGTCCCGTATCAACCGATTCCGAAGGGACAGAGGTGAGCCATTACCTCTAGTACCGAACACCCATCAGACGCGGTGAGGTCAGCTGAGAGAAGCGATATAACGAATTTTATGTGAACGTATCTTACTAACGCTCTCATCCGGTTCGCTTCTGTAGATCGTTCCTTTGTGGCGACAGGGTATTCCACGGCTCATAACATACAAGGAAAGATCCTCTGTGACCCGAGGAGCAGATTCCGCAGTGTATCACGCGGCAGGAACCATACGCCGATTTCGCGGCAACTATCCCAGGGGGTCAAGTGTGCCTTGACTGGATATTGGTGTGCCAACGAACTAAGACTTTGCATATGTTTCCGTTTCAGTCACTGCCCAGTCTCGTATTTAAGTGGCCGTTCTGGACTCCATCGATAACCCTAGCCCAGCGGTTCGTCACAATCCAATTATTACTGCCCATAACGGCTCAATATAATCGCCACAAACCTCGCCGATATATCCCAACCAGCACTTAACGAAAAAAACGTCTGATTCGACGGTGGCCATGAGGTATACTATGCAGCAGATATCAACATTTGAGAAGGGTATTCGAGCTGACTTGCGCTCTTTAGCAATCCAAATGTCGGTACGACTTCGCTCGATAGCGCTTTGCAAGAAATTGTCATTATCCACGGCCGTGAGTTTCAACAGTACTCACTCAACAACCGCATCTATCTATGCCCTATAGATGATGTAAGTCTCTACCCATAAAGGAGCAAGTACCCTTTGCTATACTTGAACTTACTGATGGCCACAGGACGAGATCGATCGACTTGAACTCCAGCAACACGTGTTTAACCTAGTTTTCGACAATCGCCTCATATTCCCGCCGATCCGTAACCCCCGGCGAGTGTTGGATTGTGGCTATGGAGCCGGAAACTGGGCACTCGAAGTAGCAGAAAGATATCCACATTGTCAGGTACTCAGGTGAAAGCCAGTTCTGAAATGGAGATTCAATTACTCATCGGATGCGACACTAGGTCATCGGAGTCGATATATCGCCTCATATGCAACCGCTTGATATACCGGACAATCTGTGGTTGCAGGTATGTCCTTCCCTAATCAACTTGTCAAGAGAATCCCACGTGCTTGGCTCTATCTTTAACCAAACATTCCCGTGCACCTCTGAAACGAAAGTTTGAACGGGATATAAGACCAAACTTCTTAGACACAAACGTCGAATGCATTGCTGATCGCTTTGTCCTTTAGGTAGATAACCTCAATCGGTCATTTACCTTTCCTTCGCGACATTTCGATCTCGTGCACTCAAGACTTGTGGCTTCTGGAATAGATCGATCTCGCTGGTCATCATACGTCCGCGACTTAGTGCGGTAAGATGATAAAGCTGCCATTATCCGCAATACACAGCCTCGGACGCACCTAACGTACCGCATACGAAACAGTGTGACAAAGCGCGGCGGCTGGGTCCAAATGGTCGAGATATACTTCAATGTGCAATCGGATAATGGCTCCATTACTGAACGGCATGCCCTCCGTGAGTGGAGCAGACGCTACATGCGAGCCTTAGAAGATCTTAAAGACTTGAGAGTCGCTCCAAGACTTGGAAGCCTAATGACAGCAGCAGGTTTGCAGGAGGTCGACATGAGAATGATACAGCTTCCATTATCTGCTTGGTCAAGCGGTAAGGAAATAGCACGGCACTGGTTGCGGCTCATCATACGCGTCAAACTAACCTTTGGTAGACCCGCGATCACGTCAAATTGGTGCCTCAAACAGGTCTAATATTCACCAACTGCTGGAGTCATTGGCCCTCTATCCCTTGACACATCGATTGCACATGACTCTTGATGAGTTCAACTCATTGATAGATAGAGCTCGTGCAGAGGTTGACAATCACACTTTGAAGGCATATTTCCCGTTGTAAGTTGTAGTGAAAAGGAAAATTCTGGCATGTCTAACTGATCTCAGATATGTCGCCATTGGTCGAAAGCCTCTATAGTGCCATGTCACGTCAGCAGATCGAAGTGATCCCTGCTATATGAAGCTAGACAGCGTCGAATGATAGATTGTTGATTACTCAGATACATGAGTTGAGCAGACCACTTACAGCTATGAGTTTTAAATAGGAAAATTTCGTCTCGTCGAGCAAGAAAGAAAGAAAATAGTTTTCACACACTGCCTGCAAGCCTAGTTGGCGTTGTGAGTATGATGGCCTCTTGACCTGAGAATAAGTAATGAGTATAAGGGAAGTATGCACGGCAGTTACTCACTGTCAAAAATGTTGTTGGCCTGTCACCTGATTTATTCATGGAAGGAAAGAGCAATTGCGTCAAAGATACCGCTTCAATTTGGAACACTTACAACCACCCCAAGCAATAATCTTAGCAACGCGCGATGGGCTTTTGATGAATTAGTCATTGGAATACTGAACACACTATCGTGTACCGATGCGATAGCACGTTGTGAAATCATATACATTGTGGATTGCTATTTCGCGATAACGTCGGAACCGGTTCGATGTACAAAGATCTCGGAATACAGTCAGTTATTCCATTGTTTGATAAGGGATAATGTTCAGAATAGGTGGAACGATGAATTGGCTACTAATTGAGTGCTCTCATAGGATTTTCTGGTCGAGAAATTGTTGTCAAAGACACCCCTGCGCAAAAATGGAAACATCTTATCGGCATGGCTTTAGATGTGTCGAGAAGTTGAGGGACGATCAATGAAAGACAAATGAACATTATGCAATAAATGACATCAAGATCACCCCAATTTTATCAATTTTATGGGCTGTCAACCTCTCCCCGAAGATCCGATTCTTAGACGTATCAGACATCGTTGCCCAGTTACAGGGTCAATACGCATGGACGTTCTAGACTTTTCGATAATGGGCGCGAGGGAGTCCTATCAGCCCAACTCCTCCCTGTCTCTTGATTGTTGTCCAAAGAGCAACCGAAAGTCGGGGTGTGATTGATCCACAGTATGAACGTTATCAACCACAGCGAGAGAACTGCTTTAAGAAACTCAGCAACACAAACATACCTATCCAATCACCCGGCAACGAGAGCTTGTAAGAACAAGAGCAAGGATTAAGGTTATCAGGGGTCAAGGCTGCTCTTGTCATCATCTGTTTCACCGCCCGGAAACAACATCAGGCAGGAAAGAAGTATCAGGCACGGATACACAGGTCCTTTTCTGATAATTTATCATCGGAAAAGAAAAGTCCAAATGATTTAACGAGGGTAGGATGATAAGGACGGCAAGCGATTTTCCACAGGTGTACAGATTACTAAGGTACCTTTCGCACCATGGCGGAATCCCTGACTCAAGGTCGAGAAGAGGCCGAAAGACAAACGGAGTACCCGGACAGCTCAGATATCTTACAGATATATCAATTATGACAATCTCTTACTCAAGGACATAGTCATGTCAGTCGAAAAGGTTGGGTTTATCTGCTCCAGGCGTGAACAAAGCGGGTCTTGAATAGTAGTTGCTGAATATGCGGTTTGAAAGCTTATAGGCTTATTACTTTTTTTGTTTTCATGCTCCAGCATCCGTCATGATTCCTATCCCTGCAAATAGGTCATAAAAATTAAGTGGAAAAAGTACCAGACTGGAGCTTCGCTATAATGTAGAACATGATTACCAATATAACGAAACAAGACTTTCCCTGATCTTAGTTAATGCGGTACCTAGAAAGCTATCAAATTCAAAAAATGAGGAGCACTTCAATAACCAAATTCCGAATCATTAGTGATTACGCCGCTCTTGGATCCCATATCGAAACTATATAAACTGAGATTGGGTTAGATATGAAGTCCCGTTCGTTATAGCGTCACATTTGATGCCTGAGGCTTCAATTTGTGGAGGCTTAACCTTTTTGGGAAGCCTTGCGGGCAAAGAAAAAAAAGTCGATGCGCCGCCTTTCCCCATCTCAAGTCTCTTATCCATCGCCAACAGGTCGTGCGCAATTTTGCAGTTCACAATGCCCTCAACATATAAAAGGGACAAGCCGTGGGACACGGATGATATCGACAAATGGAAGGTTAGTCGACTACGTGCAACGGCATCTGAAGTGTTGTGAGGCTCGATGAGCATTGACTAACATAATGTCGGTTAATAGATTGAAGAATTCAAGCCCGAAGACAATGCCGGTGGCACTTTCGCTGAAGAGTCATCGTTCATGACTCTTTTCCCCAAATACCGCGAAGTATACTTGAAGGAAGCATGGCCGATGATTACGAGAACCTTGGAGAAGCACGGTATTGCCTGCACTTTGGATTTGGTCGAGGGTAGTATGACGGTCAAAACTACACGAAAGACTTTTGACCCTGCGGCAATTCTCAATGCTCGTGATTTGATTAAGTTACTCTCGCGAAGTGTGCCAGCACAACAGGTCAGTTTCCATATGCTTTTAATTAGGTTCGAGAAATGATCTCTAACGAGAGCTCTCCCTAGGCTATCAAAATTTTAGAAGACGGCGTCGCATGTGATATCATCAAAATCCGCAGTCTTGTCAATAATAAAGAGCGCTTTGTCAAGCGCCGACAGCGTATTCTCGGACCATCGGGATCGACTTTGAAAGCTCTCGAACTCCTAACCGGCACATACATCCTCGTTCAAGGAAACACTGTATCCACCATGGGCCCGTTCAAAGGATTGAAAGAAGTGCGCCGAGTTATCGAAGATTGCATGGCAAACATTCACCCAATCTATCACATCAAGGAACTCATGATCAAACGTGAGCTCGCCAAGGACCCAACACTAGCTACAGAATCCTGGGATCGGTTCTTACCGAACTTCAAGAAGCGTACCCTCTCGAAACGTCGCGTTCCCCACAAGGTTACGGATAAATCACAAAAGGTTTACACGCCTTTCCCACCACCACAGGAGAAGAGCAAGATCGACAAGGAGTTGGAATCTGGCGAATACTTCTTGTCAAAACAAGCCAAGGAACGTGTACGCAAGGAAGAGATTCAAGAAAAACAACGAGAAAAGCGGGAAGAGAAAATGAAAGAACGTCAAAAGGACTTTGTGCCTCCGACTGAAGATGCAGACAAGAAGGAGAAAAAAAAGAAACGGAAGCGTGCCGAAGATGCGGGTGACCATACAGAGAAGAAGAAAAAGAAGAAGAAGAGCAAGACAGATGAAAGTGGAGAGATTAGCTCATAACGAGCTTATTCTTCCGTTTCGTTCTTTTTTTATGGAGAATCTTCATCGCATTGCTCGGCGTTTCGTTTTAGTTACGATGTATAAAAGCTCTGTTTTAGGTAGATACCTTGTCAAGTGTTATACTCTGATTGCTACGGCTTATGATTCAGTGAGTTCACTACTTTGCATTTTATTTTAAGTGCACTATGAACGTAGTCACCAGCATAAATAATTTGAGTCGAGTATTGAGCTTCACTGATTCACTAACCAAATCATATCGAAGATGGCGATACTATCCAACAAGGTACAAATTCTTGAAACCAACATATGGCCATACAGTGGTACCTGGACGAGACTTAATGGAGAACAACGGCTTAGTAGTCGTCGTTGTTACGTCCACCACGGCTGCTACCATAGCTGTCGTTGTTGCTTGACCCGTATGAGTCGTTGTTGCTTGATCCGTAAGAGCTGTTCTTGTTGCTAGATCCATAGGAATCATTGTTGCTTGCTCCATAGGAGTCAGAGTTATCACGGCCTCCACGAGAGCTGCCGTAAGAGCTGTCATTGTTGCCAGAGCCGTAAGAGTTCTTGTTGCTAGATCCATATGAATCGTTGTTGCTAGATCCGTACGAGTCGTCGTTGCTAGAGCCATAGGAGCTGCTCTTCTTGTTGGATCCGTAGGAGTCGTTGTTGCTAGACCCATATGAATCATTGTTGCTGGATCCGTACGAATCGTTGTTGTTTGATCCGTAAGAGCTGCTCTTGTTGCTCGACCCGTAAGAGTCATTGTTGCTAGACCCATATGAATCATTGTTGCTGGATCCGTAAGAGCTGCTCTTGTTGCTCGACCCGTAAGAGTCGCTGTTGCTGGATCCATAAGAATCATTGTTGCTGGATCCGTAAGAGCTATTCTTGTTGCCAGATCCGTAAGAGTCATTGTTGTTAGATCCGTAAGAGTCCGAATTGTCACGGCCTCCACGAGAGCTTCCATAAGAGCTGTCGTTGTTGCTGGATCCGTATGAATCACTCTTGTTGCTCGATCCATAAGAGTCATTGTTACCAGAGCCGTACGAGCTACCACCACGACCTGATGATCCATAGGAGTCATCGTTTCCTCCGAAACCGCCAGAGCGGCCTCCAGAGCGGCTTCCCGAGCCGTAGGAGTCGTTGTTATCGTTGTAGCTCATGGTGATGGAGAAGAAAGAGATATTTCAAATAAGGGTTAGGGTTGGTTGGTGTTTTCGATAATTGTACACGAGTAGATGAGATTGAGAAATGGAAATCAAGCAACACTCATCACCGGAAATGAGACAGTATTTATACTTCTCGTTTAATAACAAATCCCATCCGCGTAAATATGGAACTCATCTCACAATCATACGCAAGAGAAACCCTTACCCAATAACGTCAGAAGACGAGGGGTAAAGCACCGTCTGGACGTATTCATTGGACCCCGATCAAACTATCATTGAAGCTAACCCTTTATCACACAAGCTGTTTGCCATTTTAGCTCTCTTTTTCTTTCGTTTGCGCTAGATAGCTCGGCGAACCGATCAAAAAGGAATGTTTGCGGACTTATGGGCCACTGACAACGAATCCCCCCCCACCAAGCTCCTAGAAATTGATAGCTGTGTATGGATCACTATGGAAGTCCTGGACTGAACAATACCGACACTGACTCACTGGGATACATTACTATCTCCGCAGCCCCTCCATCGGTCGCACCGGTGGCTTGTGATGGTGAGCTCGATAGGTGTGGCTGTGTCGTTGCTGGCTGAAAGTCGGAGCTAAAGAGGAGGGGCAACCAATTCAAGCCAGGCTTCGATTTGCCTCAATTTTGAAACAATTCATTACTGAGATAGCTTTAGAAGATGTTATGAGACAATCTAATAGCAATTGTTCCATTATTAGTAGAATGACATCTGAGGATACTGAGGATACTGCTTTTTCTCTATCCGGAGGCATTCGGGATGAGGGATAAACTGCAACTAGCAAGTTATGTACGCACCACCAAGGTTATAAAAAGCGACAATGAGATCAATTGAGCACGCCATGCATTGCAGTGGCAAGTAAGTGAGGCGCATGCGTGTCTTGCAGGTCTCGTTCTCGTTCTTGCGCCATGTGAGAGATCTCGCTCGGGGGTCAAGGTTCAAAGAATCAATAATGGCTCAATTATTGATCTTTCGCCATTTGTTGCCACTCCTAATTAAATTTACCCCTCAGTGGACTGTCTGTAATCGGAGACCTGAAGTCAATTTTCCCTCTTCCATACTACGTACGCATTGAGGTAGAACTAAATTAGTGAGGGGTACCTATTGAGTCGTTCTCCAAAGTCACCTTCGGGTGGTGGAATACCAAGAATTCATCTCCTTCAAATGGATTCCGACAAAGTATACAAAGATAATCGTGGCTACGTAGCATCAATAACTGGCTGTAGTGGCTAGTCTCACTTTCGCACAATATTGCTTCTTTTTCATCTCGATATTCGCCACAGCTGTGGGGTTAGTACTGGAGCTAGGGCTCTGGCTAAGTAACGTACGTGGAGCGTATCGCTCCGTGGTGATCGAGATTTGAGATCGCTTTTTGGGCACTAAAAAGTGGTCGCTGGCGCTTAGCCTACGCCTAACATAAGTTGCCATAGTACGCTAAACCACTAGATAAGCCACTTTAATGGCTAGCCAACACTGGTGGCTGAGAGCGCAACACTACGAACATCCTACAAAACCTCCCTTCTGACCACGACTTTTTCCAAAAGATATATATTAGCTAATCAGGATTATCTAGTTAACTAGTTAGTTATGAGGAACATGTAATAACCACAGTCAATAGCGAGTTCGAGTAGGGGTATAACCAAGACAAAATTAGTGATGTTGATGTTTCTGAGGCTGGGAGCCCGATCCATCCTATCCGGTGGATTGCGAGTTGGGATGTGCTAAACTACTTACTGATGCTCCACACTTTTTCTTTTCTCTTTAGCTGCTTGTCGGCCGTGGTCAATGCCTACTTCACCGCTAGAGAGAACTGCAAATAGTGATTTGAGTCAATTACTGTAGCGAACCAAATGAAAGCCCATTGCCGAGATAGGCAGCTAAATTAGGGCGACTCTTTGCACTAGCCCTAACCTCCTATGCTCCCTTCAGCCAACGATATATTCCTCACATATCCTCTGCATGCACCATTAAAATTTCATGCTCATTATAATTGATAAGCTTTTTTGAAGGTCTCCGTACTTATAGTTTCGCCTCGTCCAGCTTCATATCATTTTCTAGCACATAGCGATACCGTGCCTTTCCAGCATCCATATCAGCCAAGGCAGCACTCACGTCACTCATAGGTCGCTTCTGAATCCAAGGGTATACCCGCTTCTCAGCTGCTAATTCAAGCATCTCTCTTATATCATCTGGAGATCCAATATTGGAGCCCGTGACTTGAACTTCTTTTTGAATCAATGACCACGCCGGCAGAGCCGGAAGAGGTCCCTCTGGAGCGCCCACTTGAACAAATGTGCCACCGACCTTGAGCAGACGCAAATACTGGCCCAGAGGTAAGTCTGGAGAATCCACCGTACATATAATTAGATCCAGAGTGCGTGTATATGTCTTCGCCCATTTCTTATCTTCTTCAGTGGCGATGAAAAGATCCGCACCTAACCCCTCAACTGCATCCTTTCGTTTACTGGATGTTCGCGAAATAGCTACAACACGATTGCAACCTAATGCTTTGGCAAACAATAGGCCGAGATGTCCAAGGCCTCCAACCCCAACAATACCAACAGCTTTCCCTGGGCCAGCACGATACCTTTTCAAAGGACGATAGACGGTCACTCCTCCACAAAGCAATGGTGCTGCTTCAGCAGACGGCAAAGACTCAGGAATTTTGAATGCGAAATGAGCTGGACCTCTCCAAAAATTCCCGTATCCCCCATACGACTTGCTCTTGTCGGAGTATCGCGAGTTATATGTACTCGTTATACGTGGACAGTAATTCTCAAGTCCGTCTGCACATGCCTCACAATCAGCGCGCAAGCAGGAATTACTCTGCGCGCCAATACCAACGCGATCGCCAACTCGTATTCCCCTCGATGCAGGTGAGGAGGCAAGGGTCGCGACGCCAGAGCCAACGCGGACAACGGTGCCGATGATCTCATGGCCCACGACACATGGATAGTCAGTCGGGTACCAGCCAGATCGAAGAGTATGGAGGTCTGTTCCGCAGATACCGCAATGGCTGATGCGGACTTCAATATCGGTTGGAGTGAATGGCTTTGGTTTGAAGTCTGTATATTCCAGGGGACTGGTCGCGTCGTGGGCTACCCAGCCCGTGAATGTGTTGGAGGACATGACGATTCAATTTGTCTTTTGCAAGCTGATGAGTGACGTCAAGCAATTGCTAGTGGAGATAGCGTTTGTGCTTGTAAAAGTCTCAGGGCATCAGCAATATTGAATCTATGGAATCCACAATGGTTGTTATAAGAAGTAAAAAACTGTTTTCGTTCTTAAGTAGTGGAGATACCAAAGGGAACCCAATCAAAGAGCCGAGGCATGTCGGATCAAGGCTATGCCGATCAATTAGCGACCCTTTAGCGCATATGAATTCGAACCCTGGCGCCCAATTCCTCATATATTCGGAGAAATAGAAAAACATTGTTTCGGGGAATTTTAGGGGATCTACCAGTTGAATGAAAGTTCTGTTCAGCTATAGGGAGTACATTGCTGCGTCATGTCGCCGAAGCCCAGCAGAAAGCAAGAAGTCAACGATTGATTACATGGTGCTCTTTGTAAAAAAATAAACGCACCGGCCTTATGGAATGAAACATTAACCACCTATTTCAGCACATCATTATTATACGCCTAGTTTATGGTTTCTGCGTAAGTAGCCCTAACCCTAGCCATCTTTCAGATCCTGACCGTCGATAAGGTTTCGGCCATGCGGGGCCCCTCGTGGGTACGGCCCGCTCCTATTGACGCATAAAATGAGACGAGATGCTAAGAGAACACTCAAGAAGACATTCGACCATTCACCAGCGCCTGACTTCGAGAGCAAACAACCCGTTTAATTTCGCATGCCACTATAATACATAAACTACATTGGCAGCACCCCTAGCAAAGGATATTAGTATAAAAGTAGTTAAAATCATTTCATAGCGACTTCATTCACTCCAAATTCTAGTTGTGCTCATGATGAAAATATTGGCCGGTTGGAGTATTGCTATGCATTTCCCTTAACCTGCTAGACGACCGTCTAAAATTCAATGATGAACTAGCATAGGAATGATCTTGAGTCTCCTTGCTCGGTACGAACGTTAGAAGGTATGTATCATTCATATACTGCAGTCGTCCATTACTCGTCGGACTATCTGCTCTTTGGGAAGTGGGTTGTTTCTGTGGTGTGCTGGCGCTGTTGCAATTATTATATTCATAGAACGTGGTGATGTGTGCATGGTTCTTCCCTCGAAATGAACAATTGAGAAAGAAGCGGCGGTAGGTTGGGAGACAGGAGCAGATCAGGTATGTCCCCGTCTCGGCTTGGGTGATGATCATTAGGTTAATGGCGTTCCAACTGTAGTCTGTCATTGAGACTTCTTGATAGAAGTATGCGAAACGGAGGATTGATGTTGTTAAACCACTTAATATTTGTCGCTGTATTAGCTGACTCTGACACCCAATATTGACAATAAACCCATGAGAGAGGGATAAGCATACAGACTCCCTAACAAAAAGGTCACTACCAACCCGATCTTCATCCGAGTCTCCATATGCATCCGCAAGATCATCGTCATCGGAAGCACCAAGATGATAACATCACTGATGATATTGGGGAAAGTGCCCCAAACATAAAACGTCTGTCGACTGATACAGGTGGTTCTAACGTAGTTATCAAAGTTCGTGAAATGCGAATCACAAATTAGAAACTCAGCAAGCGTGTTTGCGATTGTTTGCAGAATGAGGAAAACCATCATTACGCGAACGAGGGTGTTGATTCGGAGAGGCGGTGGAAAGATGCGATTATAAAGAAGGAGAATGGCGAATTTGGGGACGTTGAAGAAGAAGTTGTACAGAACTTGGATTGCGAAGAGGTATCTGAGTCCGACGATGACTTTTTCGGGGTAGTTTTCATTTAGGTATTCTTGGTGGTAGCCAATGCCAGTTCGTTGCACATAGCCTGTCATTTCACAGACCAATTAGTTCTTTTAACTTCCTCAAATATTTACTGCAGAATATTGAACAGAAGGGGCCAGACCAATAGTAGCTCCCGCGATTCCCAATTGACCAGCAAGCGCAATGAGAATGACAACATCATCCCAACCCCAAGCTTTGGGAAACTGAATTCGGGTCAATAACCTGAGAGCGACGAAGAATACCTGAATGCTAGCGAAGACACTGGTGAAGATTAGGAGTCTGTCTCCAATGTATGGATTACTCATAGCCACTGGTAAAGCGCCTGACTCATTGATAGAGAAAACCAATGCAAAGAGGTAGAACTTGTTGTTTTCTGTTCGGACTGGCTCCCGGACTGTAAGTGTATCCGGCTTGCTCGAAGAAGCTTGATTAGGTGACATTGGCTTCTCAAGGTTCAAGAACGAAATGATAGTTGGGCGTTTTGAAGAATATCAAGATATAGTCAAGGATTCATTGCGAACTCTAACTCAAGCACAACGTTCCCTTGACATGGTCTAGGTATGATCAGCTTTTTTGTAAGCAGACACAAAATTGATAGCTATGGAAAGATAGAAGAGACGGGAAATAAAGCCTGGATCGGTCGTTTCCGTGTTAGCTACAGGGTCTGTGTAAGTATCTGTTTCGGTAGGTATGACAAGATGTCAGCGAGGCTAAGTTAGCACCAATTACCTAGGTATACGGGTTCGTGAGCCATATCTAGGGTAACCTGAATACCTAATTATATCAAAATCTACCTACATGTTGCGAGCATACCACCACCAGACCGTCTGGTGAATATTATCAGCAAGATACGTCAATCACCTGGGCACTAATGTTTGCGTATATATGTCTAGACAACTAAACATATCGGAGGACTTCTTCGTATAAAATTCTTCAGATACTCTCTTCTGTAATACGAAACTAGTCCCATTCGCACATCACACACATGCGAATTCATGGATCCGTGGACGAGAGCGAAAGTTGAACCTGACCAAGCGGGGGGCGGGGGCCATAAAAGCAACAACCACGAGGCTCAAGCAAACACTGTACGCCCATATGTGCAAAGCAAGTGGGATATATGTATATAGATTCTCCCAATCAAGGGATTTCGGTGTTCTTTTGGTCAAGACCCAATACAGAAACCGAAGACTATACGCCGAGCCTCTCCATCCACAGACTCGCAATCATTTTCAGACCCCATGGGAGTAGTTTCATGCCATGCGCCAAGTTCTGCTGAACTCCATATGAAAATCAATTCGTTGACTATCAGTCTAGCATTATCTTCACACGTGGATCGTGTTTATCATAGCGGCCAGTCGTATTAGCTCATTACTATGACCTTCGGAGTTTCTAATTAGCCGGCAAAGGGGGTTTACTTGGTTATGGAAGACATCTTGTTATATCTGCTTCCAATGCATCAATATGGCACTGTGATTATGTGATACATATAGTTATACACGGTATCAAATGACGTGAGATAAGCAAGAATTATCCTGTGCGCTGACACAGCTGCATGAATTGGGTTTGTTCAGGGGTATTATATTGCGCTAGCAGCGTTGCGATCTGGCAAAATCAGATCAAGTATGACAAGAGAGCCATTGCAGATATACTAGCACTTGCTGGTAGAACCACAATCAGTTCATTGATCAAGTTGACACTGAATCTGCAAAAACTCGGTTGAATCGGTCTGGAAAGGATTGCGGTCCAACACCCCTGCATCAGCCAATATATTATCAACGAATTCGGACGGACACAACTTGATGCCAATATCTGTTAGTGCAATGTGAAGACTAAGATAATGCTTTATCTCGCCTAGTATTCTCAATAGGAAATTGCCTACGCATCTCATCAAGAACCCATTGGATTCCAATGCGCTCCGCACCAATAATCCCAAAATCACCAAAATGAGATGGTACATAGATATGTAGCTTCACTGTATAAATGAATATGATAACACTGTATGTGCTAACACAGAAACCGGTTTTCTCGAAAGGCTTCTTCAAAATGTTGTGCCATATCCCAGCCGCTGGAAGCTGGAACGAGGCCATCGGCTGTACCTAGGTGTTAGAGTTAGCCCTAACAATTAGTTATACACTAGAGCCTAGCTACAACGAACAGAAGGCCTCTCAGCGCCCAGGTGAGTATATCCAGAAGCGAATTCGATCTAGAGATGAAGGTCACCTCCAATATATTAGTCCATTTTAGTAGTAACATATTGGATGCTCTTCAGTTCCATATTAAAGTCATCCAAGATGATATTAGTGGAGATATGAAGCGGCCTTTCGTTATAGCCAGGTTCTCCTGTGCTTCCCCGGATTTACTACTACTAAGTCTAACCTACCCTTATGTACAAGCCTTAAATCACATATATGTTTATGCATGGGCTCTATATATGATCTGACACAAGTTGGGAGACTTGAAAGAAATTCGCTATCTGAACCTGCGTATTCGTCCGAAGCATACTCATGTTCGGATTCAGGGTCATTCTCAGATCCAGTCTGTTTATTATGCTCTGATCCGGTCTCATTAGTATCAGATCCAGACTCGTTATGGGATTTATTCTACTGACCTCTTTCAGCTGAAGCTGTGGATCGGAGCTCCAAATTACGTAGGAGTTCTAGAGCATTCGGGTCGGTAATGTAGTCAGTACGAGCTCCCCAACGAGCAAGAACTTGACAGCCATCTTAGATTCCCTGATGGCCGCTGATACAAGAATGGTCTTATCACTTTCATCAGTGGCTTCAATATTAGCCCCATGTTCGATGAGTAACTCCAGAGCAGCGCAGTATATCCATCCTCATTGGTATGGTTGATATCGGCTCCCGCATTAAGTAGTACACGAATTGCTCCGTAATCGCCCAGATTTGCAGCCCGTAAAAGAGCGCTATGTAGAGTCTTGGTTGTGACCTTTGGTGCGAGATACCGAACCACCGACACATTGCCCATCTCTACCGCTTCCAATAGACCAGCATTAGTGTCGGCCCCGGCCTTCTGAACTAGACATTCCACTTCAACGTGGCCCTTAAATGCTGCTTTGGAAATGGGGTCGTCGCGCGTTATTCTTGCACCATATCTAAGTAATTCTTCAATAGTTTCTGGGTGGTTTCCCGGTCGCCACTTGCTCTAACGCCCTGTTACCAAGCTCAGCATTTGTTTCCGCATTATATTCGCCGTTATCTAGAAGAGTTACTACAGCTAGCGTGAGGCAGAAGTAAGATGCTGCTTCGAGAGGAGAAAGTTGCGGAGGGGTTGCGCATTTGAAGCCAGGAGAGCTATACCAACGAACCCAGAACCATGTTGGGATGTGGCCGCGAAATTTATCGCAGAGTTCAAGAATCATGGAGTCCAACTCATCATCGACATTGTCATCCCCAGTATAAAGCAGCTCCCATTGAGTTGCAGCATAAGTCACGAATGGATAATTACTCAACTGGACGTACAGCAACAGGGTTATATTCCCAATCCAGCCTTCCTCTTAATTCAATTCATCCGTCCCTAAGCTCGTCCAGTAGAAGATAAGAAATGCAGATCTTTGCGAGCAGACACTGACATTCCCAAAAACTAAATGAGTGCTTCCAGGATGAGCCGTCCCCATAACTAGAGGAACCATCCTTTTCAAATAGATAATTTCTGACAGTGACGTGAAATTCGTGGACTTTAGAACCTTGAACTCGGACAAACAGACCTCCAATTTCTCTAAAGTCTGTTTAAACCTCTTCCCGTTATAAATGTTTAACTCATTGATTGAGGTAAATTGGATACCCTCTAGCTTGTTTGGCAAGAGACGGGTGCAGTGTTCATCTCCTCCAAAGTGAGAGAGAGGTGGGGTGCTGCAAGATCAATTTGCAGCAGCGATTTCGCATCCTCGCGTGGCTATAATCTATTCGATCGAATATAGCATCGTATTCATCGTCAAGGTGAGTGGGTATTGTGTCGAAGTACTCCTGGGGGATTCTTGATATTGGATTCGAGAACTCGCTTGACAGAAGAATATGGACGAGTAGTTATTAGAAACTGCAACTTGTCTGTGCGTTTTTGATTGCGTATCTGGGTAATTTTTGAAATGAGCTCATTCATAGCCTGACGATTGAAGGTGTCCCCCTAGACTCTACCATCAGTAGCTGCATCCTTCACATAGCAAACATCAAACCAGCAACGAGAACGAGGGAAATGTTCAGCATTTAGCCATCCAGCAGCACCTGCTATAGCTCAGACTTTGCTGGTGGCTTCACGCCGTTATCAACCTGATCGAAGGTCAGGACGACGGTATCGCAAACGCAGACGGCGCAGCAGTCCTGCGAAAACTAGAGCTTATTAACAGGCAATTGACAAGCAAAAAAACTCAACCGGTCAACTCTTCTGAATTCGCCCATAGTGGCAGCGACTGGATGATCGAAGCGCTTGATACCTTGCTGGGAAGAAATATCGAAAGCCCAAAGGAGCGAGCACCACTTTGATTATTCTCGGCAAGGACAATTACGACAATCTCGTTAACGTTCTTGTTGACTACATGAAGCAGTTGAAGGATCTCGATTTACACTTAGGTTTCGATAGATCGCTGAAGAGGATGCGGGAGGATGATGCCAAATATACCAAACAGAATCTTAGGGTCAATGACTATGACCTTCATTCCTTAAAAAGAACTGCAGAAGACATTGATAATAATCTCTCATCCTTACCGAAAATAGCTTCGGACCACTATTTTGAAGAAAACGTATGGGAGGGAGCTAAAGGTCAAGCGGGAGATGAAGTGGCAAAGAGGTAACGAATACGGCAAAAAATGACGCAGATGTGTTATTCGCCAATCCATAAGGGTAGTCGGATTCATGGCTTGCATATGAATTTGCTGTATGATGTTGCACAGTGTCTAGTCTGGGATGTTCTGTGGGAAGTACTTCCTAATCTCGAAGTTTCAGCTGGCTAATGAGGTTAGTAGTATTATAAGATATCTATTTTATTACCGAGTAAAAGGAGCACTAACTATCATAGCCTCGAGACACGTTACTAGCGCGATGTATTATGCACACCCTCAAGGTGTGTCAACTGCACTGTGGTCTCTGTTAGGCCGAATCAGAGCTCATACATAGAACAGCCTGCATATCACGAGTGATTCATCCATCGAATAGGAGATAGCCGCCAACAGCATTCTTGTGAACGGGCAGTCTGATAAATCAACATCTGATCTGCCGTCAATAACCAGGAAAGAGATCAGTCTGTAGCCCTAACTTGACATTAATATTGTGTAGGCTCTGAAAGCCAACATGGAACCAATCAGCCTTGCTCTAGCTATTGGAAGTATCCCTGGAATTTTCACATCATGTGTGGAATGCTTCTGATATATTCAATTCGGTCGAGACTTTGAAACGGATTTCGAGATGACGCTGTGTAAATTGGAAGCAGCCGAAATGCGCCTGACACGCTGGGGCGCGGCATTAGGAATCGACGGGCCCGACGCGAAGCTCGTCATTGAAGGCGATTCCGACGAAGAAAAAGTCAATAAGGCGTACCACTGGCTAAACGAGATCAAGAGAGCTTTTGACTCTGCGATGGAGACATCGCTTAGGTTTACAACTACGGCCAAGCCTGAGAAACTCCAACTTCTTGAGAACGGGGAGCAAATCCGTAAGGGAAGTAATGCTCTTCAGAAGCTGCACGAAAAAATGCGCAATATCAGTGATGAGCGTGTGAAGCCCCGAAAGCGAGACCGAGTCTCATGGGCGCTGTACCGGAAGGGAAACTACGAGAATTTAGTCGAAAATATCTCCATGCTGACAAGCAAGCTGGTGGAGCTGTTCCCATCGGCAGTTGACGCCCAGAAACGGTTATGTCAAGGCGAGATTAGAGAGATAGAACCGGAAAGCCTCGATCTTCTAGGAAACGCTATCGGAGAGGAAGATGAAATCTTCAAACAGGCGGTAAAGGTCGAGCTTGCAAAGGGACCTAATCTATTCACAAACATCGCAGTGACGGATCATTTTAGGGGCCATTTCGGTAATAATATCGCGGCGGGGGAGGCTTCAGCTGCAAGAGCTGGTGTGTATTCGCACATAATAGCTGGCGGCAACGCTGTGGCGCATTTCGGGAGCAATATCGGGAAGTACAAGGGGAAGACAGTGTTTGACACTTCTCAATAATAGCGAGGTAGGTTCATCATGATACTGATCACCCTGATTATTATCAAACCCTCGAAGAGCGCACGTTTCCCCGGAAGATAGAACCTCTGCGCAAGGGCAGCGAAAATTGGCCAGCGGCATTCTATTCTGCAGCATATCTTGTCTTTACACCGAACGATAATGCCACGCCAATTTTAAGTCAGTATGAAAATGACAAGGTGGTGCTGTCCAATCGATTGATATCTAACTATAACGTCCGACCATGAGTCATCCCAGCCAAAGTACTAGTTGACATCTTCCAAGTTGAGCCGAATATTGTTTCAGGACAAATCGAAAGGAGCCATGTTCAATGTTATTAGTACGTATGATGAATTTGCAAACATGACTCTATTCGAAGGGTGCGAGTTAACATTCTAGAGGAGTAAGGAGTCGAGAACTGCCGGGTAATCACTGGTACAATATCGTATGAAACTAGAGGAAGAAGCGGCCGAAGTTACTTGAATTAAACTAAACCATAGTTGAGATATTTGATTAATCATGCTGAAACATATCTGTAAACATTCCTATCATATACACGTGGGTCATCGGGAAATTATCCTGTTGGTGGCAGATTTGATCTATTTACTATTATCAGATGGATCGTCTTATGATATTTTCAAGCTAAGAAACAGGAACATAAATTATGTCTTATTAGAAGGACTTAAGGTATGTTTTACCTTGATTATCACCACAACTTTCGATGCATTTCCGGCATCCGGGTTCGTAGAATGGCAATTAAAGAGCCCTGAAGACTATGATGAATAGATAATATATATATTGCCCAGGTTGTGACGCTCTTCTCTTGAGTTATCATTCTTTTTGACCAGCAAAAAAGCACATTCATTCATTTGTTTCCTGGTTCTTTCGTTCATTCATTCATTCTCTACCTACTTTCGCTTCTTTTATTGTCACTTCCAGTCGAATAGCAAGCTTATTCCGAGGTTCAAAAAACAATGTATTACAATAAATTCATCCTTTTGCCCCTGGTGCTGGCCTCCGTGTGTCTTGCGGGCGAAGACACTTGTCCTGCTGATGCAGTCCCAGTTGTCGTAGTAAAAACCATTACAACAACTGGCTATTTTCTTGAACCGACTCCGACACCAGTTGTCCCGGGAGATACATCTGTTTCTCCTGTTGCTTTATTCCCGAGTCCTTCTACTTCAGCTTCCGTCCCGGTTGACGTGATTGCAACACCTGAATCTTCCATCGCGCCGTCTTCTGCTCAGTCGTCTTTGACTACCTTGGTGCCAAATTCTTCTACTTTAACTTCCATCCCGGTTGATGTGGTTGCTACCCCTGAATCTTCTGTTGCACCGTCAACTATTCAGTCGTCTTTGACTACTGCGAAGCAAGCGAGCCCTACAACTCTGATTCCGCAACTTCAGTCAAGCTCTTCTTCTACCACTTCTTCTGCAGCACCGTCATCGCTTTCTTCTACTGCTACTGCGACCACATCTTCTGTCGCAGCGACCGAAACCTTCGTCGGATTGGGCACCAGATACGGCGGTGATTGCACTGAAGAAGACTGCTGGCAGAGCGGTGCTTGCAGTTTTGTCGACTATACTCTTCCAGCCGGTATTGACGGCAGCACCTGCGTTTCCCAAGACATCTGGAACAACGGCGCTAACTGCGGTGGATGTATCTCTGTCACGTACAAAGGAAAGACTATCACGGTGATGGTGAGTGCATATAGCTCTGAGACCCGTTGAGCTGATGGAACTGATCCCAGAATCGTATAGGTAACCAACGAAACCGGCGGCAACGCTACTCACCTCGACATGACACCCGCTACCTGGAGCAAGCTTACCAACGGTTACTCCGGCGGAGGCGTGGACGGCATTGAATGGGAATGGATCGCCTGTCCAATTGCACAAACCACCCCTCTCGAAATCAGAATGCACGGTGGTGCCAGCAAGTACTGGTTCGCCGCTACCGTTGAGAACGCTCGACTCCGCACTTCTAAGCTCGAGGTTAGCAGTGATTCTGGTAAGACATGGGAGGCCGCCGTTCTGGACAACTACAATATCTGGACTCTTAGCGGTACTCTCCCTGACAATACTGCCTGGGTTAGGGTTACCAGCGTCAACGGAGATCAGGTTATTGTTGAAAATGTTGCTCTTCAGTCGGGTGTGACTACTAAGGCTGCTGAGAATTATTAGAACTTCTTCTTCGATCTTTACTGAGAAGTCTTCTGTAACATGGCCGAGGCTCGGTATCGAAGTGTCTAAGTTGGCATCAAAGTCTTCTGGAGTTATCGTCAGTATTTATACAGATTTGTATTATTAGCCGCTACCCAGGCATGAGACTTAACCACCTTCCATGGTGTTGCATAATTTTGATCCCTGGACAGGAGTGATCATCACTCATTATAATCCGACCCGTACCTGTTATCACCGCTCTATGCTTCATAGCTCTATGTATGAATTGACCCTTCCATATGTCTGTAGTAATCTGCTGAAAACCGAGATATTTTCATGTTTGATTTGATACATGCATAGAACACCTGGGCAATGGCATCTATCTTGTAAGTACCGTGTTAGGCTTCGTATATGTAAATCGATCTTTGGCGCAAAAGCCAGAACCATCCCCAGCCAGGCAGAATTATAATTCTGTCTAAGAGCTGGGATCGGCTGGTCCATTCTGTGAACTTCGTCTAATCGATTCATTGCCATGGGTGAAGTATAATTCGATGATGTGATAGAAGTAGAACGGCGGTATACTCGTACATGAAAGAACATCTCATTGAATCTTGAACAACTCTCGCACAACCAACAAAAATCGCAAAGAATGAGGAAACCCCCTACTCCGGCACCCGACCAGGACGCATATCCGATCTCGTAGGCACAATAAGCGGGTGCCACTGTGCAAGAAATGTGATAGCTATCATGAGTTAGTTCGACACATCCAAATATACTATGACACACGCAATCGAGAGGAAGCAAAACATACCCCACATAATATAACAAGCCGAAAAGGCAAGTATAAGACTACTTCGCCAAACCCTATAACATTATCATATCAGCATTTGTGCTTCGAATTTTTCGAATCGAGACACTGGAAAATGGAGCGTACGTCTGATTATCACCCTTTGGTGCAAAGAACCAGGCACAGAGACTAGCCAAAATCACGAAAACGAGTCCGATTATGATACTTGCTCTGTATATCGATTGATTAGTGCGAGCCATACCGGGGTAAACAGAAAACATGTCAGGAGGGCGACTAAGCTGACTCACCCGTTCGCCATGGTTGATTATAAGTGTATTCCTGTTCTTTTGCCCGAGAGAAGTTTCGTATATCAAAGCTGAACCGCCTTCGTTCGTCGTGAATGGGAATAGATAACGGCTTATTCGAAAATGTCAGGTTTCTGCAAAGGTAATATGTACAACCGTCCAACAGACTGTAGCGATGCGACAAGAAGCGCAGAAGCGCAGAATGGGAGGAAGTGTGTTGTTATTGAATCCGAAGAATGAGCAGCGCAAGCTCTAGGTCAAGTCCGTGAACGACTTCGAAAGAGTGTCGCAAATACGATTGCGGAAGCCGGGGTACGACGATAATACGGAAATCGTGCGTGACGGACGATATAACCCTGCTGTATGGTAGTTCTTGTGTAAACTTGTCGGCTTGTCCAGATGTAATTGAATGGTGGTGACGTTGAGATTGAGGTCCGTGAATTAAGGTATCGGAGACAGGCTTGGCGTGGATGAATCATGTGATCTACATCGACGTAACGATATAAACAAATGACTATGGTAGATGAATGAATGTAAGAAAAATGGTATTATTAGATTGAGACCCTACAAAGAGTTAAAACTTGAAATTATAGTAAAAATCGGCCAAACAGGTTACTTCAAAGTAATAAAGATCTACCAACGTCAATTCGGCAAGGATAAAGAAAAATGAAAATACATAGAACAAAATCTCCATTCCTCATAGAAACGACGGTTATCCATACGGTCCGGGAATCACAAGCTTTCAAAAGAAACACCCACGCCAATGAATAAGGCGGGCTGAGCGGAAAACACAAGACTCAAAAAGAACAGGAATGAGTACTCTCGGTTTAAGCACCTTCACGGCTCTTACGGTAGTTGGCCTGTCGAGTTGTCTGTTAGTAGGCGATAAGATTAGAAAGTTGGTAAATGGGAAGACATGTACTTGCCTCCTGCTCAACTTGCAGCCCATCGACGACGGGAGCCAACTCGGAGAGAATTTCGTATGCTCGCTTGTGGTACTCGAGCTGAGCGGCAATCAAATCTGCGAGGTTTCTCAATGGCTCAGGAGTATCGAGAACCTGCCAATAAACATCGTTAGACCGGTGATATTATAACCCAAAAGATAGAAAAAAGAACTCACATTCTTCATCACAGCAACGGCCTCCTCAGTCTGTCCCACGAACTCATCCTCAGCCTGCTCAATCTCAATACGAGCATCCTCACTCAGATTATCCAAATCCCCACCCGCAGCGGCCTTCTTCCTAGCCTTGATGGAATCCAAATTGAGTCGCGCATTCTCCACATTACGACGGGCCTTGGTCGCGAAGGTCAAATTCGTGTTTAGCGTGGTATTCCATCCGGCCAAGAACCGAGACTGAATTTGAGCGTCTTGCGCCAATCGGGCTTCGCCCACTTTCTCCAGTGCGAGGGCGTATTTCTCCAATGCAGTGGAGAGGGGGTCCTCGGCGGGGGTGGTTTGGGCGATTAGCTGTGATCCAGCTAGGGAAGCGCGGGCGATGGCATGGCTGAAGGTCTTTGGTTGAGGTTTTGCGGAGGGTGGTGCAGTCAAGGCAGCCTGGGCTTCGGCGGGGGAAGAAGCGTGAGAAAGGAGGTTGACTTTCTCGCTGATGGTGCGACCGAGATCATTGAAGGATTCGCGGATGTTAGGGGGGTAGTCGTAAGCCTCGTTCGAGTACTGGGAGCTGCTGTTTATCAGTATCTGATAAGACGGTAGTGCAGGAAATACGTACGTCACAGAAAGAAGCTTCTGATGAACCTGCTTCAAAGCATCGACACGCTTCTCGAGCTCGAGATAATCGTCCGGAAGCTGCGTCTTCTCATCCGCCGTGCCGAGCTGCTCCTTGACAAACTGCTGGGTTCGCGCTGCAAAAGGCGTGAACTGGGCGCTATACAATTTATAAATAATATCAGTAACAGAACTATAAATATGTATATGTGACTGCGTGCGCTCATCCGGCAGTGCTAACAATAGGCCGTCACAGCGTATGCTGATAAGGAGGGGTAGGTAGATAGCTCACTTTAAGTTCTTTCCAAAAGCCTGGAGTTTATCCATGTTTATCAACCAATGAACGTGTTTCTGTTGAAGGGATTCGTTCTTGGTCTTGAAGGTTGGAATAGTACAATGAATGATTCCGTTCGGCTTGTCGAGTTTGATGTTTGATGTTTGACTCTTAGTTAGGGGAGATCTAGCTGAAACCTCGTTGCCTGAGGCAGCGGGAGCTTTAGCTAAGAGCCCCACTTGCTCCCAGCGGACAAATAAGAAGACCCGCGTGGAATACCAACAACGACAAAGATTCCAGAGAGATTACAAGAATCATTGAATGAGTCTATTGTCTATACATACATACATGGGTGTTACAGCATACTTGGAGGGAAGAACAGACTAATCATAACTTGGAGTGCATCATGCATGGATACAAGACCATATCTTTCATATCCTCAGATACCATATCAACATCAATCATTATATCGTTGCATTGCCGAGAACTTGAATTCAACCAGATAACGCCATGGAAATAACGGATATGGAAACAATAGGTGACTCGATATATCAACTATCGACAACAATGACCGAAGCGTACTCACGTCAATGTCGCCATCATAGCACGAATAAGCCGTGAGTCAGGAGCTATGATTCGATATGAGTTAGCCATGTTTGCAGTTCACAGATTGATAGGATGCTAACCTCTCCTATTTTTGTTTACTTCAATAATCTCATCAGTCTCACCATCGCTTCGGCGAATGACCTTGTCCCTGATAATATCCACAGAGCCAACGTGCTCAGGACGACGTTCAATCTGGAGCATCCTTCTCTCATCCTCCAGCATCCGGATTTCTTCGCTTACGTCAAGCTCGGTACGACGAGGTCGCTCAACGAGGACAACCTGTCCGGCTGAATCATCTCGGCGTTCGACGATGACCGGTTCAGAAGAACGTTGAGGTAAATTGACGGATACCGATCGAGGCCGGGTTTCGATGATATCTGGACGTTCTAGGTAACGGCTGGTACGGACTCGTGAAGGGCTACGGTAACGGAGCGGAGAGGGCGATCGTTCAACAATCAAGTGTTCTGTGCGCGCCGGAGAGTGTTCCACGACGAGGCGTTCCGTGCGTGCTGGAGAATGCTCTACGATGAGACGTTCGGCACGTACTGGCGATGGGGATCGTTCAACGTATAGCCGCTCAGAACGTCGTGGTGAAGGTGATGCAATGACAACCCGTTCTACTAGTTCTCGTTCGCGTACGGGTGGTGGTGAAGGAGATCTATACGTTCGGTAGACAGCTACTACAATTAGCACGAAGCGAAAAAGCGACACGGACAAATCACTTACTTTCTGATCGACGTCTTATTTCCTTGCTCAGAGTTACAATTTCATCAATGAGTTCTTTAGAAAGAGCCTTTTGAATAATGATAACCCGATCCTACCATTTTGTCAGCACGCCGTGAACATCAACCACTGTACAAAGACCAACCTCTTCGATATATGGATACCCAAGCTGCTGCACTGCGCGGGGGTGCACCAATCGCTTAGGCATCTTCGTCTTACCCTTTCGCGGGTACGGCTTCTCCTTCTCGATAATCCTTTCTTTGACAATCTCCTCTCTAACAGGACGCCTCATCTCGCGTTCACGGAAATGCCGAAACTCCTCGTCACCGTATTCATCCGGTTCCGCAATATCGATTTCCTCGTAAAGCTCATCGCGCCCAACAAATCGAGGAGGGGATGATCGCCTCGGTGGACCACCACGAAATCCTCTCACGGGCGGAGGAGGAACCCGCTCAATCCTTCGTGCCGGCAATCTGTCAAATGTATCCAGGGAAGATTGACGTCTCACTAATCGCGGAGGACGAAAAGAAGGCGATGGCTCTCGACGATGTACCAATGGTCCCGAACCACGTGCAGCATAGTAATCATCTTCTTCAACGAAGCGTTCTCTACGACGACCGGGTAGACCATATCGATCTTCCTCAACGACGCGGCGCTCAAAGCGGTCATCGAATCCGCCGGGGCGACGGCGGTCGAATTCAGGCGGTGGAGGAGGTGGTCTAGATCGTGACCTTTCTCTAAGAGGAGCCGGTGCCGGACCACGGTAAATGCGCTCGTCACGTTCACGTGTAAAGCGTTCTGTATCCCATCGCCCACCACCGCTGTCGAGGCTCTCTGTTGCGGAGCGGATTTCGTCGTAGGTCGGCATGGTCTGTTTGGTCAGAAACAGGTGAGACGATCTTCTGTTTACAGGGGTAAATTTTCTTTAGAAAGTAAACAAAACAAAAAAAGTCAGTTCGAACCACGGGTGTGATTCAGAGTAACCGTGGATGACCGTCTCCGCTGACTAGAGGAGGTTATTTAGTTCAAGAGCCTCAGGTGGGCGGGATGAGGGGCGGCTACTGATACAGACGATGAGTCAGTTTAGTTGGATGTTGACAATGGTCTGATCTGTGAAAGATGAAAGAGTGAACCTTACAAAGAAGACACCTGTCCTAAGTTGAATGCTCTGTTTGAGTTTGCTCTGCAGAGTGTTTGAAGAAATAAAACAGCCTAAGGAGAGACGCAGTTGGGCAGAGTCATAGGCCGATAATCAAGTGACGATGACGCCGGACTCGAGCATACTAACCTGAATGAGGCTACAGTGTCTGAGTAGGGAAACCCAGGGTTAGGGTCTCGGCTTCTACACCGACACCACGCTGTCTGCTAAAAGTAGGACTGATCAACTATTAAACTAGAATCTTATACAATGTGCGGCTTTAAGCAGTCTAATAAATCCCAAAAAGACCCAAAACCACCTTCTCAACCGACCATCTCGCAAGCTGGCCTGTCACAGCAAGAGCCACAGCCCATAAATAACCGCAATCTAGAAGAATATAGAGAGCTTCGATATTATTCAGCAGAACCAAATGGGTCGATGCCGTTCCTAGCGACAAAAAGGACATCAAAGAAGTAAAGTCGAATGCAGAGAGGAAAGTCGCTAAGATCGTGGATGGGTTGCTGAGGAAGCCAAAAACTGATGTTGCTCTGGTAACAATATTGTTTTTGCTCATAGTTGTGGTGACAGTAGCTGCAGCATTGTCTAATAATACCCCCGATGCAGTTGGGATTGATAAAGATGAAGTCACTGTCGTTAATGTCTTGTGCAACATCGTAACAGCTGGACTATCAGCAGTTGAACTCCCTTCCTCGGGAACCGCGACATCCTTCGATCCCCATATCACCATGAGTATGGGGAACAGTTTCGGACAACTACTGACAAACAATGCTGTGCTGACAGCATTGGCGCTGGGAGGTGACGGCGGAGGTAGCGGCTGTAACTGTGCAGGTGAAGTCGATACACGTCGCAATTGTGTATGTACTCCTTGCTGCGATGGTGACGCATCATGCGGCCAGTACGAGGGTCCACTACTAGTAGCACTTCCGGTACTGTATGCTGATGCCGATGCCGATGCTGAAGGATGCAAGCCCTGCGATATATCCTGGCTGGATGGTGACCGGCTCACATTTGCAGAAGTCGAAACAACATTCGTTGCCGCCGTAGGTGTTGCCGGCGATTCATTATTTGTCCCATCTGCTCCAGAGGCAATAGCTGACTGTTGCGACTTCCTCGATATAATCGAAGCTCCCAGGCGAACGACCAAGTGATGTGCCAATGTCGCCAGCGCATTGAGTGTGAGAAAAAACAGATATTGAACGATAATCGGAGCAGTGGACAACGGCGTCGATGAGAGGGTGGACGATTTCTCGATTCGCGCCCATGTCAAGTAAACATCGAACAAAAGCAGGAGTATACCGAGACGAACAATCGATCTCTGCAAAGTCACTCTCATTAGTGTATGTATTACAACTCGCTGGTGCGTAGTGACTCACATCGAAAGCTTTATCATCTCGTCCCAATCGATTAAACAACAAATGACGATAAACCTACTCCCACACCACATCAGCTAAACCTCTCCCACCCTTCAAACAGACCAATAATTCTCACCTGAGGTTTCACAAGCACCAAATCAATAAACAAAACCACATTATCATGCTCAACATATTTATCCGCGAATCGCTTGCAGCGTGGACATTGCGTCAACCGCACCCCTTTACCGAGCGCGCGATCATCGGCTTTGCTGTAGGAGGTGTAGAGATGTGAGACTGGATAGGAGCATTCAATACATATAGGCATTTCGTCAAGACATTGTATTCTCTTTGTGCGATTGTTGCTGGCGCAATTGAGGACTGTCACGAAAGTGTGTCACTTTCTGCCAGTTGCCCGAGATCGTTGGCTAAGACGAGAATGGTTTAGGTTTACGTTCTATCAACCAATCAATCAGTGCATAGAAGTAAACTGGTTTTGACCAATCATATTGCGTATACATAAAAATGAATTGTTTCATGGGTGTCGTATTTCATAGCAAGCATTAATATCATATCTACAGGCTATAATGGGTCGTCAAGATTAAGCCCATCAAGATCACTTTCCAACTCCAACAGCCCCATCGCCCAGTGCGCTCGTACCCTTCTTTCCACCTTCACAAAACGTCTTTCATAGTTGGAGCCCGGTGCTATATGTTCATCGGTTTTTTCACCGCGGGAATAGATTGGTCCTCTCTACAAAAAAATTATTAGAGAGAAAAGGAGCCGGGAGTCAAACTTACCATTTGAACATCTGGCCCACGAACATACGGAGGCCCACGTCCTAATGCAGCTGTACGGGCCCATGCAGCTTCACATCCAGATGCGATCGCTTCAGCAGACTGCCATCCAGTCACACGGGCAGTTCCTCGAAGAGTTGCCACAGTCCAGTCTCTTTGTGTTGCATCCGTGTATTGAACACCTGCAACAAACAAATTCACAGTGGTCTCTATCCATGCTCCGCCTAGATTCGGATTCAAACTCCCGACTGCTTGCATGTATAACTGTGGATAGTATACTCCGGCAGCTATTTTGCCAATCGTCTGAGCAAAGTTGGCTGTCGTTGCTGCCGCTGCTGTCGCAGCTACCATTGCAGCTGGAGGCATACTAGGATGGAGCCGGTTGAGCATTATTCTTCCAGTATAGTAATACCCCCAGAGCACGGCAATGATATGAGAACGGAACTGTAATGCGGAACCGAACGGCGAACCAATTGGCGATGTGCTGTCTGCTGGTAATGGTGCAAAGGATTCTCCCAATTGGCTCTCGTAATATTGATACGCATCTGATATGCGTTCCCATTCCGCTTCGGCTTCTTCCAATGTTTTGTCTTCTCCGTCGTCATCTATAAAGCCTGAGTACGGCGGAGATTCGCCCATTGTGGTGAACGCAGAAGGAGCTGGAACTGGACCGCCTGTCGGCGCCATACCATACATAGGCTGCTGTTGTGTAGAGCTTTGACTTGACGGTGGCTACGTTACGCTCTCGTTAGCAAGCCCTATTTGCTGGCTTCATCGATGATACATACCTGGGCACTCGGACCAGCTGGTCCTTGCATTTTACCTGACTGTGGAGGCCCCTTCCCAGGAGGTGATCCGGGACCGCCACCTGTAGAGGATTTGGGCGCAAATCGACCGATAAACCTGAAGAAACTGGGATTGGGACGCCATTCACCACCACAGGCCTCAAGGCTCTTGAGTTTTCTCTTGCGATCTTGGTATCCAAAATGCATCATGCGAGCCATAAGAAGTATGAGATGATCAAAGCTGCCATAGATTGCATCTAGTTTTCCAAGTGCCGCACGAGGAGGACATGCGTCCCAGCGTTCGAATGGGGTGCTGAATAGTGTTAGCCAGAATGCAGTGGCTATGTGGTTGAAATACATACTGGAGTCTGTTACCACTAATCAAACTCTGAAAAAGATCCTGCTTTGCATACCACCAATATAAATCACATTGTAACCGGAAGTTCTCGATATCTTTCCGTGAAAAATGCCTCCTCTTGACTTTAGGGTAGGCATCAACACGACCGATTTGATCATAATCAATAGCCCTTCCCACAAGTCTGGACACTACTTTGGGATCTACTCCCGACTCCTTCTCTGCAAATGGATCGTCTTCGGAGTAGCTGTAAGCTGAAAAAGTATCGAATGGCCCTGTCCAGGCATGTTTTTGCGACCTCAGACTTCGACGATAAGCTCTGAGATCTCGCGTTATGCCTGCGAAATCGATTTCTTTCAAGAGTTGTGCAGCGCCAGCTACGTGCCTGTCCCACTTGGTATGATCCGCTGCAGAAACTTCGTAAAAGGCAAGAATCAATGTGGCAGCCAGTGTCGCTACTTGCTTTCGACGCAGAGGGAGACCGACAGCCTTCGAGACCTTTCTGAGCGCGTACTCGTAATGCTTGAAAGTGATTGTAAGATGACTCTGTTGTAGCTTGGCTATGTGAAAACTGCTGATGGCAAGCATTGCTTGTAGGAGTGCCGGGTGTTCAAGCGATTTCAAAGGCATGATATAGCTCCAGAGTCCTTGCTGCGATGAAGGTACGGGTCCACCAAATAAGGGCGTCGGATTTGCAATGTGTCGCTCCCAGACCGACATGCTAGGACCCGTCGCGTGCATAAAATGGATCCATATTCGTGCGGTTTTTGGATTGTTCAGCGGAGATGAGCCCATTGAAGGTTGGTAGGAGGCAAGGATGTGAGGCTCGTTAAGATACGTATTGTACGATCGGATGGCATCCCGATGTGCCGAAGCCATGATAAGGTCCAACTGATTGTATCCCTCTTCTTCGGTAACCTCTTGTTGCTCGTCGTCGGAATCAACGTCATAGTAATCATTTTCTAGTCCTTCAGGGGCATAAGTCGTCGGTATCAGGGCTGCTTGGTCCCAAGGATAACGACCAGTCATCAGCCATATATATCGCCAGGTCACTCATTAAATAATCGTTGAAACAGGTCTTACCTTCCTGTTCGGCATCCCACGAATAGTAGACCTGAGCTTGTTGGAAGGTGTCGTCCGTGTAAAATCCGATGGTTTCAGCTATACTCTGCACGGCCGGATCATGCTGACCCATTGGCACTGGATGATTATGCAGATTCTGATGCGATGGTAGTACGGTGCCAACTCCCGCCACCGTCTGGGGCAGCAATGCGGCATCATGAACACCCTGAATCGGGCCACCAGTCTCAGCGGGTACTGTCAGATAAGTATGCTGATCTGCAGTCGGCCACGTATAGAGATGGCTTGCGAAGTCGTCCCCATGAACGTGGATGGATTCGGGATGAGCGATTATCTGTTCTGGCTGCAACGGCGATTGAAGAGGGATTGGAGGATAGTGGAAGGCTTGTTGTTGCTGGTGCATGGACTGGGCCGTGCCATAACCAGAGGCGACAGTAGGCGGTACATAAGGGAGACGGGGTGCAAGCAAGCGTTGCTGAGGATTGAGAGCTTGGCCGGCGATGGGCTGTCCTTGATGTCGTTGCAGTTGTTGTAGCTGTTGGAGCTGGACTTGGTGTGGCAGTTGAGGAAAGGTCACGGGAGTTTGCAAGTTGGCAGGAACTCTGGGGTCGTACGCCGCGCCCAAAGTACCCAACGCGTTCTTGAAGACGACTCTTTGCGTATACCCTTCGCACTCTCGCTTCGCTTTAATGCAGTTATTGCACCGAGGCTTCTCCTCCCCACACTTGATGCGCCGTTTCCTGCAAGCTGATGATTGTAAGTATGTGTCTTTTTTTTATCGAAAGAGACATCTTGACTTACTCAAACATCCCGTCTTAGTCCTTCTCTTAGGACCCCGAGCGGGGGGAGCACTTTTGTTAGCTGTCGCTTCGGATTGCCCTTCTGGCAGACTGCGTTTGCTGTCTTCCTGTTCCACCGGATTATCCCCACCAAGACGAGTGCGATCTTGCTCGTCCATCCGAGTCCTAGATGGTTGCTGTGGTTATGAGGTAAAAGTCAATGCAAAGCGAATCGCGGGAATAGACTCTGGTGAGGGGCACGGATGGAGGGGAAATGAAACTCCCAAGACTCAATGATGATCTGATCGATTTATACTTATTGTACACGTCCAGGCACGGTCCGATGACTCTGAGTGGAGGCGTAATAGTACTGCCCTACCATCAACTAGTTGCCAAAGAGCCTCCACTGGGTCGCGCGATGCAAATTGACTTTGAGCACACTCGTCGCGCAGCCACTCGGAAATCAAAAAGACTGGGGACAATGCACGTTTGAGGTGTCAATTGGGTCAACGGTGAAGAACTCTCAATGGCAGGTGTATTTGTTTTATCCATAACGATTGAAAGGAGTATGCACTTCGCATCCGATTTGAATCCTACAAGATTACGGTTAATGCATCGGCTAAGGTACTGGCGGCAATGACATTATGTGATGTGTCAAAAAAATTCATCAGAGCTGAAGCACAATCTCGTGCAACAATGGCTTTCCGGGGTTAACCATGCCATGCAGATGCCACTACTACCAACAAGACATGGTCACTTGGGCGAGGTGTGGTTGAGCCGAATGATGTGTGGAGTGGAGTTATAATACGCATGCTGATATTGGAACTGTCAGCGACTAGTCTACTTGCCAGCGACCACTCGCAAGGCGCACTCATTTTCAGCCTCCTGTTCTTTTGTTTGAACGGCGGAGATAGTGATACATAGTAGATTGATCAAGCCGAAGTGGGACACTCCTCGTGGTTTGAGTGGTTTGGGAGCTCTCCTTTGGCTCAAGGCTCGAGAACTCAAGGATTACGGAAACTCCCGATTCCATGCGTCGGATGCCGATTTGTCGCAAGGCAGACTCCCACCCATGGATCATGGCAGAAGCTATGCCTACTGAGCTATACGCAACGGAACGAATCGACACAGGCCCCACGTCAGAACCCAAGATGACCCAAAAAGTGGCATGGCCTTGGGCTTAACCGTTCCGGGACTCATACTGCGAGATAGGCTCTTTTTAGTGCTACTAGCGCACCCGCTAGCATACAACTGCCCCCAACAACAGGCCCAATCCAGGCCGTTAGTGACCCCACCGCCTCTAGTTAAAGCTTCGACTCCCGCCGTCCATACGTCGTATGTCCGTTCAGCCAGCACTCCATTTCTAATCCGTTTAGTGTTGAATGAGCCTCAGCAGTGGCTACGGCATTTGTTACCTGTTTAGGCATGTAGTTAGCATCCCGTACGAACCATTCTCATCCTTGGGCATCTCCAGATTACTAATTAGTGATGTCTTGACTCCATGCAGCGTAATGCTTGGCTGCTGTCGCAGTAGTACGTATTTAGTTATCGATTCGGAGGAATATAGCGAGTCAGCGACTAAGCCAGATCTCATTTCCATATGGCCGGACCATAATGGCACCATCCGCCCGATCTCATAGAGTTTGTCGAATCATCGAATTGAGTCTCCTGCCGATCGCTGGATCCCCTACTCATCTGTCTCAGTCAAGTCTCTGTATGATCGATCTGGCACTAATCGCGCTACGACCTCATACGCTTGATAATCAAGCTGCATCTAGCATCAATATGAACCTGCAATGTATGTACGTGGTGCATTCTGACAGTCCATGAGAAAGAAATTGGCGATACCTCGTACGGAAGTACGCATCCGAAAGAATTGCACCGCGGACATGAAGAATTCCAGCGGACCTCCGATGGACAGACCGAAGCAAAAAAAGACAAAGTCCACCGACGACAGCAAATCCAACAACTTCCTCATTGACTCTCCAATCAAAAGAAAAGTACTTAGTAAATTTATCGTAAATCCAAGCCCCTTTTTCCTGATTTACCCTTTGTTCTCCTCCAAACCTCTCCAAGCCCCGTATAAACCCGAGAAGAACTCAACTTTATTCACGAGCCTGAGAACTTAGAAACAGAAACAAAAAGCAAAAGTAAAAAAACAAGCTTGTTGGAAAGGGGTAAATAGTGATAAGCAAAACTTTGAAGCAGGAAAAAGAAGCAAAGTCAAGAGTACTCTGTAAAAAGCCTTCGAATGTATAAACGACCTGTGCGGTTGTGCTACCAGCCAACTGATTTGGATTGTGTTTGTTCTATGCTTATTGCATCCTAGAATCTACCTGGATAGAGAATGGTGTAAATCCTGAGCCACGAGGGCTCGGATTAGCTGATATAACTGGGTTGTTTGATCGAGCGTTTCGTGAGATGAAGCCAGTTTGGATAGGCTGACCGCCTTATCAATTGAAGGCTGCTATTGGCCTAAAAAAGATGGGAAACTTTTGCAATTCTGCCGGCGGTGACAGAAAAAAAATCCCGTCCTGATTATCACAGTCGACGTTCACACTGTTATATCTCTGATATATGCACAGAACGCAAAAATTGGCCATGTTTGCTGTACCAGGTTGGTCATTATCGACCGCCGATCTGAAACCGCAAAAGGAAGTTTCGTCAAAGCAGCACGCAACTTCCACCCCTACAGCATCTAATGCAGCCACGACCGAAAGTAACGAAAATGTTGGTCAAAGTGTGAAGAAGAGAAAGAGGGAGAATGGGGTGACCAAGTCCAATGTCGATGAGATGTTTAAACGGCATATTGAGGGCCATACCGATAAGAGCAGCAAGAAGACTAAGAATAAGAAGGCCAAGGACAAGAAGAAGGAACAGAAGGAGAACAAGCAATCTGAAAATAATGAAGTAGTTCAGCAGAAATCGGCTGAAGCTGGGGAGGGTCGAGTGAACAAGAAACAGAAGAAAGCTCGCGGCGAGGAAAGAAAAACGCATGCAAAGGACGATACTTCAGCGACTACCCCAGTTGACAATGCTACAATCACTTCAGTAGTATTACCTCCAGCAGCCCCCACCTCCACGGCAAAACTCACACCACTTCAGCAAAAGATGCGTGAGAAGCTCATGTCTGCTCGCTTCCGCCATCTCAACGAGACTCTTTACACTACTCCATCGAAGCAAGCACAGGCCATGTTCGAAGCCAATCCCGAATTATTCACAGAATACCACAATGGCTTCTCACGACAAGTCAAGGAATCATGGCCCTCGAACCCTGTGGATGGCTACATCGCCGCTGTCCGGAAACGCGGCGCCGTACCTGCGCATCACAACGACACAAAGAAACATAACAACAATGCAGTGGCACCATTACCACGCAGACCAAACGGTCTATGCACCATAGCCGACCTAGGCTGCGGCGACGCCCAATTCGCACGTTCATTAATACCCTCAGCGAAAAAACTGCAACTCAAACTTCTCAACTTCGACCTCCAATCCCCCGACGACTCGCTAGTCACAAAAGCGGATATCGCGAATTTACCCGTGACAGATGGCAGTGTCGATGTGACGATATTCTGTCTCAGTCTGATGGGCACGAATTGGGTCTCGTTCGTTGAAGAAGCCTGGCGCGTACTCCGCGGCGATGGGAAAGGTGAATGTTGGGTTAGTGAAGTTAAAAGTCGCTTTGGGAAAGTGAATCGCAAAAAGGCTCAGATAGGGTTGAAGAGAGATGAAGCTACGATGTCGAATACGCAAAAGAAGAAGTTGAAGAACAAGAAAAAGAAGAAGAATGGAAATAACGAGTCTGACGAGGAAGATGCCGATGAGGATGAAGAAATCTATGCCGAAGATGCCCAGCCTGGCAGCGGCAGTAACGACGATACTGACATCTCCGCGTTTGTCGAAGTGTTCAAATCACGCGGCTTTGTGCTCAAACAGGAATCGGTGGACAAGTCTAATAAGATGTTTGTCAAGATGGAATTCGTCAAGGCTGGTGGTGCGCCGACAAAGGGTAAATATACGGGTATAATTCCTGCTCCTGCTCGACGGAACAGTGAGAAGTCGACACAGACTAAGAAGAGGTTTATTGATCGTGGGGATGATGAGGCGAGCAAACAGTTGACCGCAGAGCAGGAGGCCAAGGTTTTGAAGCCGTGTGTATATAAAATCCGATGAACCTTGCCCACTATCGAAATAGATCGGGATGGAAATCTTACAAGATCGTTCATAAGACTGTCTTTTCCACGATGTAAAAATATTCTCATGGCTACATCATATTTTCGAACAACCGAGACGACAATTGTATTAGGGAGACAAAAAGATTCTAATTTCCACCCAATTGCCCAACAGCTCGACCCATTTCCTCCTCATCGTAGATCCGGAAACCCTTTTCTTTCGTAACGCTAGCCAACTGAACATTCTTGGCATCTAGTTTCTCCTCCATGACTTGTTTCAATGTCTTGAGAACAAGGGTCTCCGCTTCGGCGAGGGTGAGGGATCGATGATACTCATTTTGCAATTCTGCCTGGGCTCCTTCGCTTCCAGAGCCGATGGCTTTCGCGTCGTATCGGTAAAACGTTCCTGATGGCTCAGCGTGATATCTACACCCGGTTTAGCAATCATCCAACAGAAAGGGTAAAAGATAAGGGGACGAACAGCTGCGGCCCATCCTCATCATAACCAGCAATCAAAAGCGCAACTCCAAATGGCCGACTCATAACACTCTCCTCCCCCTCCGCACCTTCACCAAACCTCAACGCCAAATCACAAATAGCCTGTGTACAACTCTCGACGCGAAGCGATTCTGCGAAATGGAATGCATGATTCTGACATTCGACGCGGGCATGTTCAATCATCGACCGCGCATCGGCTTGTAGACCGGACATGGCACAGCCAATATGTTGGTCGATTTCGACAATCTTTTCGACGGAGGAGGTTTCGAGGAGGCTGGAGGTGACTCGTTTTTCGACACCGAGGACTACACCTTCTGACGTTGCTACCTGTTTTTCTTTGGTGAGTATCACCTGATAGAGGATATGACTGAGGTAGACGTACTCCGATGGCAGTTGAACCAAGCTTGATAGCTTCTAAGGAGTATTCGACCTGGAACAAACGACCTTCAGGAGAGAAGGTGCTATCAATATCTGTCAGTCTAGCCCTGGAGATTATATGAACAGATAGATCGGTTCTGCGTACTTGATACCGCGGTCTATGAAGCTGTTAGCTATGGTTGATAATCATTCAAGGACGGTAGAGCTCACCGTATTCTGAGCGCGCAATAAACATGTTGTATACTTATCTGTAAAATTCTCTATATTGAAAGAAACAAGGTTCGACACGAGATTTGCAAGTAGGGTTGTTGTAGATCGATCGATGGCAGCAAGAAAGATGGTAGCTTGTCGAGCTCAAAGCTGTCGGTCAGTTCCTACGTAAACGCCGGGTGCCTGGGCGGAGAGCGGCGCTAGACCCAAAGCAGAATCCCCATACAACGCACCTTTTTGGGCCGCATAGTAGGGAAAGCAAGCTCATACCTAGATACCTACTTACGTTGTTTTTCGAAAGTCAACCTATTTCCCGACCTACATGCTCGCCATCAAATCCGTCTAAGAGAGTATGACCTCCAATGATCGTCGTGCTGCCAGCTACAACCTAGGCGGCGGTTCACGACCCCGCGTCGCTCCCAGTCGCGCTGCTGGTGAACACGAATATAGATCATCTCGACAAGGCGAAGACAACGCCAAAATGGAAAATTTGCGCGGAAGCACGTCAAGTGCAAGGGAGCTGCATAGACAATCCAGCAGTGCGATGGACCGTCGAACGGAGCGAACTACTGTAACTTCGCGCGAAAAAGTTCATGTCAAGACGCGCAATCCAGTCAAGGAGTCTCCGAATGCAGGCAATCGCGGTGAATTTGGGAGATCACGATCTAAAAAGACGGCTTCGCCGCCGAGGAGGAGGGATAGAGAGGTTGCAGATGGTACGCTTACAATGTCTGCCAATAGTCTATACCATGAGCTGATTGCTGTTTAGTACCGTGGATTCCTCAAGCTACTTTGATCGCACACTCTGCTGCTCCTTTAGCAACTCGTATCTCGGTCCCTCCACTTGCGTCGACAGCACCGCAATCGCTCGAGCCTATATCGTTTAAAGAATTGTCTATGGAGGAACAAGAGAATGCCATCTTACAAGACATATTGTTTGTTTTTATGGGCTACGAGGGCCAGCATATACGCTATCATTCATCATACGATCCATCCGTGGAAAAAGACAGATTAGTCGGTCCGGCATTTCAGATTGGCCCTGGCTTAGATCCAAGTTTGAAAGATCTGACGATATCGATGCTGAAAATGGCGACCCATTACAGCGCTTTGGAGGCCTTTATCGATGTGTTGAGTCGACCGGAATATGGAGCTGTCAGCCACGCTCTGTGCGCGGCTATTCGAAAGCTTCTCAAAGATTACCTGATTCTCATAGCGCAACTCGAGAATCAGTTATTGAACAACCCGAACTTCACGCTGCATGTTCTCCACCTTCAGACCATGCCCACAAGTCAAAGCCTAGCGCAACTGCATTCACTTAGTCAAGAGCTGCTTAGGCGAAACAAGCTTCTGGATCAAGATCTGGACGAGTCGATTGATGATTTTGACGACGTTGACAATATTCTTGAGCAGTTGAAAGAAGGCGGTGATCTGGTACCTGGAAGTATGTCTAGCAAGAAGATCTGCAAAGGAGGGAACGTTCTGGGACTTTTGACAGAACGCCTGGCTACGTTTTCAGGAGATCCCGCAACAAAAACACTACTACAGACACTGCTCCGAGAGGCTAGTAGACCGTATATGACGATGCTGAATGAATGGCTACATCATGGCGAAATCCGAGATCCTCACGGTGAATTTTTGATCAAGGAGCAGAAATGGATCAAGAGAGAGAAACTTGAAGAAGATTATACCGATGAGTATTGGGAGAAGCGATACACGATTCGAGACAACGAGGTACCTCCACAGTTGGAAAGCGTGAGGGACAAAGTACTCCTCGCTGGAAAGTATCTGAATGTGGTTCGAGAATGTGGAGGCGTGGACGTCAACAAGGCAGTCAAAGATGTCCCCAAGACGTTTGATGATCCTCGATTCCTAGACAACGTGAATAGTGCTTATGCATACGCCAATACGTCGCTGTTGAATCTTCTCTTATCCGAAAACTCGCTTACTACACGCTTCCGCTCATTGAAACACTACTTCTTCCTCGATCGGTCAGACTTTTTCTCTTATTTTATGGAACTCAGTGCCTCGGAGCTGCGTAAAGCTGCTAAAAACGTCAACGAAAGTAAACTTCAGTCTTTGCTAGATCTAGTCCTCCGACAACCAGGAAGCATTGCCGCATCAGACCCGTTCAAAGAAGATGTCAAAGTGAAAATGAACAAGATTGGCTTGACCAGATGGCTGATGCAGGTCGTCAGCGTTTCTGGTATTGATCAAGATAATCCGGACGGCGGACTTGAAAAATACCAAACTCCAACCACGCAATCAGCCGAAGACGAAAAAGACATTATCGGCTTCGATGCTCTTGAACTCGATTACCTTGTCCCCTTCCCACTATCTCTCGTAATCAGTCGAAAGACCGTACTACGCTATCAGCTCATTTTCCGTTACCTCCTTTCACTACGACACCTCGAACATCTCCTCGTGACGTCCTGGCAAGACCAACAAAAGACCCTCGGTTGGCGCCACAAATCCTCTGATCGAAGACTGGAAATGTGGAAACGAAGAGCATGGACTCTACGAGCCAAAATGCTGGTTTTTATTCAACAGCTCCTATATTTCTGTACGGCTGAGGTGATTGAGCCTAATTGGCAGAGTTTGATGGAACGCGTTAATGGTACTGCTGCTAGTACTCAAAGCGGTGCATTGCCGATAGATGATCATGCACTTGATGGATCGAAACAGGTTAATCGAACAGTGGACGAATTAATGCAGGACCATGTTGATTTTTTGGATACGTGTCTTAAGGAGTGTATGCTTACTCAAGCTAAGCTCTTAAAGGTACCCCTCACCTCTCGGATCAAAATGAAGGTAGCCTTAACTGATAGTATACAGATTCATTCCAAACTAATGACATGCTGTACAATGTTCGCCTCCTGGACCGCCGCCTCACTAGGTCGAAGTATGTCCACCGCAGACCCAGATTTGTCCGCCGGGGCCCCTGGAGCGCCAGCCGATGCCCGTCCGTACGATGCGACGCGATTAGCCAAATTGGAGGATACACTGAAGCGATATGAGGACCACTTCAATCGGCATTTGCGGATTTTGCTGGACAGGTATGTATTCTATCGAGCCGATGCAAGACGAGCGGTCTTCGGAGATGTATATGCTAACGTTTTTGGGGTAATAGTTTGAACTACTTCGCGGCCACGGAGAGTGTCGTCCTCCTCAAACTTGCACATTCATTGAGTTCTATCGGGAAGGATGATGACGTATGAAGGGGTCCCCGCAATGCATTTGTTATGATTATTTTCATTGATCAGCATTTGCATCATTACGGTATGCGAGGGTCTATAAGGTGGAATGGGGCATGCCATCGCATTCTCTATTTGTGTTCATCCAGCGTTGTCCTATGCTTGTATTACTTTACTTCAATCTTAAATAGATTGATGATACCTCATGACATATCGATACCCATACAGTCGCGCACAGAAGAGCCTCATTTACATATCTACCTATATCTACAAATTCAGCCACGCCTGCCTGTCGAGGTAGGTGTAAGTCTATGGCTAGAGGACTCCAGGTTATAACTTCGCCCTCCCACTCTCAATCTCCTCCCAGCCATCCCTGTCTAACTTCTCATATACCGGGTGCTTCCCATTCTTCGAATTCAGCCAATACAATGTATCACCCCCATCAACGGGTGATTCAGGGTTCCAGCTGCGCTTTGCTAGCTCGCCTTTGGCTTGTTTGAATGTTACTCCTGTAGCGACTCTGCAATCAGTTAGTATCATCCTTTCTTGAAAGATGGGTTAAGCATACTCCTTGGTGAATCTGACGAGTCGCGGGATTGCGTATGTTGGTACACCCTGCGAGCGAAGGAATTTCCATAGATTGTTGATTGCAGCTGCTTCTGTTTGGGGTGTTCGTCGTTCAAGGGTTATGCCTGCTGCGCCTGCTTGGCCATCATAACTATTCCACCAGTTAGCCAGATCCACAAGTCGAGGGTAGTAGAGAGGCGTACTTTTTCAATTTCACACCAAACACAACCGCATCCTGCACATTCTCCATCCGACAAATATGATCCCTCACTTCACCCGCAGAGACATTCTCCCCTTTCCAGCGGAAAGTATCTCCAACCCGATCCCCAAACCGGATCCAACCGTCATGATCGCGAACCAACAAATCACCCATTCGCTGGAACAAATCACCTTTCTCAAAGACATCTCTCATCAGTTTCTTCTCGGTGGCTTCCTCGTTATGCAGGTACTCCGTCAGAGCCTGGCGAGTACGTACTCGACCAATGGCCTCACCTTCTTCTCCCGCACCGACTTTAACACAGAACCCCGTTTTGGGGTCGCGATACGGCATTTCAGTCTCCATATCAAATTTGATGAGATATGTATCTTGCTCGAAGAGGCGTCGAATGGGACCCTGAAATCCAACTGCGCCTGCACCAAACGATCCACCGTAGAAGTTATCGAATCGCGCAACACCTTCTGTAGATCGATATATCTCCCGGATTTCGGGGACATTGAACCGCTCACTGAATTTATCCCATATCTCGGTTCGGAGTCCGTTACCAAATGCGATGATGCAATTGTGTTTCTTGTCGTAGGGCGACGGCGGTGAGGCTAATAGGTATCGACACAATTCTCCAATGTACAACACCCGCGTAGACCGGGATTCATACACGTCTTTCCAGAAATTGGAGGCTGAGAATTTTCGGCGGAGACATAATGTGCCACCGTTGCCGACTGCGTAGCATACTCCACTGAAGAAGGCAGTGCCGTGGAATAAAGGTAGTGATGAGTATATGCGCATGGGATAGTATTTGGATGGATTTCTGGTGTCCTTCGGTAAAGGTGTGGACGTGACCAAGGTCATGATATTCCGAATTGCGCATGCTTTAGGGTTTCCTGTCGTGCCGGACGTGTATATCAAGACAGCCAGGTCGGGGGGACTCCTCTTCGCTGGAAGGATGGATGAAACGTCCGACTCTGGGATTTGAGCAAGTGTCTCGGAAGTAATCAGGGTAGTATCATCGGGTATATTTAACACAGAGTCAAAGGAAGACACATTTAACGAAAATTTCGGGATGTCGTCCGATCTGACGAATTCGGCCAGATCCGGCGTTGAGAGGATGAGTTTTGATGTTGAGATTTTGAGACAGTGTTTGAATGTCTCGTCTCTGAGGTTTGTGTTTATCATTGCAGCGACAACTCCTAATTTTGAGAGGGCATATACTATGAATACCATTTCCGGAGAATTAATAGTATAGACAGCGACAAAGTCGCCAGTCCGGATACCTTGGGCATAGACATAAGCAGCCAGGCGATCCGCGTCTGTTATATATTAATAAGACATAACATCTAATCAGATAGATTGAAACTTACAATCTTTTAATTGATCATATGTCCAAGTCTTATTCTCGAACCACAGCGCCTCTGCCGAACCCTGCTTGTTCACCTCAATGACCCTTTTGAGCATGCCGTACAATGTGCAAGTATCCCCCAACTCGCCAATTCGTTGCGCAAGTCTTTTTCCGAATGCAGCTTCATCTCGCAAACTGTCCACGTCGGCCTTGATGCCGAATTTCGCATTGGTATAGGCGGCTGTTGCCAGAGCCAGAGCCGCTCCGCCCAGGGCTGCTGGGGCGTTACCTGCAGCTTGGGCGAGGATGTCCATGGTTTTCGGTTATATAGCTGCTAGTATCAGATTATATGTGACACGGCACCTTATTACTAAAGTAAATGGAAATGAGCGTGGGTATATTCATTTAAAAAAGAAAGAGGAAAAAGTAGAATCCATGCACTTAAAACTCCGTATGCATTGGCCGTTAGCTGCCTGAGGACAACGGTGAGAATATCGGCAGCTGCTTCGGATCCTGACTCGACTCCTCCCTCCCCGTGGATGTTTTTCATTGATTGCTAGGACTAAGGCTCTGGTTAACTAGTTGCTAGCCCATTCCTAGTTATTGTTTATTGCTCGTTGCTATCGAATTTCTGTCGTTGACTGATTCATATAGCCCCACATCCTTACTACAAAGACTCCAGCTTGTTCAAGACTCTGATTAAGAGATCAGGATATACAGCATACTGTGAATCATCTGCTACACTTCTAGGCCCTCTCTCTTTTCCTTCGCTATTTCAGAGGAGCTCATCTCCGTATTCAAAGGATATCTTCCCCATCTACTCCAATTTTGATCTCCACATCTTCTCATGTGGAGAGGGCTGTGGCTTTACCGTACCATACGCTAAATTACCATCAATACACATAATATTTAAGCCGAGGAGGTGGATAATACCTGTACCTAACGCCGACGTAACATTCAATGCCGGCTTCTCCAACGGCAATTCCTTTCCATCTTTATTCCACCCTGCTTTTTCCATCTTTGACCATTGACTCTCTTCGGTTTTCTGTCTGTGAGTCTGTATGGAGTGAGCCGAGGACCAAGGATATTCTAGCCCATGCATCTAGATAATTGGCTAGTCGGATAATCTGCTCTTGTACACGATTGTTCACTCATCGGAAAATTGAAGCAATACCCGAGACCTATATACAAAGGAAAACTTTCCTTCATAAATTATTTTTTCTATTAACATCAGACACACATACAGGAAACATGTCGTCGGCTTCGCAACGTCTTTCTGCTATCGCCAGCCAGATTACCGGCGGGGGCGAGTCTATTGCTAGAAAACGGGTGCTTGCAAAGAATGCAGATGATATTGTAAGTATATTTTGCTGTGATGTTCTATAGCTACATTACTAATTCATACAGGTCATTACTCTTGCAGTCCGGACACCACTCACCAAGGCCAAAAAAGGTGGTCTGAAAGATACTAACCTAGACGACCTGTTAATTTCTCTCTTGACTGTAAGTATGAGACACCCTGGAATCTCTCGTCTCGATACTGATTATAAAAGACCGTTCGTGAAAAGTCAAATCTTGATCCCAACCTTGTCGAAGATGTCTGCGTCGGTAACGTCCTCAACTCCAGCGCAGCATATCTGGCTCGCTCCGCCGTCCTCGCAGCCGGCTTCCCCGAAACCACAGCAGCATCAATAGCCAGCCGCTTCTGCTCCTCTGGTCTCCTGGCCGTTCAGCAAATCGCAAACCAGATCATTGCCGGGTCTATTGAAGTCGGTATCGCCATTGGCGCAGAGTCAATGAGCACAAACCCTGATGGCGGTGCGCCTAAATTCTCAGATAAGATTCTGAACCATCCACTTGCATCCCAGAACCAGCAGCCTATGGGTCAAACTTCGGAAAATGTAGCTGGACAGTTCGGCCTTACTCGCGCCCAGATGGATGAATTCGCTGCTTCGAGTTTCCAAAAGGCCGAAAAGGCGCAGAAAGCCGGGTGGTTCAAAGACGAAATCGCCCCCGTCAAGACGACAATCAAGGATCCCAAGACCGGCGAAGTCAAAGAAATCGTGGTGGACAGTGACGACGGCATCCGTTACGGAACAACAGCCGAAAGTCTCTCCAAGATCCGCTCTGCCTTTCCTCAATGGGAACCCAGCCATACCACCGGCGGAAACGCCTCGCAAATCACGGACGGCGCTGCTGCGCTGATTCTGATGAAGCGATCTCGTGCTCAACAGCTTGGTCAGCCGATTCTCGCTAAATTCGTTGCGGCAACTGTGGCCGGTCTCGAGCCACGGATTATGGGTATTGGCCCCACTGTTGCTATTCCCAAGATTCTTTCAAAGACCGGTTTGAATGTGGAGGATGTTGATATTTTTGAAATCAATGAGGCGTTTGCATCTATGGTCAGTGCCCTCGCCCACCTTCTTTCTGGGACTGCGTACTAATATCTGAGATAGGGAGTATATTGCGTACAGAAACTCAATCTACCACCAAGCAAAGTCAATCCCCGCGGTGGAGCAATGTAAGTAATCTCCCTTGCGTTTATCAACCACAGTTCTAATGACTGGAAAGTGCCTTTGGTCACCCCCTCGGCGCAACAGGTGCTCGACAAGTGGTCACTGCACTGTCCGAGTTACGAAGATCCAATAAGCGAATTGCAGTAACGTCCATGTGTGTAGGAACGGTAAGTAACCCTTCCAAATATTTTTTTGACAGATTATGGAAGTACCGTAAGCTGATATTGTGATTAGGGCATGGCTATGGCCGGTGTCTTTGTCTCGGAGCATTGATGCATTTGAGTAGTATATATGTAAATTGCATGAGAAATAAACGAACGTAAAGTATCCACCATATTTCAAAGGTTTCTTTGAATTCAAAAAACTACTAAAGAATACGGCCTGGTACGGGGATGAATCAGAAAAATAATGATATTAATTTCTTCAAGAAAGTAAATATTCTACCCAGGTAGTTGATTGACCTCCGAAAACTGGGAAGAAAGAATAGAATACAAATGACTACTTCAAAACTTCAATCATCTTCTTGAAGTTCAAGTGTAAGCAGTAACAGTAACAGTAGCCGCTGGACCCTGCACGGTTACCGTGACAGTCTCCAACTGGCAGATATCCGTGATAGTAGAACTACCTTGGATAATATGCCCGCCAGCCGCGGGGACAGTGGTAGTAGCGGCAGATGTAATAGACGAAGCACCAGCAGAAGTAGTCTTGGATGACACTGCACCACCTGACATGGTCGTCGCGGATGTACCTCCTGTTCCAGCTCCAGCAGCAACTGTCGTCTTTCCCGTTGCTACCGCTGAATTTGTACCTGGTGCTGGAGCAGCATTTGCAGGCGAAGAAGCAGCACCCTCAATCACACCGATATTGGCATTCTTGCACGAGCCACCGGCACAGTTGTGATAAACGGATAGTGCAGCTGATCCACCGCACATTTCAGTCGAGTTTCCGGCGCAGGGGAAGAGACATCCGCCTACGACACCGGAGATTGGTGCTTTGTCTGTTGGAATTGAGTTTCCGCAGTAGCATCTGTAAGACTCAACAATTAGAAAGTGGATATTTCAGGATGGTGAAGGGGACTGACTGAGTCGAATACTCCAGTCCAGCATATGAATACCCAGCATCAGAGCAGAAGCTAATACACTTCTCAACCGTCATCTCATCCTTACTCTCATTCGGACCATTCAACGTCCTCGTACTAATATCATCAAACGCACAGCCATAATACTCCCATCCAAGCGACTGCGTCACATCTGTATAATAATTCGCCAACATTTCATCAGAAATAACAGCTTCATCTTCACATTTCCCGGGAGTAGCATGTTCAGGACCCCAAGTGACAGGGTTACAGCCAGGGAGGTTGTCTACCACTGGACCGACAACCTCATCAACAAAGTCCGGTAGGGTACAGAATTGGGAGACTTGATTGTCGAAGAGATCGAAGAATTCAGAGCCGTCTTCGGCGAGACAGTCGGATATGTTGCCGCTGTCGTTGAGGCAGTGGTCCACTGCGTATTGGAGGGTATCGATGTTCCAGCCGTTGACCTAAACAGTCAGTCTAGTTCGTATGACAGTCAGAAAGAAGCAGTGGGCGTACAAAGTCACCATGGAATCCGTATCCGGTAGGATCACCCATAGCCCAGACAAAAGGCTGCTTGGTATCCCACCACTGATCTGCAAAGAGATTCGTCTGGAAAATAATCTCATAAAAGATCGAAACTAGATGAACGGGATGTGTATCCGGGCAAACACCATTGTTATAAGCCCCTGAGATAGGGTACGAAACATGGGACTTGTGGTCAGGGGAATCCAAGTTCTTGCCATCCCAGCAAGATGGGAAGAATACTTGGGCACGTAGTCCGTCAGGGCAGTTGTAGTCTGGAAACTCGTTGGTTTCGGGCTTTCCACCACCGCTGTAGTCCAGACAGGCATAACTGATGGCCTGCGCAGCAAAGTCGCCTGTAAAGTTGCGCTGAAAGGGGTCGCCGGCAAGCATACGGAAGCCTTCGGGGAAGGCTTTGAGGGGGTCATTGTTTGCACCGGGTCGTTGACTATCCACGTCAGCTCGACATCGCCTTCGAGAGAGTAGTGTTTAAACTCACAGGTAATAAACAGTAATACCCCCTAAATTCCCCTTCCCATCCCCTGAGACAGGTACCTGAACAAAAGTCCCATTCTGGGCCCGATAATACAAATGCGGAACCCAATAGTTTGACAAATCTGCTTTGATGGGGCAGGAAGAGCATGACGAAGCACGAGCATCTTCGTATGTCATGTTGAATCCGAATCCGTTTCCGCCGGCGATGGCGTGGACATGTCCAGAGATAGCGCCTGGACTGACGATGGGATCTGCTCGTTCGTCGACGAGACGGCCTGGACAAGGCATGCGGAAGAATGCATTTGTGGGAGATGCGGCCCAGAGAGTGGCTAGGAAGCCGGTGAGAAGGGCTGATGTTGATTTCATTTTGACGTTCCAGAGAAGTTGTTCTTGAGGCAGAATTTCAATGAATGTGGATTGATTTTATGAATTCAATGAATGCGTATAGAAGTGATCGAGTCAATCGTCACCAAGCACAAAAAGGAATGTACAGAGTCACAGACTCTTCACTTGTAAAGAAAAAATGAAACGAAGGAAAGATACTGCGAATTGCCTCAAGAATACACACGGATCTCAGGAACAAGACATCAGTATATATAAGATTCCGAGTCAGCATATCAAAGATCAAGGTTACTTCCGGAATTATCGGTACTTGCTAGTCCACTCGATGGGCCTTGCTGTATTGAAAGGGTTCGTTGACAGCATAGCTGTTACCAGAAACGGAAAAGGGTGATGGATCAGAATGGGGTTCAATTACTGTACCATCACGGCGGATATGGACATTATCAATACGTAGTTCTAAGTTCTAGGCGCTGGGGCTGGATCGTGAAACATAATCCAAGATTAGCTGTGTGGCTACTTGAACAAAGCATGGCAAACCATACCATAAACAGCCCTATAATTGTTGCTTTACAGGTCAGGGTGTGATATACATACCTAGGCCGGGTCATTCACGTCGCATCCTCGTCGAATACAAGTGTGTTTCCAAACCAAACTAATGGCAAAAAATTCCTCTTTGGATGTATCAAAGCCTGCAGTCCTATCATAGCGACAGCTAGTAATTACATTGTTCAGGGACACCGCATGCACCGTGCAGTTCAAACGCAAATTTTCTCTGTATCACTAAATAGAGCACATCCTGCATTTTCCGTTTCGAATCATAACCAACGTCTATCCAGTTAGCTCCGATTCTGTCCCTGCATCTACGATTTGATTGACCCTATCCAGACATGGCGGTCCCCGACTTAGTCATGTCACTGCATCGCTTAACAGAATACCGCAGTTCATGAAACAAAAACAACATTTCAAGGGTGTCAGAGTCTCCACTACCCAGGAACCGCTGGCCCTTCCATATCTACGTACAGGAATTAATGATTAGTCTGCATAAAAATAATTATAGACCGGAAAATTTTCAAGAAACATGACAGACTGGATTATCCAATTGTCATGATCATCTAGTACAGCGATGAAACATCAGCAGTGACCAGGCCCTTAATCTAAGGCGTTAATTCAAAACGCAGGCTGGGCGCCACCAGGTCCACCATTTCATATTGTTACATTCGTTTATAGAACTTCCGATGGTTACGTATGTCATGGTTCTTATCAATCTGTACACATATTTAATACTCTGTGCTTAGTTATTGGTATCCATACTCTTGGTCGGTCGTGTGAACATGCCGTAAAAGAATATAGCCTGGTACTTGACCGAGGCCAAACCCTAAATCTGAATATCGTACGTACAATGTATCTTTGTTTGACGTGTCATATGTATATAAAAACCGTCTAACAAAGCAATCCATGGGTCAAAGACCGTGGCTTTCCCTTGACGTAGAAGGGAAACTGACCTGATATCTAATGCATTGAGTAAGACCAGAGTCAAGGAGCGGTGCCTAATCGAAGGCTTGTCAATGACTCAATGTATATGATATATCAATCAGACTCCTTTAGTAAGTAACACGCATTTCCGAACACAATTTTAGTATTAAGCAAACAACCTTAACAGACAAATGGTATTTACATATCAAATTTAACTAAATCATAAGAGCCCCCCTTCTTCAAGGCATTTTGATAAGCCGGCCTCTCATGAACCCTCCTCAACCAATCCGCCAATTTCGGATACTTCTTCTCATCCAAATAGCCCCTCTGCTTCGCCGAATCCATCGGCCACGACAAATTAATATCCGCAAGCCCAATTTTGGCGCCTGAAAACCACGGCTTCTCATCAGACAGAGCGCGCTCCATCAGCGAGAAATGCGGATCAATGTCTTGGCTAAAGATCTTGACAATCGGGTTGAAGATTGCGTACATCAATGGGCGGACCAGCCAGGGAGAATTGGGTGGGATGATTTGAAAGTACAAGATACTATTCAAAATTCCATTTAAAGTCGCGATGGCAAATTCTTGGAAATAGGTATCACGATCCTTATCTTCGTCTGTTTCGGGGATCCATTCGCCGTTGGAGTACTTGTCTGATAGGAATTGCAGAATCAGACGAGATTCCGTGACGATTGTCTTTTTGTCGTTGTTGTCGTGTAAAAAAGGTAAAGGACAGAATAGATTGACTCCTGGTACTTCCAGGATTGGTGACCTGCCCAGTGGGAATACTGTCTTGAGCTCTGCCGGTGCTCGCGCGTTTTGGCGTTTGTAGCATTTCAGATTATATTCAAGTCCGCTGGACAGGGATAGCTCTTCGAGAGCCCAGAGTATGCGCAGAGATTGAGAGGAACTTAGATGGTGTAGGATCGGCGGGGGGAGCTTTTGTGAGTCCACCATTTTGACTCTTACTGTTCAATTGGCGCTGATAGAGGTGGGTGAAGATAGAAGTCAAGGAGATGAAGCTGAAGAAGATAACAAGTGGGTCCGCTCACATTGCATGTGATTAGGGTTGCCCCTCAGGGCTTGTACGATGATTTCTCTCGGATTTGTATACTGTTTGATATTGATTTTCACATGATTAACATAGATGTGCCGAGAAGTGAATTTTAGTCGCAATTCCATATCGACATATTCAGGGCTTAACTTAATCGCAGCCACAAAGCCTGGTGGACTACTAAATAATAACCCTAACCCTATCACAATAGAGCTCAGACTTTACATTCACAGAGCTAAGAGATGATCCTGGTCTAATCACCTCCACCTGATTCGCTCTGTGAGTCCAATCCAAAGCTTCACCCAATAAACTCACCCAAACATCAGAAATCGCCAGCAATCAATTGGTGCAAGACATCCTGTGGAAGTCCACAACGGGGGGTCCCTTTGCACTAGCTCGACTCCGCTTTTTTCAAGATTCGTTCCTCTCAATCGACTTGATTCTGACATTCGACATTTCAAATCTCTTTCTTATCCAGAACTAGTCTCGATGCATACTCAATTTTACTCCATTAGGAAGGGAAATGCGCCACGGGACGCGGGTCCGGGAGTCTCTATTTTTCGCCCCTCATTGAAGGTCTTATCTTTTCTCTTTTCTTTTCTTAAAATCTCTTTTGAGTTTTCTTGTATATATGCATAACTGTATATAATCATGTCCATCACCGAAGACAGAGCCAGCAATGCTACCAAGAACACATCAGCAACAACAGACATTGAAGAAGGCATCAAAACCCTTACAGATCCGGAAATCAAAGATCTTCAGCAGACAGTAGACAAACCAGAGGAAGGTTCAATTATTGCCCCGGATCAATTCGATAGTCGGTATGAGACGAGCAGAAAGGAGATATGGTCGTATTATGCGTGCGTCTATTCCAAGTCCTTAGGGCTCAGGAAGGCTTGGCTAAACAGTAAAGTAGTTACTACATTGGAAATAATGGCTTGACGTTATTTAGTACGTCCCTTGCCACGCAAACACCCCCAATAGAGACAAGAGAACTAATCGAAGTAGACTTCGCACCAACAGCATTCCAAAACCTCCTCTACCAAGCCGCCGACTCCAACAGCCAACTCTACTTCGCCGGCAAACTGCGCACCATCAACAGCATCGTCCTGCTGTGCAACGGCATCTCATTCGCCATCCAAATCGTCGTTTTTCTCGTAATCGGCTCTTTCGCAGATTTCGGTACTTGGAGACCTAACATTCTTATCGGATTGTCTCTTGTAGCTTGGGCGATTGGGTTTGGATGGTTGGGTGTTCATGACGCAACGAAATGGGAGGCTGCTACGGGGTTATATATTGTTGGTTTGATTGCATACCAGACTACGCTGACTTTTTGGACGGCTGCGTTTCCGGGTTTGGCGAGGAATACGGCTGAAATGAAAGAGAAGGCGGATCTGTTGGTTGCTGGCTTTATCACCCGGGACGAATATGATTTTGCGGATACGATGAAGAGGAGCCAATTGTCCAATATTGCGTTTTATATTCAGTCCGTCGGGGAGATCTTCATTCTCGCTGTTATTGTGGGTATTATGTTTGGTTTGGATGTTAATGCCAGCACAGCGAATAATAATTGGGGTCTGAGTGTATTGATTGCCTTTGCGACAGGGGTGTGGTTGTTACTTGCTATCCCTTGGTTTGTCTTTGAGAAGAGGAGACCTGGTCAAGATCCTGCGCCGAGGAATATCTTCATCGCTGGATTGTGGCAGTTGTATCATGCGGGAAGACAGATTTTACAATTGAGGCAGAGTCTAATATACCTTATTGGTATCTTCCCTTTTTCTCTATTGCATACTTGGTCTAGAACTGACGATGATAGGATACTTCCTCCTCGGGGACTCCCTAAACACAACCGTCACCGTCATCGGCACTTTACAAAACAGTATCGTCGCCTACAACACCCTCCAACTAACCTACCTATTAATCGTCGGCATTGCCGCACAGGTATCCCTCCCTAATTCCCTCTTGTCATCAACCCAGCTAACATGGTTGCAGGCTATCGGAATCTACGCCTTCTGGTTCATCCAACGCCACTACAACCTCACCACGAAAACAATGTTCAACATAATCGCCCTGGCCATCATCCTCCTCGACGGCTGGGGCATGATCGGAATCTGGACTACCAATTTCGGCTTCCATCACGAATGGGAAGTATGGCTCTACCAAGCCTATTACGGCCTCTTCGTCTGCCCCTGGTACTCATATAGTCAAATCATGATCTCTGAGGTCACTCCTCGCGGGAAAGAGTTCTTATTTTTCTCGTTTTTTAGTATTATTGGCAAGACGTCGAGTTTTATTGGACCTATTGTCTCGAGTGCGATTATTGATGCGACTCCCAGTGGGAATGAGTCGACGCCGTTTTATTTTTTGTTTGCGTTGAGTTTGTTGAGCTTTGTAGTTTTGTGGCTTTTTGTGGATATAAAGAAGAGTAGAAAGGAGCAGGAGGAGTTTTTGATATTGGAGGAGAGGAGAAGGGGTACTTCTTGATCGGAGAAGAGAAGATAGATTGCCATTATATACATAAGAACGCTCATCAGCATGTCAATATTCAATATCGACTTCAGTAAAACTGGTGTCTGATACAAAAGCCGAAGTGTCAGTCATACCAAATCCCATATCCGTGGTAGACGTCATATCAAAGCCTACATCTGTGGTAGATGTCATGTCAAATCCAATGCCCATGTTGGACTGCATATCAATCGACTGATCAACGTCGATATTCACATTGTAAGTATTAACGTCAATAACGCCCAGGCTGCTGTCCATAAAAGCTGCATCATTCACCCCAGACATACTTTGTAGAGAAGCCAGTTGGGCATTCAACTGCTCCAGTTCAAGATTGGTCTGCGTTTGATCGTTTATGATAATCGTGTCAGCATTGAGTTGGCTCTGAGCTGTCATTTGATTCAGGAGATTCAATTGTTGCAGCTCTTGTTGCTGTTGCAGTTGCAGGAGACTGTTCATGTTGTTCATGTTGTTATTATTATTATTTTGCGTCAGATTATCGATAATAGAAAGCCCTTCTGCAAGAGCCGAGTGTTGGTTTCCTTGTTGCCCTTGTCCTTGAAACTGGTTTGCTATGATCTGCACTCCCAGTTGCTCGATAACACTTGAATTTCCGCCATTCTGACCTCCCTGAGCCAGGGATTGAAATTGTTGAGTTTGTTGCTGCTGTTGAAGGTTCATCATCTGAAGCTGTTGCTGTAATGCTTGTATTTGCTGATTCTGCACATTCGTATTGAGCTGTTGCTGCATCTGAACTTGATTGTAAACCGCAGGCGCACCATTTTGAGCAGACCCTCCAGCTTGCACATTGATATTAATCTGCGGAGGTGCTTGTGAAGAGCCGGCTGTCGCAGGCGTTGATCCAGGCAATATTCCGGTTATTGGGTTGTGTGGTTTGGTAGGCGGCCTTGGTTGGGGGGTGCTCGTCATCGGTGGTCCAGGCGTTGCTCCAGGCAATATTCCAGTTATCGGGTTGTGTAGCTGCGAGTGACCTAGTTGTGGAGTGCTCGATGCCGTTGAGGCTACTGCGTGTTGTGGCTGGGGTAACGGCTGGAACGAGTTGCCTGTCATTGCAGTTATGGGATTCTGCGGGAGAGAAGGTGGCGGGAACTGGGTTGTCTGATGGTGCGAGACGGTCTGTTGCTGCTGCTGATTAGGGCTATGCACAGGAGAGGGTCCACCAGATGCAACTCCTTGGTTTAGAGGATGATTTTGATAATACTCGTCAGCCTGTCCTCCACCTGAGACTGGGGGTCTCGCTGGCAAGGAATTGGCGTGATTTAGTGGCAGAGGGGAGCTCGAGGGACCATGCACCTGTTGATGGGGACTTGGACTGTTTGCATACTGAGGTTGACTTGCCGGAGCTGGGTAAGAACTCGTTGGGGGATATGGATGGGGCTGGCTTCCTGCGTACGGATGGAGATTGGGTGAGGAACCATGCACATTTGGGCTGTTCCCTGACTGCGGAGTAAATTGCTGATAACCGCTATGACTTGGTGTCGGAGTAGCAGGTGATGAAAAAGGTTGGTTGTTAGCATGGCCAGGTTGGGACTGGTGATGATTTTGATGACCCGCTTGACCTGCATGTGAGTTGAGACCATGATGATCGTGGGGCTGCTGAGGATGAGGAAGGCTGTGAACAGCGTGCGAGTCATGCTGATTACCTGCTAAGTGACTACCATGAGACTGCACCGCATTCGAATGACCAAGAGAAGCTTGCGAGTTCTGCTGAGGTCCTGCAAAGTGGCTATCGTGAGATTGCTGAGTATGAGGATGACCAGGCGCACTCTGAGACTCATGCTGTTGACCTGGTGAGTGGTTGCTGCCGTCTAAATGGGAGACACTGGATCCATTATTGGTGTGCTGGTCTGAGGACGTCGGATTCGTAGCAGATTGCTGAGTTCCACTTTCAGACCCATTCTCTACGGAAGGCTGGTGATAGTTGCCTGGATGATCCAGATGATGTGGTGAAGATTCGGGGTGGCCGGCAGGTGAGGGTGCTTGCTGTGCATGATCATCCCCGGCATTTGGCGAACTATTTGCCTCGGGAGCGATATGATCAGCTGAAGCTTGCTCACTTGGAGGAATTGGCGCCATGTCATGGTCAGATGCGTGCTGCGATACCTCATGAGTATTTGAGGCGTATCCATTTTGTTCACTCGGCGGAATCGGTGCTATGTCTGCTTCACTTGGTGAAGGAGCCATGCTGTTATTGGCCGCACCAGGCAACGAGTTCAGTTCGCTCGCAGGAATAGGAGCCATCTCGGAATCGATACTGTGCACGCTCGGAGCGGCAATTGCTTCACTCGGTGGAATAGGGGCCATGTGACTCGAGCTCAGACCGACACCAGAAGTCCATTGCAGTTCACTCGCAGGAATCGGGGCCATTCCATTGGGATCCAAATTACTCACATTTGATGCCATGTTTGTTTGGCTTGTAGCTATGCTACTCGAGTTATAGTCGGCTACACCAAGTGCATTGTCTGGTTGACTCAAAGGAGTTGGAGCCACACTATTCACGTTGGAATTGTAAGGGCTTGGGGTACTAGCAACCGCTATGGCATGAGGAACACTACTCGCTCCACCGAGTGTAATCGGCGTTGGTTGATGAAGTACCCCGGCCGCAACTCCTTGACTTGACGGTATGTCAGTAGTCATTTGAGGTGTACCAGCCTGTCCCTGTCCCAACACATTCACTGCGGTCATCGGCAATGCGGCGGCACCTGCTTGGATGGCTGCTTGGTTCTGAGCTTGCAACTGTTGTTGTTGTTGTTGTTGCAGCTGAAGTTGCAATATTTTTTGCTTCAACTGCAACTGTGCAAGAGCATTCGCATTCGCAGCCTGAGCTTGCTGATTCGGTTGATTCGGTCTCTGATTCGGCCGGATGCGCGGGATTCTGACACCTGTTTCCTGCTGTACATAGTCTCGTGCTGCCTGGACACCAAGTGCCCCTGCGAATGCTGCCATCTTTTTGCCAACTTTCTTCATGGAGTCCTTGTCTATATTATCAACCATGTTTGACGCCTTATTGTAGGCTGCCTTTGATGCACTAGCTGATCCGTCAAGCATGGCTTTGGATGCATTTTTCAATGCTGGCTGCAATGATTTACGTCTGACCTCTTGATAAATTGGTCGTTGGGCCTCTGACTGTATTGAGGGTAGGGAGTTTTGTTGTAAAGGAACTCCTGCGGCACCCAAGCCAGCATTGAGTTGTGCCAGCTGTTGGTTCATTGCAATTTGAGACATGGATGGAGTTGTCGGAAGTTGTGGTAATTCGTTCGTCTGAGCCATAGGCGTGATAGGAGTAATGGAAGAAACTGACGAATTTGACGTGGTTGATGGACTCTTGCGTTTGACCGAAAAGGACGGCTGAAGAGCCGACTGCTGCTGCTGCTTCAAGGCCGCTGCAGCTGTTTAAGTCAATATCAGGTACATCATCTGGTCTTTCCAAACTTACCTGCTTTTGCCCTTTGAGCCATCATAACCTTGGCAATCACCATATTATTGGCCTGTTTGATAGGATCGAAGAATGTCATCTCGACAGCTTTAGCACATGCGTGACGCACCGGCATGTTGGTTCGTTTCGTGCAACCGAGACACAAGACATGTTCTTTACAATGGTTGCATTGAATGAATGAGTCGCTGTCAGGGTTTACCGAATTGTCGCATTTGGCACAGTGCTTGACTGGCTTATCTGGCTTTGACATGGTCTGTCCAAGTAGAGCAAATGGTATGGTCCGCTCTAGGAACGCTGGAAACATAATATGAGGGTGCGAACGAGCACCGCCAGATTCGGCACAAGTATCGCAGGTGATCATGGTACATGTCGGACACATAGACACTTTTGCGTTTAGTGTAATTTTATGGTTGCAGCAACCACATATGATATCGTGAGCTTCGGCGGCTATTGTCGCCAGATCTCTGACCGGTTTCCGGGCACATGTTCGATAGCTCTGAAAATACCTGCGATCTCTTTCGGCTTCGCCCATGACCAATTGGAATCGTGAATGGGGGTGACGGGCCAGTTCCCGGCCGCTAAAGGGGACACTATATACTATTAATACAGATCTCAGTACATATTCTTAGTACTTACTGGGACTTGCAATCCAGGCATTTGACAGTGTTGTATTTAGGGTCCTTGCTTATATCGACGCGGTAGAGAAATGAGGAAAATCTATGTGTTGGATCATGCTCACTGGTCCCTGGACCCTGACAGTCACTGCAGAAACGAATTTGTGCATTATAGTCCACGATGCATGTCACACATGTCCAGAAATTTTGACCCTTTCGGATCCCTGGTGTTAAATGTCAGTATTATACAAGATTTCTCGACGTGGACTGTCCTACCATTTAAGCAGCGTCCACAGTGCGAAAGAGTCGCACCCGCCTGACAGCTGTTACACTGCAAACTATACATACCAAGCCCCAAATCATCAGGGGCTCTAGTCATGGAAAGTTTGCCGTGGGGGTGATTCGCTAATAGATCGCGACTTGTCGCTACACAGTTGACACAGATGCTGAATTCGCAATCATTGCATGATAAACCCGAATGGGATGGATGTTTGCATTTTGTACAATACGCCGGAGAAGGGCGTGCACCTCGTGGGGTCTTGCGATCGAGCAGATACTTGTAATACGGCTGGTGAGTCGCGGGATGTGACTGGAGACAGTCGGCGCAGATATTGAGATCGCAGAACAGACAGCAAATGTGGTATGTCTCGTACGGGAGTCCTGTAAGAAATCAGTTGGCTATAACGTCAGAATACAGGATGGTAAGTACCTTTTCCGCAATGACAACACAAGCCAACGTTCTGGCCTGTCGAGGCCATATTTGCCTGTATGGTGCTTAAACCGTTGATGGAGAAGTTGGTGATAGACGGCACCTCAGGGAAAGGAGAAAAGACTGAAGGAACGGCGCCATGATTGCTATATAACTCCATGGAGGCCCGTCACTTCAGCCTTGCCCCTCGCCAACATGCTAGAGGGCTAAGCGACAGAGTCCTGATGTGTAGAAGATGAAGAGAAAAGCGACTCGGACTCTTCCTTCCTGTTTGGCACTAACAAAACAACCTTATACAAAAATGCGCTGTGATTGGCTGGTTGGTGATATAGTTGTGCTACCGGGCCAATCAGAGACTGAGCCAGCCGAGCCGAGTCCGGGTTCGCGAATGTGATTGGCTGATGGCTCGCCCGGTATTTCTGATCTTGGGCCAACCTGCATATCAAAGTCATCTGTTAGCTTCAACTTGTCAGGACTAGAGAAACACTGCCTCTCGTGGCTGAGCCTTGAGCCTCAATGCTCTCAGTCTCGAGTGTCGAAGTTGGGGAGCTCTATTCCCGAAGCTGAATCGTGGCTCGGAACGGCTAGAGATCGATCTAGATCTGATGGACTGGCTGTCAATTGTATCAACATGTTACAGCTAAGTTACCTCGGAATTATTGTCAGACCTTTCTCTCAGCGTGATACGTTCGAAAATGCGTTCGAATATGCCTGGCTTGCCTTCCAATAACAGCTGCGATGTGTCCATATCAGTCTCGATCGGAGAATAGCTGAACTCGCTGTGGAACCGCGACCGCGATCGCCCCCGTTACGTCAAATGCCACTACCGATCGCCGTTTCCTCAAGCCCTCTTCTCCTCTATGCTACACTACATATGGAATATTATTATAATCCAGCTATCTCACAGTGAATTGCTCCATTTTTCGATAGCCCGTCTATATGCAAGCCTATCTGCTTGAGTCAGTGGAAAGATGACAGTCACTCGAAAGTACCTCTTCGGAGGTGATACGTATGTTTCCTTCACACCTACATGGCTCCCTCATTTCTAACATGACTAGTCCATGGTCAAAACAAGACTGGACAACCTGCGACGACAGAATCCGCGGTGGCGCATCCGCCTCTCGCCTATCCATCAAACCATCCACCGTCGACCACATCGACAACCAACCCTACTCCTCCTCCGCCTTCTTTCATGGCTTCCTCGACATCACCACGCTCGGCGGCGCTGGGTTCGCCTCCCAACGCAACACCACATACACTCTCAACTGGCATTTAGAGAAATACGATGGCATAGAATTTATTGTTGGGAAATCAGACGGGAAGAGATACTCATTCGTCCTGAAAGATGAAATGCTACCAAAGCGGCCCGATGGCAGAGAACAGAGTTCCTTAAACTGGGAGTATGAGTTTGTCGTTCCCGCTACGTCGGACTGCGAAGACAGAACGAGGGAAGGGACCGTATTTAGGGCTAAATGGTGTGATTTTGAGCCTACGTATAGAGGGAAACCGCAGGAGGGGTTGACTAGGCGTATACTGCCTAGGAATATCAAGCGAATCACCTTGATGATGCGAAGGTTCCTCTTTTATCTCCCATTCCTGGATTAGGAGAACCTCTGCTGACTTGATGATTGATAGTTTCTTCGGCATGCAATCAGGCGACTTTGAAGTCGAAATCAAAAGCATCGCCGTCTTCAAAGAAGGCAACCAAGTTGACGGTGCAGCTCCACTCCGACAGGACGGTGAAGACATAGCCGAGAAGCTTCGCAACGAATACACACCACCACTATCGTCCCGTGCAGAATCATTTGGATCAAAGACGGCCAAAGAAACAGACGAACCCAAGAGACGCGGGCGGCCGAACAGTCTGCTCTTGCGATTGTTGTCGTCTTGTTGTGGGGGTTGATCTGTTCATAGTACTCAGGAGGGAGGAAATATCACATATCGCGTATTCCGATTACAGGGATCGGATTAGAAGCGAGATGAGTCAATCATTCCGCGGCTCTGTAACTTATCCCATCGGACCGGCTATTGCGGATTCCGCAGCGGCCGTGGAAAGTGTGGGGATAGCAGTGGGGCACGACGATGATATCACTGGATAGCTATTAGCTATATAAGATGCCCTCTTCAGTCCTCTTTCTCAAAACAGTTCAATTGCTCTATTGAAGCATTGTATATACACAACCTAGGTATTATTCAAAATGGCTCAATTAGCATATATAGGCCTGGGGAACATGGGCAAGGTAATTCCCCTCTCCTTCATACCTACAACATACTAATCAAGCTATAAATAGGGCATGACCAAAAACATTATCCAAAACGGCCAGCTCTCATCACCCATCCTCCTCTACAACCGCACATACTCCAAAGCATTAGCTCACGCCGAAGCCCTCGGCGGCAGCACCAAAGCCCAAGCCGTGCACACAATCGCCGACGCCGTCAGTCCCTCAGACATAATCTTCACCTGTGTCGGGGACGATGTCGCGGTGGAAGAAATCATAAACACCGCCCTCAATGACGACTCTCAGACCGACGTGAACGGGAAACTGTTCGTGGACATGTCCACCATCCACCCAGACACAACCCGCAGAATCCATAAACAACTAACCTCCCACGGCGCTCGATTCATTTCGTGCCCTGTCTTCGGCGTGCCAGCTATCGCAGAAGCGGGACAATTAATCTGCGTCCTTAGCGGAGATAAATCTGACGTTTCCAAGATCTTGCCTTATACAGTTGGCGTCATGGCCCGAGCCAACATTGACCTATCCTACGACTCTTCAGAAACTGGACAAGATATAGGAAAAGCATCAACCCTAAAACTAATCGGAAATAGTTTCATCCTCAGCTTCGTCGAACAACTCAGCGAAGGGCTCACACTCGCCGAAAAATCAGGCGTCGGAATCGACCCCTTGGCACAATGGATGGAATTAATGTTTCCAGGACCCTTACCCAAATATGTGGACAGAATGGTGACGGGGGATTATTACAAACGTGAATACCCCTTGTTTCAGGTTGATCTTGCCCGGAAGGATTTGAGACATGTGACTAGTGTTGCGGAACAGAGTGGGATGAGGATGAGGTCCTTGGAAGTGGTGGATGAGTATTTGAAGCAGGTTAAGGAGCATTCTGGGGAAAGGGGAGATATTGCGGGGATGTATGGAGCTGTAAGGAAGGAGTCTGGTCTTAAGTTTGAAAATGAGTAAAATACGTATGTGTATATAGGTGGCTGTATCTGAATAGATACTTGGATATTAATCAACAACGGCCTTCTTATCAGCCCAACTAGGCTGAATACTTCTACAAACAGCCTCATAATCCCTGAACTTCAACGGATCCTCCTCCGGAACTCTAGGTGTAGTCCAAAACATCGCCCAATTACTCCCATTCAACTTCCACGTCCCCCTTGACCGCTCAAAGTACCATTTATTAACCGGATTATCCATTCGGCTTCGCCAACATACACCTCCAGGCAGACATGTGCGAACCATGGCATTAAACACAATATCAGCAACGCCGCCTGCCCCCTGACTGCGCTTGAGAACGGCGAATTTATCGAGATAGGGCACGAGACGGGATATATTTTCGGGTTTGTGGCGGTCTTGTTCGGGGATATCCGGGGGTGTTTCCCAGGTGAGGATTGCACCGCCTTCGTATTCGCCGGCGATTATGAGTCCGGCGAGACGGCCGTTAACGCGGCTGAGGTAGTCTTGGACATCGAGTTTGCGGTTGAAGGAGTCTTCTATTAGGTGGACTAAGCGGGGTAGGTCAATCCGAGGGTCGTCGAGGGTGAGGTGGTGTCCGTCTGGACTATTTGGTGACCAGGGAGTGATGCGTGGATCGGGAAGAATGGTTAATGGCATTCCACGCTTTAAGAAGGTTGATGGCGCGATAGATGGTGCAGTCTGGCCGCGACGTTCAGATGGGAGCGAAGATGAATAAACGGGTTTGTCAGTAAGAAGATTGTGGATGAGTGGATTCTTTTGGCGTCGAGTCCCAACTTGAGATACCGAAAGGACATCTTGATGAGGGCGCGCTGAGTTCGCCACGTCTCTTGGTGTAGTGATGATTGCAGACGATGATGGGGGAAGTAGTGTGAGAGTTTGCTGAAGCAGTCGTAGATTTTCTATGTGCCCCTTGAGCGTGCTGGTCATCAATCCCCCATTCGCTTCTATCAGTGGTTTTTGCTGCCCAGTAGACAGCGGAGTAACTTCGGTTGCAACAAATTTCGAAATTGGGTTACTTTTCGTAGCTGCTTCAGTTATATCCGACTCAGCGCTCGGATCGACAAACCTCTCAATTGAAGCCATTGCTTCATGGAGTTCCGCTTCAATGTCCTTAAACTCCTGCTCCATATTCACAAATACATGTGATTGTTGAGGGCCCTTGAACGCTGGTATGCCTCCCACGGAATCAAGCACAATCAAGCGATCTACAGCAACCTCTTTCTGAAGAGCAGCAAAAATCTCCGCCGTAACCCGCGGATCTTCATCCGGATCATGTTTCCTTTCTAGCCCGGCCAATTCACGGGTCAGCGCAAGCATGGCATCACTGCTTGGTACTGACGATGCTTTGCATGTCTCTTCCGAATATGCTACCGGCGTAACAACAACAATATGATTATTTCGCAACGGACGCAATAGCACTTGCCGAGATATGATCTTTGGAAGGTCTCTGTCTTTGTTTTTGACCAGCACAGAGTCAAGTCGACGAGCCTTGCCACCATCGCAAGCATCAATTGCCGCCGAGAGTCGGTCGGCTTGCTCAGCGGCTGCTTTTCTCCACGTCGTTTCATCTTGCATAGGGCCAGGGTCTACAACAACGCATGACGCCATACCCAGTCGGGTCAATTGTGCCAATGTTAAAGCGACTCCCTGTATAGTCTCGTCGTCCAACGATTGCGCATTAGCCAACTTGACCAATGCAACATGCAGAGCCTCGTCAAGACCTATGGCGTGCGCGGTCTCAGTTTCAGGAGCAGGTCCCTGTCGAAAAACTGGTGTTTCCAGAACCGATCTTGTAGCTCCATAAAACGACCCCAGGTTTACTCCTGGCTTTTCGTTTTCTTTCCCAGATTGTGTTTCGACTGCACCCTGGTTCTGCCGCGGAATCGGAGGTTTCGGTTTCTTGACGGATGGGAATCTAGACAAATAGGCTTTGGCATCTCGTTTTGTGGCCGCAGAGCTTAGAAGACTGAGGAAGAATTCCTACATAACAATCAGTCATTGGCGGAATCAAATCAGTTATACGCAATCCCACCTTATCTGCCATTTTCTCCCTCGCCCGTTGGCGACCGGAGCTTCTAGAGTGGTCCTTAGACAGCGAATCGCTCCATGTTGATTTGCTATCTACTTGTTGAGATTCTTGGTGATAGTAGCGGGAATGACACCGCCATCGCGCCTGAAGTTTTCGCCAACTAGACCAGTCATGTTTCTAGACATATTAGCATACAATAACCAATATGTTTTATCTTCGTACCTTGTGCAGTAAGACCCTGTAAGATTGGAGGCTCATGACTCATCGTAGAAACGAATCAATTCAACTAACCGAGCGGACTCGGAGCGGTCAGGAAGCTCTGTTGAGCGTCAATTTTAGAAATTCTGCCTGTTCGTAAATAATCAAGAAATATAAATACCCAAGAAGAGACGAACAGGACTCGCAAGCAAATTGAGATATTTCGTTTTGTCCAATTCTTTGACAAGATGAGACAATTGTTCAGACCACAAAAAAGAAAGAAACAAAATATGACGCATCCTCGGCGACTCGGTGGTGAAGTGGGGACATTTTTGGCTGCTTTTAGGCCGAAGAGATAAGATAAGATAAATAAGATAAGATAAGGATTTTCCTCTACTTTATGTACAGAATCTTCCCTTCCTTCCCCTCCCTTTCCATAGAAAAATGTACCTAAGACTTTGATTTTGGAACATCTGACATAAGCAGCATACAGGCTGCTGGAGCACTCGCAAGGCTGTACATATTCAGATTTATACAGAGTACTTGATCTTGACTCACCCTTCGTTTCTTGAGCGAAGCGAGAGATGACAGATTGTATGATTAGGCGGAAAAGTCATAACGATCTATTAACTATATCCCAATAACTCCTCTATACCTATACCTATCCCTAGACCGTTGTTGAAATACTCAATAAAAATCATGCAGGCGGAAACATATTCCTTGCTCCAATAATAACAGCGTTCGGACATACTTGCTGTTCTGCCATTGACTTCTCGACTGTGAGAAGTAGCCGTGTCGTACGGATCCTCAATTCTATACAGATCAGCTTCATCGTCAACAATAGACAAGAGTAGTGCTGCCATACCTTCAATTACAACCTCGTAATTAACTTCCCCCTCCTCATCTTGATGGATCAACACTGGAAGCATCGGTCCATTCCACTTCTTCTCCTTGACACGCAATTTCAGACCTACAGTCTTATTATTATTCACCCAAAGAACACCATCCTCTTCATCAAGATGCTGCTTGAGTTGTGTATGTATATCGCTGTCATACTCCTTCTTCGACTGCCGTTTCAACCAATCCCTCCATACACGAATAATCCCATCCTGAACCGTCACAGCACTCAGAAGCATCCTACTATTCGGCATGATCTTAACCAGATTCACAATTGAGCACAATTGCGAAAAGTCCTCAAAGTCTTCCAGCGTGACTTGCTTCTTGACAAGTGTACGTGTCTTCTCCGTCTCGTGTCCGTCGGTATCAGAGTTGTGATCTGAATCGTAGATACTCATGTAATCATTCTCCCATTCTGTGGCATCAATCTCCGGTCGAAAGCAGGAGTAGACGTTGGACAGCTTTCCCAGACATTCTGATGCCTTGCAATCCTCGTACAGTGACCCGTTGCCTTCGTATTTGTCGTTTAGGCCTGGAGTGCCGAGATAGGTACAGAAGAAATGCGGATCCGTCAGTTTTGAGATTGGATGGAAACATTCAAATAGCAATTCATAGTCTTTCAGTGAAGACACGTGGAGGAGTCTGTAGTGAAGAATGCGAAGGACGACGGCATGTAGTCGTTGCGATACGCTGGCGAGCGGAAGTAGGGCTCGAGTTGTGAAGGAATTTAGGATTTGGACGAGGATCTGATAGTCACATACAAATTAGTTCTGACATTTCATCTCTGATTGCTCTCCGTATAGATAGGATGCTAATCACGTACTTCATTAGGTAGAGAGTATAGGGGTGTGTATGTTGCATGATCGTTGGCAGCCATATGCGGTGCGGAAGTATATATTGAAGGCATTGATAACAAAAGAACAAAATGACAGCAATATATAGCGATGAGAGTAAATGTCTAAAATGTCTATCGAGTCTATAAGAAATAAAAAATAAAAAAGAAATCAGGAATAACTGAATTGGAAAAGCTGCAGTATATGAATCATCATTAAATACGTCCTGAAATTCCCGATAAGAGCGTAAACCGGCCGATAAACCTCTTATCGAAACACCGCCAGTCCTGCTGCCTGAGGCATCTGCTCGGTGCTAAATTTAGCCACCACGTCAGCTAACTATCAGCTAACTGCTAACATGACAATTCCTCAAGATAAACACAAGATACTGAAACCAGGGGTTAATGTGCAGAAATTGATTGGAAAAATGCCGCATTCTCGTTTCCTTCCTTGACTTTTGCAACAGGGGTCGCAGCGATCACTTCCGGAGCCTGCGATTCCTGCTGCAGATACCGCAAATATGCCCCAGTGCACAACTTCCACGCATCCTTTACGTGAGTATTTACGTACTGTCCTTCCCAGACCCATATCTTCCTGCCAGTGTCAAAGATGAAAATATCGTTGCTATCCAAGTCTGACAGTCGGATTGTGCCGCCTTCTTTATCCAGCTCGAACTGGAATTGGCCGGACTCAGTAGGGACGATTCGAAATAATCTCGGTGGTCGTGCCGGTAGTAGTGATGATGCTGGTGATGGCCTAGAATTATGAATCGGACGGCCAGTGCGAAAATATGACTGATCAGTATTTCCTCCGCCCAATAAATCGACAACAATCTTCGACCTAGCCTCCGTCTGTGCCAACACTTCAACGTCAATATGTTTAGCAAGCGTCAATTCATTCACAACCTGCGCGGCCTTGGCTTTCTCCATGGGGCTCGCGTCCTTCCCCTGCCACACCCAGATTTTATCATCCTTTTCTAGAATAAAGACATCCCCGTCATCCAGACTCTGCCATGTCGGATCCACTTCATGAACAACCACCGAGTGCCCATGTGCCGCTGTGGTAGGTTGAGTAAATACCCGAAGCAACGTTGTAACACCAGTCGGCTGCTGTTGAGTCTCAACATGACGGAATCCAGAACGAACCCCTCCCTTTCTAATTGACAGTCTCGGAAACAGACTCAAGAATTCGTCCGAAGGATGAAGCTGGATCTCTCGATGTTGCGTAGCCACTCCATGTAAAAACTCATCTAACTCTACCGTCTTGTACGCCGCTGTCCCTGCTTCATCCTGCGTGGTTTTTGCCCCGAGCCAGAAGAAAATATCATGCGCCAACCTTTCCGCCTGTTCTCCATTCTCACTCCGAGGAATAGTGTATGAGTACAAGACAATGTAGCTATCCCCGTCATAAAACTGGCCGTACAATTCTTTCGGCCACGGAACGACGTGAAAATCTTCAATGCGCCATATAAATAAACCAGGCTGTATACCGATTGTCCCGTTGTTCCAGGCTGGTTCTGTGGTGGCAGAATTGTATTTGACTTTGTGGTCGATGTCGGTGCCGATGAGCCAAATGTTGGTATCTCCAAAATTGAGTTCAGTCATTTTGTCTAATGCTGCAATTGACCTTGATTATACACTGCTATTCATGATACCTCCAGGATATGTATGTTGTTGTCAACGGTACCTAGCTAGATCAATGAATTTCTAGGTATGCGGGGTCTAGATCGAATTTTATCTGTATGGATGGTAGCGGGGCTGAGCCTATATTTTAGAAAGGAATCGGACTTTAAATATAAGTACGGTAAACCCGGTTCATAACAAAATAAAGGATTACAGCTCAAGATTGGCCTCAATTCTTTATATAGTAGAGAATTTGTTAGGAGTCGTTATACCCAGCCGAATTTGTACGTAACCTTAAATTTCCAAAAAGGTCAAAATTCCTTGTATAGTAGGTAGAGATTTTGTTAGCGTTCGTTATATCCAGATATTCGTTACAAGCCGGGTACGTTGAATCTCTCCACTAACGAAGTTGATGTGTACGATTCGAAGCCCTCTACACCAACTAGGACGGAAAAGGAACTGCGGCGCTAGCTCACTGGAAACTGCAACAAGTATCTATCCTACCTGGTGCCGGTTGGGCGTCGCTCGCCTCTTCTGCAAGCGACCACTCCCAGCTACACAGGCGTCCAATCCACCGAGGAACAAATCAATCCCATGCTTTCTTGGAGGCGTCGACAAATAGGGTTGCCGTAAGGAATCTAATGTGTTACTACATCCGGATTTCAGCTCTACTTGACGCTTGTTCATTTGTTAGCCTTGCTTTGTCATTGCCGACGAATTTTTCAGTTCTTCAATGTTGAGCTCGGTTGAGCCGGATCGCCGATTATGTACCGCCGCCCCAAAAACAAAATAAATGAGTTAGGTGGTACCAAGTCAGAATTCGGACAGTGACGGCATTTACTTTAGTCGAGAAACTTTTACTTTGCAGGCCATGGACCATATCCCGTGTGCCGATAGCCATCTTTGGCGTCACATACGTGTTCCATTCCTGAGCGAGGGAGACTACGATGGACTCGACTTTGTAGGCTTCCCAATTCGCAGAGGTTGGCAAGATGCATCGATGGCATCGATGCGGCACCAAACACAATTAATCTCTCCGGGCGTTCGGCCCGGGAATAGTCGTCCTTTTTTTCAGACTTGGCTGTTTTTCGGCCTGCTAACTGAGGTCCTAATTATGTCTTAGGCCCTATTACAACGCAGGACTTTGTTGTCGACGGTTTCGTGACAACTAAGAGACTACCAGAGTCCATATTTGAATGGTATCATCGTCTTCTCGCAATGCCTGATGATCGCCGGCGTGAATGTTTCACGATGTCCGAGCGATGCCTTTTAGCAGCTCGCGTCCTTCGTTTTGCACTGCTTGATGAAACCTAGCAACCAGATTGTCTGGTTGTAGCCGAGATACGCCTATCCATCAGCACCCTCGGTGAGACGCTGGGCCAATTCCTCCACTCGATACGGCACAGTTTTGAACCGCGTGCCCCGGGAGGCTACATTGACCTCCATAACAAATGGGGATATAACCGCCCGCTTCTGCATAAGCTGTTGCTCAACCAGAAGCAATGGTGTCCAAACCACGTTAGATTCTTGGAGAGCTACCTCTATTATGCGGCCTCTTTGGACCGTCCATGGATGGGGTATCACGGTAACTGCTCAGCCGATGCGTGTGTAGCGGGGTTAATCCACGACCTTAGGGAATACGAAACTAAGCATTCCGATGCCAGTGACGCGCCCTGTAATGGCAGGTGTCTTCAGATTTGAACCGATCCAGGCTCAAATCATTGACATCCTCCAACAGGAAGGACTGCCGCTCCTCCGGGCGTCGATTGCCAACCACAGCGCCGTCAAAGTAGAGGTTATCAAACATCAAATAGGGATGAAGTACACTGCTATTTCGCACATCTGGTCAGACGGACTCGGTAATGAGGACCAATATTGGCTGCTGGAGCTCCAATTCAAGCAACTTGTCAAGGCTGTCAATGCTGCAAAGGGAGGGCGCAGAACTACCAGAGTTCCCTCAGCGCGTCATCTTCGCCCCGGGGCCGAGATTCCGACAAAAAGGGTTCCGATGGCTTGTGTGTTCTTTCTTGGACATGGTTAATTTTGTGCTAGGCATCACGGTAGGGAAGATAGGGAAGAAGCAATTCTCTCATCTCGGAGTTGATTGCTCGTACCCGGGTGATGGAATTTTGTATTATGTGACCCCGCAACAAACAAGGTCATATACGTCATCCAAGAGGAAAAGATGAATCAAAAGAGTCCACATGCTACCCAGGATGTTGTCTTGGCGGAGACGAAACTGCAGAGAGCTCCGAGCCGCATGTGCTGTTGGGTTTAGTTAAGCACCATGAGTCCATGACGCTCTTGCTACCGATACGATTCATCGTTACGCCGCCATAGTGACTTTTGATCAGATATTGGGAAAGGAGATAAGCACTATATCTTCGAACCTCTTGTCAGGGAGACATGAAGGGGTGGTTGACATAGCTGTTTACGACAAAGGACAGAACTGGGAGATCAAAGAGAGGCTAAGCGATGATGTTGAGATCCAGTGTGGTTGTGCCCAGAAGACTTGGATAATACGCTGAGAGTAATACAGCAGGAGACATGTTAAAACGTATCCGACAGTCAACCGCTAATCGCTTAAATTCTTCAGGTAGGAAGCTCTCCGGTCAGACATAGAAGTAGCAGCAGTCAGCCGGTAGGCAATTGTGCTCGAACAAACGTAATCAGTCTATGTGTCCTCCCTGCTGCCCCATGGGTGTCAAGAAACAAACACAAATAGGGACTAAATAGCAGCACTGTATACCCAAGTCTAGGAGATTTTATCAACACCAATTCCAGGCTGGATGTCAAGGAAATCAAGATGATTCTTCAGCATCAGCGGCCTTACTCCATGTCTACATGTAACTATGTACTTCTACCCCAGGAAATCACCCTGATTAAGCAATGGCTCTTAATAGAAAATGAAGTTTGCCCAATTGCATCTACCATACCAATATTTGAAGCATTACAGTGGAACCTGGCTATAGCGAAAAGAAGGCCTCTCAGAATCCAAGTCAGATACTTAGAATATAGAGAATCTAGAGATGAAGAGCTCCCCAGAAGAACAATCTATCGTATTATTAATAATTACGATGCTCTTTGATTCTATACTAAAGCAACTAAAGTTGATATAAGTATAAACATGGAGAGGGCTTCCTTTCGTTATAGCCAGGTTCTACTGTAAGGCAGAAGAACATAAGGCCTCGGAAATAAAATACGTCGTAACAAAAGTTACGGTATACTGTAAGCTTTGACCAATAATTAAGCTTGAAATGGATCAGATACGGTTATTCCATTGTACACGAAAATTACAGTTAGTATCCCGAGGTCAACAGGGTGACAATTTTCACAACCTACTACATTTATATACACTTTTTCTACGGCCGACACCTCTGCAAAAGAAGACGCGGAAAAATGGGCCGACACGAGGAAATAGTCAAAGAAATATCCCGCGTAGTCAGCCAATTCCACAAACTAAATCAACCATACCGCATCTTCCACGGCTCAACAAACAGCACTCGACCCCGACCAGGAAGCAAACAAAATTTCGTCGACATCAGCGCCCTCAACAATGTTCTACGTGTTGATCGCGGCACCAAAACCGCCGCTGTTGAACCCAATGTGCCCATGGACAGACTCGTCGAGGCTACCTTGAAACATGGCCTTGTACCGCCTGTAGTCATGGAGTTCCCCGGTATCACTGCCGGTGGAGGGTACGCGGGCACAAGCGGCGAATCAAGTTCCTTTCGACATGGGTTTTTTGATCGAACTATTAATTCTGTGGAAATGGTTCTTGCGAATGGCGAAGTTGTCAAGACTAGCACCGCCGAAAAGCAAGATCTATTTCGTGGCGCGGCTGGCGCAGTGGGAAGTCTCGGAATCACCACGCTGATTGAATTGAACCTCGTCGAAGCCAAGAAATTTGTCAAAGTGACCTACGAGCGGGCACCGAGTATTAAAGCTGCCATTGAAGCTTTGGAAAGGGATAGCGCTGACCCGAAAACGGCGCCGTTTGAGTATATCGATGGCATTCAGTTCTCCCCGGACCACGGCGTGGTTATCAAAGGTGAGTTAACAGACGAGTTACCGGCCAGCACCAAACCGCAGACATTTAGTAATCCCTGGGATCCATGGTTTTATCTGCATGTTCAAGAAATTACAGAAACGCAACAAGTCGTCACCGAATACGTCCCATTGGCCGAGTACCTGTTTCGCTATGATCGCGGCGGATTCTGGGTCGGCGCATCCGCGTTTAAATATTTCCGATTTGTGCCTTTCAATAAATTTACGCGCTGGTTTTTGGATGACTTTTTGCATACCCGCATGCTCTACAAAGCGTTACATGCAAGCGGTGAATCGAGTCGCTATATTGTCCAGGATTTGGCGCTTCCTTACGAAACAGCGGAAGAATTCATCGACTATACGACCAAGACATTCGACATTTGGCCTCTGTGGTACTGCCCCTTGAAGCAATCGCCCACTCCGACTATGCACCCACACAACACCCAAACCAAATATACAGGCCGTCTACTGAATATCGGACTATGGGGGTTCGGCCCATCGAATTCAGCCGAGTTCATCGCTAAAAACCGCGATCTAGAACATAAACTCAACGACCTAGGAGGCATGAAATGGCTATATGCGCATACATACTACCCCGAAAACGAATTTTGGAAACGCTTTGATCGCGAATGGTATGAGAAATTGCGAGAAAAGTACTCTGCAACGGGTTTACCGAGTGTATGGCACAAGGTTAAAGTTGTGACTGCAAGCGATAAAAACACCGATAAATCGTGGCTTCAGAATTTGGTGGGTTATTGGCCCATTGGTGGGTTTTGGGGGATTTGGAAGTCGATTGCATCCAAAGAGTATTTGAAGCATAGGAATGCGACGTGGAGGGTCAGGAAGTGATTCAGTCATAGACAGACGTGTACATCATATCGTGTATCATAGACTTATTAGATAGACATATTCTTTGACCAGAAGTTAATTCAGTAGAACTTGGCTGTAACGAAAGGAAGCCCTCTTCATGTATGTATATATCCCTTCTGATATCAGCGGCTGATTCCTTCTGTCTGGTAAATATGTTACACTCCTTGAAAGAAGTGTAATAAATTACGTCAGGACAGGTGTCTGCCCAATTGCCCCGCAATTTATGTCCCAATGTCGGCGTAATTGGATTACGGTAATTTCAGCATGGAGTAAGCCCCGCATGAAGAAAGTTGGTTACATCGAGTGATCTTTCTTCTTTCTTTTCCTTTCTCTCTCCTCATATTCAACTTTGACTTGGTATCAGGCTTTCGCGATTCATCATGGTCGAAAGCGTGTTAGACGACATCTCCCATCGGAGATTCAATCCTCTCCGTGGCTCCAACATTCTCGTTTCTCCTCATCGGACAAAGAGACCATGGCAGTACGTGAAACCGACCGCGCTACCAAAATAAGTGTTGTACTGATAGCATTGGACTATAGAGGACAGGAGGAATCACCATCAAAAACTACCCTGCCAGCATACGACCCTAAATGTTACCTTTGTCCTGGAAATACTCGTGCACAGGGGGATGTTAATCCACAGTACAAAAACACCTTTGCCTTTGTCAATGATTATAGCGCCGTAAAAGAGGACCAAGCTGATTACAAGCCTGAAGAGAAGGGTACTCCCTCATACGAGAATAGAGATTGGATTACGACTAACAGATTACAGGCGCAGAATCATTCTTTCTCCGCGCCGAGCCTGTCGTCGGTAAATGCTACGTCCTCACCTTCTCAGCAGCACACAACCAAACCCTCGCCGATCTGTCGGCTGCAGAAATCGTACCTGTAATTGACGCCTGGACGGAAATCTATACATCGCATTTATCCCCCAAAAACCCCTTGGCGGCTGTTGCGGCGGCGACACACTTACCTCCCAATGCGCCGACTGCATCACTCACCACACCCAAGTCGCAATATCGATATATGCAAATCTTTGAGAATAAAGGTGCTGCCATGGGATGCTCGAATCCGCATCCGCACGGTCAGGTGTGGACGACTAGTTCTCTGCCTGACGAACCGGCCATTGAACTGGAGCAATTGAAAAAGTACCGCGCAGAACACGGCGGTAAGCATTTGCTAGGTGACTACGTCGCCCTTGAAATTCAAAAACAAGAGCGTATCGTCTTTGAGAATGACGGATTCGTCGTTCTCTGTCCCTGGTGGGCTACATGGCCATTTGAGACTATGATTATCTCCAAAACACACAAACGCGCGCTTGTCGATCTCAACGCAGACGAAAAGGCGCAATTGGCCGAAGCACTTGCGGAGATTACGCGACGATACGACAACTTGTTTGAGACGCATTTTCCGTATAGCATGGGTATTCATCAGGCGCCGCTTGAGGGTACGGATGAGGAGATTGGGGCATCGTGGTTGCATTTGCATTTTTATCCGCCTTTGTTGAGGAGTGCCACTGTCAGAAAGTTTCTAGTTGGGTATGTCGTCTTCTTCTTCTTGTTGCTGATATGACGAATGCTGATGAGAATAGGTATGAGATGATGGCTGAGCCTCAGCGTGATATCACCCCTGAACAGGCCACGACTAGACTGCGGGCTTGTGGTGGTGAGTTGTACAGAAAAAGACTGTAGATACTATTATAATACATAACTATTGCGTACATCACACATTCTCCATACATCTGTCTTCATGTCTCCCAATCTGCAATGAATTAAGAAAGATAATACCCCCTCTGCGAACCCATCCATACCAACGCACTCGACGCAAACACCAATGGAAACACAAACCTCCCCCTCACCTGCGCCGACCCATAAACAACCACTTCCGTCAAAAAGTGTCCCAGCGCAATACCATAAGTCCAAAACGCCATATCGTAAGCCACGGGATTGTGAATATTATATGCTGCGTACGCCCTCACAACGGACGAGAGAAACGTCCAGGTACCGAAAGTGCGAGCTGCGAGAGGGGCCGAAGGGGAAGGGTTGCGTGAGGAGCCGATGTAGAGTTGTTGATGGTATGAAGGGCTGAGGTAGGATTGGAGACTATTTGCGGTCGAGATTACTGATACCTATCGTTCTATGTTAGCGGTGATGATTCAAAAAGGAAAAAAGAGAAGTCGTACGATCAGTAACCAAGCTGGAAGCCAGCCTTCGTCTGTGTTGAGACGGAAACTGTTGAGTAGAGAGGATGCCATTTTTTTCTGATGACTATTCTGCGATTTGTTCCGAGAGTAGTTAAAACCACTGAGTAGATCCAGCGGTGTTAATCCTGAGAGATGTTGAATTTGTTGAAATGATCAAATAAGCTATTCGGGCTGAACAAGGGACATACAGCCAATCACATGTCGCGATCATGCCTCAGCTCAACAATTGACCAAGCTAGCCGAGGGGTGCCGATATTTTCTGTTTTTACGCATATATTCAGACGTCTCCTTGCTTCAGCTCCGCTAGTCTAGTCCGTTAGTTTATTTGTTATTAATACGGAGAGATCTGTCTTTTCGGAGAGACCAATTCCTTATTTACTGAACTTTCCCATCTGTCTTCGTCTGGATGACATTCCAACAAGAAACCATGGAGCACGTCAACAACTACCTCGATAAACTCACCGATTTCCGTGCTGCAGACATGTCGCAATCACAAACCGCGTTGGTGTTTGGATTGGGTCTTGTCGGCGGTGTATGGCTTCTCACTCAGCTTCTGACCTTTGTCAGGGTGCTGTTGAGTTTGTTTGTTATTCCGGGGAGATCTGTACGTTCTATCTTTCGATCAATAGGGTCAATGCTGATATGTTGTAGCTTCGCAGTTTCGGTCCCAAAGGTAGCTGGGCGCTCATCACCGGTGCCTCGGACGGCCTAGGCAAAGAATTCGCTCTTCAAATCGCTCGCGCCGGATTCAATGTCCTTCTCGTATCGCGTACCGAATCGAAACTTGTCTCTCTCGCCGATGAAATCAAGTCCAAGAACCCGAGTACCCAGACGAAAATACTAGCCATGGATTTCGCCGCCAACAAGGACTCAGACTACGAACAACTCAAATCCCTGGTTGATAATCTCGACATCGCGATTCTCGTCAACAACGTCGGCAAAAGCCACAGTATCCCCGTCCCCTTCAGCGAAACCCCCGACGACGAAATGAAAGACATCATCACCATCAACTGCACGGGCACCCTCCGCGTCACCAAACTCGTCACACCAGGCATGATCCAACGCAAGCGCGGTCTAATTCTGACCATGGGCTCATTCGGTGGTTTACTCCCCACGCCTCTCCTAGCCACATACTCTGGCAGCAAAGCATTCCTCCAATACTGGTCCAGCGCTCTTGGCTCCGAACTCGAACCTTACGGAATCACGGTGCAACTCCTCCAAGCCCATTTGATTACATCCGCAATGTCCAAGATTCGTCGTCCAAGTCTGACCGTTCCTACACCTAAAGCATGGGTGAAGACGGCATTGAACAAGATTGGGCGTCGGGGGGGTTCGCCGCATTTTTATTATACTTCTTCGCCCTATTTTAGTCATGGGCTCATGGCGTGGTTTATTACCTGTGTCGTTGGGGTGTGGAGTAATTGGTTGAAGAATTATAATCTTAATATGCATGTGGGTATTCGGAAGAGGGCGTTGAGGAAGTTGGAGAGGTCGAAGACGAAGTAATTGTCTATCTCGGGTTGTAGAGAGGTGGGTTATTCCCGAGCTGTATGGTTGTGGTTGTCTAAGTTCGACTTGTATTCTTAGTACTGTATGATATTATTAATGTGTGTCCGGGATGATATCCTGAGCATTGAATGATGGGGTCATTTTTAACATATGGACTATTTGCCGGTAATCGAACGTATCTTTTCCCTAACTCGCCGCCATTCCCATCCAGCAAAACATGGCCAAGTAGCATTCAAAAAGACCCATCCTTAGAACAAGCTGTCAAAGAGGGATTCTCAGAGTAGAGCCCCTTTCCATCCGGATCATCTATCACTTGCGCCAGCCCAACCAACCCTAAAAAAGAAAGATTTTCCAAGCCTTGAAGGACGTAAAACGTATAAATAAGCCGTATAGGCGAATCTCTCTGCCAATGATCCTCAACAGAAACTCGTCATCGTGTTCTAGTAAGGATTCTTATGACATCTAGCCGCCTGAGAGAGCTTCCTTGGCCACCGATATCAACTATCTGCCAGGGCAGCCTCATCCTCTTGTCCTAAGAGCTCTGGGGCTGTACCCCATGAACACATTGATACCCTCGGAGCGTGCTTTCTCTGCTCAAAATGTTCAACTCAATGCTTTCCGAAACCGTATGACCGCGGAGAAATTGATTTATATCTATATGAATACC